ATTTGATGTGGGAAAGGGCTGTGGGTCCGCCTGTGCTTCAGAAAAGTTGCCCTGATGGAGACCGCTTCCCAGACAGGCCAGGTACAAAGGCTCAGGGGACTCAGAAGGCACAGAGACTGGGGTTTCAGGGAGGAGGAACCCTCAGATCCCTAGTCAGCCCCAACCCCACAACCCCATACTAGTGAAAGGAAGGATGGGAGAAGTCCAGCTTCTGACCTGGGATGTGGGTCACTTGGACCCTGCTCAGGGAGCCAAGGACATGGGGTGGCCAGGACCTCGGACTCCAGGTAGGGAGCTCAGCTTTGGAGCTGGGGTTGAAGCCAGGCAGATGCTGCTGGCTATTATGTGTGCCCAGGCTTCAGGGCTGGAGCTGACAACAACCGCACACTCCAGGGGCTCAGTGATGCTCGCTTCCCGCCTCCCTCCCCCACCTTGGCCAAATTTAGGGCTGGAGAGACTGCCATGGCCCCACTCACAGGCCTTTAGTCCTCCGCTTCTCTCCACGGGGGCAATTTCTGGCCTTCCCACTCCCTCCTCGTTCCCCCCTACATTAGGGTTCCTTATCTCCACTGATTGGAGAGGGGGGCGCTTGGGGACAGTGATGAAAAGATGGGGCAGGGCCAGGGAAAGTGAAGTTCCGGGAGCCTGTCACAGCGCCCCTCTCTGCAGCCACCGTAGGGTAAAGGGCCTGGGTAGGGAGCCAGGTGAACCGCCGGGATCCGGGTCTTCGCGTGGGCTCGGGGCAACTGCAGCAGACGGCTCTGGGGGTGTGTGGATGAAACCCCGCCCAGATTAACCGCGTTTAGGGGACGAGACGGGCACTTCCGGGGGCGCCAGCCGCCCAGGTGGCAGAGCCCGAGGTGTCCCCGCCCTGCGCCTGCAGCTTCCGCCCGGGGGGCGGGGGTTATGAACTTCAAACCTGCTTCTTCAAGCTGAGGGCGGCCCCCGGGACAGCTCGCTGGGAGCTGTGGCTAGAAGCAGCCTCAGGTCAAGGTCAGGACGGAAACTGACCAACTGCACAGGAGCCGGAGCTGCAGACACGGCCCTAACCCTCAGGGCCGCCCCGCTGGGACCCGCTCGGCTGATGGAAAGCCTTCCGAAGCAGGTCTCAGCACCACTCCTTCACTGCTTAGAGCTCGTGTTTCTGCTTCACTTTCCCCTCCGAATTTATCCTATGGCAGCTCACATGCTTTTGTATTAAAGGGTCTTTTATTCAATTCTGTTCTACTTATCTGAAACTCTTCCTTGCTTTCTCCTATTTATTTATTTATAAGGCAAGGCCTCACTATGTCGCTCAAGCTGGAGTGCCGTGGGTGATCTCAGCTCACTGCAGCCTCCACCCCCCGTGCTCAGGTGATCCTTCTTCCTCAGCCTCCGAGAGCGCTGGGACTACAGGCTCAGGCCACCAGCCTGGCTATTTTGTTTGGTTGCTGATTTTTTTTTTTTTTTTTTGAGACGGAGTTTCGTTCGCTCTTGTTCCCCAGGCTGGAGTGCAATGGCGCGATCTCGGCTCACCGAAACCTCCGCCTCCTGGGTTCAGGCAATTCTCCTGCCTCAGCCTCCGGAGTAGCTGGGATTACAGGCACGCGCCACCAGGCCCACCTAATTTTTTGTATTTTTAGTAGAGACGGGGTTTCACCATGTTGACCAGGATGGTCTCGATCTCTTGACCTCGTGATCCACCCGCCTCGACCTCCCAAAGTGCTGGGATTACAGGCATGAGCCACCGCGCCGGGCCTGTCTGCTTGTTTTTTGTAGAGATGGAAGATCTCACTGTGTTGCCCAGGCTAATCACCAACTCCTGGCCTCAACTCCTGCCTGGGTCTCCCAAAGTGCTGGTATTACAGGCATGAGCCACCTTGCCTAGCGTCTCTTCTTTTTTATATATACACACTCATACATATCATAGGCTTATTTATATACATATTTACTAAAACAGTTGATGGAACAACACTAATGTTTCCAATTACATTTGTATGAAATGTACAATCAAATATTTTCATAAGTATACATCTTAATCAGACGGATGGATACAGTTAAGGGAATTGTTGCCTGGGGCAATGTCCAGTGTAAGTTTCAGGCAGTTGAGATCTGAGGCTGGGAGTAGGAAGTGTGAAAAGGCTCTGGGGCAGGGACTCCTTCGGAGACCTGTTCCGGGGCTGACTGAGTTTGGGCATGAGAGGATGTGGACTGTGAGGGTGTGGAAACTGATTCCCTGAGGCTCCTCTGATCCACAAACCCCCTGGAAAGCCTCTTCCTGCACATCCTGGGTCTCCAGTGCTCTAGCCAAAGGCTTTTGTTCCACACCCCATTAGAGATGCTGATCACACTGAGGGAGACACGGAGCCCAGAAGCCATCCTGGGAATGGGAGGCTTCGGGTTCTCCCCATAGTCCAGAGATCTGCCCTTACAATGAAGTCTTAGGCTTTGGGGCAAGCTTAAAATTCAACAGAAAGTCCCACTGCGAAAGTCTATCATAAAACTGTTCAAAGATAGGCTTTCCGACAGATCTAAGACCCACCACTCTCACCGTTCCCTGGCATCTTTCCTTTAATTTTCTGCTCTCTCTCGAGAACTGGTGCTCTGTGTTCACTAGCGTGTGGATTATTGGACAGATATTCTAGCACCTCCTGGTTCTTTTTTTGAGGCAGAGTCTCACTCTGTGCCCCAGGCTGGATGGAGTGCAGTGGTATGATCTCAGCTCACTGCAACCTCTGCCTCCTGGATTCAAGCAACAACCTCTCTGGTAGCTGGGATTACAGGTGTGCACCAGCATACTGGGCTAATTTTTGTATTTTCGGTAGAGACGGGGTTTCACCATGTTAGCCAGGCTGGCCTTGAACTCCTGGCCTCACATGATCCACCCACCTTGGCCTCCCAAAATGTTGGGATTACAAGCATGAGCCACTGTACCTGGAGTAGCACCTTCTAGTTAGAATTAAGTTGCATCCTTGAGGGTGGAATAACGGTCCCTGGAAACAAGCAGTAATTGGGGTGAGAAAAGTTGTATTTTATGGGGTTATGCAGTGCTGAGCTTTGTTTGATGGTTTAATGGGGCATAACATGGAAACTCATGCCCTCTAAAAGGTTTATATACTAGTATCCCTGCATTCAATTTTTCCACCTGGCCCATAAAATTTAGAGTTGCTGTCCTGTGCTTTCACATTGCTTTCCACAGTTTCTCTATTTCCATCAGCAGCTGATTCTTTATGCTCCAGAGTAGAGGGCTCAGTTTTTTCAAACTTGTGATCCCTTTACCCTCTTAAGAATTGTTGAGAAGCACCAGGAATTTTTGTTAATGTGGATGGGTTATATCTAGCCATATTTATATATTTTAAGTTGAGGCTAAGAAATTTAAAATCATTCATTTATTGATTCATTTTAAGACCGTGATGCACCTATTTCATGCTAATACCAATAACTTATTTTTACAAAAAAAAATCTGCATTATCCAAAGCAACAACAACAGCAAAATGAAAACAGTGCATTACTTCACATTTTTGTAAATCTCTGTAATACCTGGTTGAATAGGAGACAGCGGGAGTCTCCTCACTGCTTCTGCATTTGTGGAATGCACCCCATACTCTTGGGAGCAAGAGAATGAGAAGGGCAAGTAACACTGAGGGTCATTACCGACATGGTTTTGATCTCATGGACTGCCCTGAAAGGAATAGGAAACCCTCAGGGGCCCCTCCACACAGTGAGGACCTCTGCTCCCGATCAAGAGAGCCAAGCTCCAAGGCTTGTTGAGGAGCTGGAGGAGGTGAGATGTGGGGGTGGGGTTGTCACCAGAAGCTTGTTTGGGCTCCATTCACTTCACCCCAGGTGGCCCACCAGCACAACAGAGGCAGACCCCATAGAATCCTGTGTATAATTATTTTAGGGTTCACCCATCTTGGCATGCACAAGGCATTTCAATCGAAGAATGTTTTCTAATAACAAAACATTGTAAACCTAAATATGTGGCAATAGTGAGGATTAAGTACATTGTGGTTTCCTGAAGCCCAGTGCTCTGCAGCCACGAAACGAGAGTAAAATCGAGAATGTGCTCAGTGGAGACAGCCTCAGGATAGTTAAAAGCAGAGAACACAAAAGTCTAGAACGGCGTGTATGTTATGATCTTTTTTCTATGCTTTTGAAAAAAGAGAATACACGTATAGCTGGAAAAGACACACGAAACTACTTTATATAATGGGTTGTATTTGTTAAGATGTATGGAAGGAAGAGGGAGGTTTTATTTTTTAATTTTTGTATTTAATTTTTTCATTGTTATTATTTTTTGAGACAGGGCTTTTGCTCTGTCGTCCAGGCTGGAGTGCAGTGGCGCGATGTCAGCTCACTGCAGCCTCGACCGCCCGGACTCAAGCGATCCTCCCTCCTCAGCTCTCCCAGTGGCTAGAACTACAGGCGCCACCACGCCTGGCTAATTTTTTGTAGAGACGGTTCTCTCGGCCCAGGCTGGTTCTGAACTCCCGAGCTCAAAAATCCTCCTGCTTCACCGCGCCCGGCCTGAGGTTTTTTAATATTTGAGAGTTTTACATCTTCTGGCCATGGGCAACGTTATAGTGTCCCAGGTGTTGGGTCCTTTAAGACAAGGGTGGCCGGACGGGCCGTCCCGGGGGCCGGGCTCGGTCTCAGCCCTCCGCAGGCCGCCCTCTCCCGGGCTGCACCGGGTCTTCTCCTGCGGACTAGGGCGCCAGCCCCGCCCCGGAGCCCCGTTTCCCCGCCCCCCGCCCCGCCCACGTCCTCGCGGCCTTCCTATTGGTCCCGCGCCGCGCTTTCCCGTTCAATCGTAGCGCTTAGCGCCAGAATTTGAATCTCCGTTTTCGTTTGAATTGGGCGGGCGCGCGGGGCTGGCGGAAGGAAGCTCCGGGCTGGCGGGACGACTCGGTGGCACCCGCTAGGATCGGGCGTCGGGGGACGCCGCCTGTAGGGACACCGGGTCCCCGTCGGGGCAGCGGCTGGAGCAGCGGGGGCTGCGGGCCGGGGCGGAGCGAGCGCGGCCCGGGGTGTGCGGCAAGTGGCGGGCGCCGCGGCCGGGCCGAGGTGAGCGCGTCGCCCGCTCCCCCTGCGGCGGACTTTGGGTGCGACTGGAGCGGTGGTTCGACAGGCGGCCTTGCGGGCCGGATCGTCCCAGGTGAGCTGCGGCCGGGACTCCTGGGAACCGTCCGGAGTCGGGGGCTGAGTCGCGGGGACCGCCGATCCCCACCCCGAGCTCTGCGGGGACGCGCAGCCTGGGCTCGCTCCTCCTGGGCTCTGGCGAGGGCGTCCCTGTGGAAACTCCCGGGAGGCGCCGGCGACAGCACCCCGGCCGCGGGACTTGCTGGGGGCGCCGGGGGCTGCGGTCGGACCGTGCCGGGGTCCCCGCTGGCCAGCTACGCTGTGCGCCTGTGCGGCCGGGGGTGGGCGCACGGGGCGCGCGGCCCTGGTGGGTCGCTCGCGGGTCCCTTCTCAGCTCCTTTGCTCTCACGGTAATCCGCGCCTCTCTTGCAGGGAGGAGTTGTGAGCCTGCTTCTGGGCAGACCTATTGGTACCTGGCCTTCCTCCGCGGGTTATATACCCAACTTAGCGTTTAGAAAATGGGGCCCACGAGACGCATCGTTACTATCAAAAGGAGCGGGGTCGACGGTCCCCACTTTCCCCTGAGCCTCAGCACCTGCTTGTTCGGAAGGTGAGTCCCGCGGGCGCGCGCGGACGTTTTTGGCCGAGAAAGGAAAATGGCTTTATCACAGTACATGGCCCCGGAACGTGCTCTGCCATCGGGTCCTGCGGTCGCATTTCCTTGGTGCTTCTTCCATGTTACTGAGTTGACAGAGCTGTGTTTTGTTGGTTTTGCCAAGTAGACATTTGATGCTAGTGTTCGTATATTTAAGTGGTTTTAGAAATCAAGCCAATTGAAAAACTGGGTTTTCTAACCGCGATAAAGAAAGATGTAGATGGTCTTCATACCTCACTGGCTTCAGGCGGGCGTCAGAAGACACTGTGTGCCCCTGGGACCCTCGGTAGTGGGCATCCCTGGCCACATGGGACACTGAGAGAATGAAGGCTCTTGGCTCTTTTGGGCGATAGGAAAACGGGACAGAAAGTCTTCCTGCCTGGCATTTGAGAACCTTTCCTCTTACGTTGCTGTCCCGTTTGAATAACCCTGTTCCTGTATAACAAACAGGCACTGTTGCTAACAGTGCCCCTGTCAGCCTCTGACATATGTCCCACTAGAGGCCCGAGAAGGGGTCACTCCCTATGTGGTCTGGGTCCTGACTCCTATCCTCGCCTCACCCCATCCTCCAGACCCCATCCCCTACCTTGTTCCTCCCACCTAAGGCATTCCAAGCCCTGTTCACCTTGGTACTTTTTACACACTTGGAAGTTTATCATGGGAAAGTTCTCCCTTTCCCCAACCTTGTGTGATTTCCATCATTCAGGCATCAGGTTAAATATCGCCTCTGAAGAAGCCTTGCATGAAAGCTTGTATTTCCAACCCCATGGCTTCAGGGGTAAGTTGTGGGGTTTTGTCTCCCACTAGACTGAGCTCCCCAAAGAAAAGGACTATCTTGTTACTAATCATGTGTGCAGGGCCAGGGATGGTGCCTGGTATAGGGGATCTCTGCTTAGCATTCTGGCAAGGGTCAGTAGAAACACGGGCTAGCGCCACGGATTTGCGATCACTTGATAGCAGTGGTTCTCACAGGAGGGTTATCTTACCTTCCACAAGTCATTTGCTAAAATCTGGAGAATTTCCATGTCACAATACAGGGGAGGGGAGCATGTGCTGTCATCACGGAGGAGGGGTCAGGGTGGGGATCCTACCAGGCTCAGGGCAGCCCCCACAATACAGAAGCATCTGACCCAAGATGTCAGCAGTGCCATGGCTCAGAAACACTCATCTACAGGCGTCTTCCTGCTAGACAAATTCTCAGTTGTAAGGGATAGTCTCTCCGTTGCTCAGATGTTCTGTTACCTTAAAATCAAATTATCTTATTGGGGTTAAAGAAGCTTTTCACTTTTCATAGATACCTTTCTTTTGAAAAGGAAAAATATAAACATTTCATTTTAGGTGGCAGTTCCTTTGCTTTTTTACAGTAGTACTTGAATATATTTTCACACAAGATTTTGTAATTTAGAAACTAATTCGCGTTTGGTCACATAACATGGGTAGGAAGAGGTATTGTTAGACTCTAAAGGAGAACAGACAGGCCTTGCACACTTTGTTCAATTTTTATTTTTATTTTTATATTTTTTGTTTGTTTTGGAGACAGAGTCTTGCTCTGTCACCCAGGCTGGAGTGCAATGGCATGATCTATGCTCACTGCAACCTCTACTTCCCAGGTTCAAGCAATTCTTGTGCCGTAGCCTTCTGAGTGGTTAGGATTCAGGCGTGAGCCACTATGCCTGGCTAATTTTTGTATTTTTAGTAGAGACAGGGTTTCACCATGTTGGCCAGGTTGGTCTTGAACTCCCGACCCCAGATGATCCACCTCCTCGGCCTCCCAAACTGCTGGGATTACAGGCGTGAGCCACCGTGCCTGGCCCCAGTTTGTTCACATTTTTAAGATCACAGGTTAGAACAGGAATGCCGAAGACTCCAGGAACCTAATGGTTCTTCGGATTATTAGTTTGTGCAGGTTTGGGAATTGTCTCTTCTGCTGCTTTGCCAAAGCTTTCTGTGGAAAAACAAGTTGAATTTAGATTTGTTTTTGTTGCGTGCAAATTAATATTTTTATTGTTTAGAGATTTGTGAATCTGTCAGTAAATACAGTGTGGTTTTAAAACGAAAAAAGCTTACCCATAATAAGCATTTACTATGTGCTAGGCAAATTAGTGACGTGTACAACTCATTTAGTTGTTGGAACATCACATGATGTAGGTTCTAATGGAATCTCTTTATTGTATATGAAGAAACTGACACACGGAAGTGCTAGCATAAAATAAGCACATTTGGGGATGATTAAACCATTAAACATAGTTAACATTACAAACAAACTTTTTTTGAAAAAGCACAGGGTATTAAAAATAGTCATTTTCCAAAATGGATGTAAGTACTCCTTTCTTTGTGTCTTATAAGTATAGCTTTTTATATAAAAGGTGATTCAGTTTGTATTCTAGTGTTTTCTCTTATTTTTATATACTCTGTTTTAAAGACCTAATAGTTACATGTTTAATGCTTTCAAAAGTTCTTCGCAAAATGCAAAGATCCTTTACATTGCCCATTTTGTTTGTTACTTCTTCATGTCATTAAATTTGCAGATCAAACATGCTAGTCAAATTGTGTTTTATTTTGGGAAATTGTGCTAACGCTTTAAAAAGTCGCAACAACCAAACCAACCTTCTTCTTTTACATGAAGGGGTATTGAGTGTGACATCCGCATCCAGCTGCCGGTTGTGTCAAAACAACACTGCAAAATTGAAATCAATGAGCAGGAGGTAAGTGGTTTTTGGAGGTCTACTTTTAAAACTTTTTAGTTCACTTTTAATCTGTTCATTAGTTACATATTTCCCCCTTCTTTCACTTGCAGGCAATATTGCATAATTTTAGTTCCACAAATCCCACACAAGTAAATGGGTCTGTTATTGATGAGCCCGTAAAGCTAAAACATGGAGATGTAATAACGATTATTGATCGATGTTTCAGGTAGGTAAAAGCTGATTGGGCTCACAGTAAATGTCACCTAGTGTCAGAGTCAACTGTGATTCTTCTTTACTCTTCATGGATGTCCGTGTTTCAGGTATTCACAACACTGATCTTAATTTGAAAGGATACGGATCTAGGAGGATGAATAATTGGGACAAAATGTGATGGAATTCACGGATTTGGGTGCAAATAATTATGCAGAGGAAGGTTGACCCTGTCCCAAAGGAGTTTGTTAATTTTCTTGCAAGTGTGAAACTGCATGAGATTTTTCTATTCTTTTTCTTTTTTTTTTGAAATGGTGTATCGCTCTGTCTCCAGGATGGAGTGCAGTGGCATGATCTTGGCTCACTACAACCTCTGCCTCCCGGGATCAAGTGATTCTCCTGCCTCAGCCTCCCTCGTAGCTGGGACTACAGGCATATGCCACCATGCCTAGCTAATTTTATTCTTTTTTATTTTAAAGCAAAATACACTCAGAGAAAAAGGTACGAAACAAGATGTACAGGCCAATTTATCATATGAACACCCTTTTTGCTGCCACCTATTACGGACTGATTTGTGCTCTCCCCAGATTCCTATGCTGACTTCCTAATCCCTAGTACCTTACAATGAAACTGAATTTGGAGAGAGGACATTTAAAAAGGCAATGAAGGCTTTTTGAGGCCATTAGTATGGGCCCTAATGTACTGCTTGGTGTCATTATAAGAGGAGAGTAGGGAACATGTGCATAGAGGAAAGCCCATGAGAACAAGCAGCAAGAAGGCAGCCATGGGCAAGTCAAGGAGAGAGGCACAGAGAAATCCGACCCAGCTGACACCTTGCGCTCGGACTTCTGGCCTCCAGAACTGAGAAGCGCATGTCTGGTGTTGAAGGCACTCAGTCTGTGGGACTTTATTATAGCGGCCCTGGCAGACTAATGTAGAACATTTCCCCCAGCTTTTTTTAAAAGGCTGTTTTCTAATCACAGCTTCCTTAGCAAGTAGACCACCATTGTGGCTTTTAGGATATCATAAGCGTCTGGAGTTTTACTCCCTAAGCATGGATCTCTGGACACTAGTTTTGTCTGTTCTTATGAAAGTCCTTAACGGTGATGTAATGTATACGTTTGTGTCTGGCTTGTGCTTTTATGTGTGTGAGATTCAGAGCATGTTGGACATCTCTGTGGTTTGTTCCTTCTCATGGCATAAATGTTTCACGAAAAAAAAAAAATATGTATAATATATGCAATAATAGATAGAATTACACAGAATTCATTCTGGTTGGACATTTGACAAGAGTCATCTTTTAAATGTGTCGAGGCTTGCTTTATGATCAGGTATGGTTAATTGTTTTACTAATCTGCCCTGTGCAATTGAAAACTATTCTATAGTATCTGACATGATATGCATATAATACATGTATATATGCAGATACATCCCCATTAGATTCATATCTTCTCTATGCCTCGTAATTTCCCCCCACTATTATTAAGATACATGTTCAAATCACCTACTGGGGATTGGTTAATTGATTTGTTTTTATGCCTGTCAGTTTTGCTTTGTATATTTTGTGGCTGACCTATGGTGTACACATTTAGAATTAGTCTTCCATGTGCATGGAACTCTTTTTTTCATTGAGAGATGTCCTCTATTTTTAGCAACGCTTTCTTTTCTGCTTCATGTTTCCTTTGGATAATGAATATGGCTAAACTAATTTCCTTTTGATGACTGCTTGTGTAGTATAACTTCCCACCCCCTTAATTTTAACTTTTCATAATTTTTATGGTTTAAGTTGTTTCTTAGAACTTGTCATCAGGTGAACTCTTGTGTTTAACTGGAATATCTTCTTGCTGGATTGATCCTTATATAAAATGTTCTTTTTCTCTATGTATAATTTTAGTGATTCTTATATCTCAGCCTCCTAAGTAGCTGGAATTGCAGGTGCTTTCCACAATGCCTGGCTATTATTATTATTATTATTATTATTTTAAGGCGGAGTTTCGCTCTTGTTACCCAGGCTGGAGTGCAATGGCACGATCTCTGCTCACCTCAACCTCTGCCTCCTGGGTTCAGGCAATTCTCCTGCCTCAGCCTCCTGAGTAGCTGGGATTACAGGCACGTGTCACCACGCCCAGCTAATTTTTTGTATTTTTAGTAGAGACGGGGTTTTACCATCTTGACCAGGATGGTCTCAATCTCTTGACCTTGTGATCCACCTGCCTCGACCACCCAAACTGCTGGGATTACAGGCTTGAGCCACCTCGCCCGGCTGCCTGGCTATTTTTTTTTTAAATTGTTAGTAGAGACAGTGTTTCACCATGATGGCCAGGCTGGTCTCGAACTCCTGGCCTCAAGTGATCTGCCCACTTCAGCCTCCCAAAGAGCTGGGATTATAGGCATGAGCCACCATGCCCAGCCTATAGGTAGGAAGTTTTTGATATGGATTAGAGAGCTGAACTGCTTTGCCAAAACAAGATATAATCCAAATTGAGAAAAATTCAGATGATTAAAGACATCCAAGAAAGATTAGAAAGTGAATCTTAGAAAGACAGACTTGATTCTAAACTCTACTATGAGAAACAATTTCAGATGTCTGAGTGCTTCAGATTTTACTTAGGTTGCATATAAATTCAAATCAGGTCATTTCACTGAGGCTGAAAAGTTTTCATTATGCAAAATGAAGGATTGCTTTACGGCTTGATCACTGAGGTTTGCCAGGACAATTATGTATCTTGCTAAATGTAGTCTTCCTAAGATGTGCTTCTCTTGTTCAGACACAGACTGAGTATGTGAGAAACTGAAGTGATCATAGTGTTTTAAAGAATAACTTTGTAGTTACCCTGTAAGCGTAAGCATAGCTTTTTTTTCTTTACCCTGAAGTATGTGACTTCACAACGTGAGACAGATTCAATTACCCACAGGCTTCCTGGCTGGCCTTCCAAGCCATCAGCTGATTTCCATGGACTTAAACTGGAAGAAACTTGACTTTGCTCTCATGTGCATTAGCTTCTCTCATAGAAGGTGCTCGGGAACATTGTTGAATCATACCTGGGCTGGTCGTCAGTGATCAGAGGTTAAACTGGGCCCACAACCTCTGACTGTGGTGTTTCTAAGTTTCTTTCTTTGTATAAAGTCGTGTCTTGAACAAAACCCAAAGTTTGTTCCGTGATCCTTGGACATTAAGTGGATATGGAGATTTCAGCCCCAGAGTACAGATTATTGATCAGGATCTATTGTCTGTCGTTTTATGCACTGCAGGTATGAAAATGAAAGTCTTCAGAATAGAAGGAAGTCAACTGAATTTCCAAGGAAAATACATGGACAGGTGATGAGAAATATTCAAGTTTGGGCTCTGGTTCTGTTTGATGATATGAAATCATTCGTGTATGCTTTGATGATTTCTTACTTGAAATCAGTGACTAAGAGGGTGGTTACTGGTTATCGTAGGAAAATATAACTGAAGTATTAAAACAAGTTGAACTTAGACATACTAAACTAATCTAAAACAATTTTTTCCTTTGTTGTTCAAAATCAGAGTACTAAGTTGGTCTGACGCTTTTGGCCAAAAAGTCTACTAGAGTATGTTAAGATCTTTTTGCAAGCCCAGGAGTAGGATAACCCCAACACACAGAGCTAACATTTGGGAATTGCATTATCTGGTGGCTCATTTTGTCTCCCAGTCGTTGTACTCATCCATCTTTATGTGTCTGAAATAATCACATCATGAAAACCGTGAGTGCCAAAGATGCTTCTCTATTTTGATAGACAGACTACCCATGAAAGGGGAAGAGGGATCCTTGTGCTTTGTCATGTGAGAGAATCCTATAGTTTGAGTGTATTGGTGTGGAGCAGGTATTCTAACTGTACAGCTTATAAAAACGTAATCATCAACATATGCTTGGCTAGTTAGACTGTTTGAATACATCAGTGTGGGAGAGGTATTTTAATTGTACAGCTTATTAAAATGCAATTGTCGGCACATGCTTGGATATTTAGTGGGATTTAGGTCCTGAGCATTTATCTTTTTCCTACATTTTAGAGTGCTCCTAAAGCTGGTTTCATCTGAGCTCCTTGGAATATCTTGGCTTAGGAGAGCTATCTTAGGTGCACCTGAAATTAACAAGTACTTGAAATTCAACATTTCTGCCTTTTTTTTTTTTTGAGATAGTCTTGCTCTGTCGCCCACGTTGGAGTGCAGTGGCATGATCTCGGCTCACTGCAACTTCTGCCTTCTGGGTTCAAGCGATTCTTCTGGCTCAGCCTCCTGAGTAGCTGGGACTACAGTTGTGCCCCACCATGCCCGGCTAATTTGTAGTTTTAGTAGAGGCAGGGCTTCACCATATTGGCCAGGCTGGTCTCGAGCTCCTGACCTCATGATCCACCAGCCTCGGCCTCCCAAAGTGCTGGGATTGCAGAAGTAAGCCACCATGCCCAGCCCATTTCTGCCATGTTAAGTACTGCTTCTTCCCTAGAGGAACGCCTGAATGTTGAGCCTGGTGGTCATCCATTCCTGTGCTGAAAGCCAGTTTCTGAGGCATCCCACACTGTAGTCACCAGCCCACTTAGTAGTCTGAGGGAGTAAAGTGACCAAACAGAGCTGAACTGTGGGTTAGATATGTGCCACTCAACAGTCGGGGAACCGTTTGTTCTGCTGCTGGTCTGTGATAAAGTAAGGACTGAAATGGAGTAGGTAGGAAATATGACAGCAATTTTGTGGCTATTAAATATAGTCATCAACAAAAATGAGGTTATATGCTTTATATATTCATAACTTTATTAGTAGTTCATTTATATTGTTTAGTCATAGATTCTGTTCCACTTCAGATTGGGAATAAAAAACTCATCCCTCACATAGATAATTTTAGAAGCAAGGTGTTATATATCAATAAACTTGAAATTAACTAAGGAAGTTAGATTCTTTGCCTTTGGTAGTATGTTTTAGATATTTTCTTAATAATCCAGATGATAAGCTTTTCTTCCTTTGGGAAATTAGACTTTTATAAAAGTTTTATATATGTGTTATTCTTTAGTTCTTCCATCCTTCTAGAAACAATTCCATATGAAGGGAAGTTAGGGCATTGTCTGGGGAGCCAGGTGGGGGTGCTGCGCCTGCTCCCAGGCTGGGAGGTTGCACTACCTGTGGATGTACCATGCGTGCCTGTGCCACGACTTAGGGTGAATCCAGGCTCTCAGATCCACCCAAGAGGGCACACATGCTGAGGGGGGCACTAGTTCATCCACAGGTCCTATGGCTCACTTCTTTTCTTTCTTTTTTTTTTTTCTTTTTTTTTGTAACAGAGTCTTGCTCTGTTGCCAGGCTGGAGTGCAGTGGCATGATCTCTACTCACTACAATCTCCCCCTCCCGGGTTCCAGTGATCTTCTGCCTCAGCCTCCCCAGTAGCTGGGACTACAGGTGCGGGCCACCAGGCCTGGCTAATTTTTGTATTTTTAGTAGAGATGGGGTTTCACCATGTTGTCCAGGATGGTCTCCTTCTCTTGACCTCATGATCCATTCACTTTGGCCCCCCAAAGTGCTGGGATTACAAGCATAAGCCACCACACCCAGCCCCTGTGGCTCATTTCTGAGAAAACCGATTATGCAGTCCACAGTTCTGTGTTCATGGTGGGCTACAGATCTTCAGTTTAGGTGATGTTTAATATTAACTTGGTTCTTCCACAATATGATGGTGGGAAATAACTTCAAAAGAAGTTCTAAAAATGCACTGAGTTCAATTGTAATAATTTTAAGCCTTGAGTTTGTTTTCCATTAATCACTTACTATTTTTTAACAAGTCAATTAAGATGCACTTTTATCCTGACCAAGCTCCCAAATGACTTGAGCTCATTTCTCAAACAGTCTTTAAAAGTCATACAGGATTGGTTTGGTAAAGAAAGCTTTTTTTTTTTTTTGAGATGAAGTCTCGCTCTGTCGCCTAGGCTGGGGTGCAGTGGCACGATCTCCACTCACTGAAACCTGTGCCTGCTGCGTTCCAGAGATTCTCTTGCCTCAGCCTCCTGAGTAGCTGGGACTTCAGGTACCTGGCCACCACGCCTGGCTAATTTTTATATTTTTAGTAGAGATGGGGTTTCACCATGTTGGTCAGGCTGGTCTCAAACTCTTGACCTCAAGTGATCCGCCCACCTTGCCCTCCCAAAGTGCTGGGATTACAGGCATGAGCCACCATGCCTGGCCAGAAAACAATCAATACTTTTTCACTATTGTGACTGTCAGTATTTAGAAAGGCCTGCAAATAACTGTTCTTATTTTCCCAACTCACAGGAGCCAACACGTCGTGTCTCAAGATCCAGCTTCTCTTCTAACCCTGGTGAGTAGCGGTTGGGTTTTGTTCTGGAATCCTGAAAAATCAGGTCTTTGTGAAGCATAATGGCAAAGAAAAGGCAACGAGAATGCAAGTGCTAAACATCTAGCCTGTCAGAAGTGGAGGAGGTGTCATTTAACATGTCAACAACAGGCAGATGCCTAACTCTTTCCCTTGGCGACTGATGGGGTGCTGTGCCTAGGAGAGACTCTAGGTATGAGAAAACCTAGAGCTGTTCAGCTGCCAGCTCAGGTCTCAGTGGTTGGATAGCATGTGATATTGCATACTGGTTATTGGCGCTAATGTGATTTATTTATTTGTATTATAATACTAATATCTTGAGACTTGCAAGTTTTAGACATTAAATAATCTGTAGGCTAAGTAAAAGCTAGCTTATAAGACAATCTGAAACGATTGAAATAATTGAATTCCACAAATGTTAACCATTGAGAAAATGTTGAACTTCTGTTTCTTATTTCATAATTCATTGCCAAGATGGGAAAGCTGCAGATTCCAAGGCGTATTTAAAAATCACTGAAGGAAAAGTTTCAGGAAGTCCTCAGGTACATACCAAGACTGTCAAAGAAGACAGTACTGCGGATGACTCAGAAGGCAGTGTTGCCCAGGAAACACCTGATGGTCACTCCTCAGAACATGCTGGACATAATGGCAGAAATGCAGCTCATCGCATTTCTGGGGATTTTAGAGAAATTTCCAGGGTAAAATTAATGAGCCATTGTGGAGAACTGAAGTCTCTTTCCACCACACAGTGTCTTGACGATAGCCAAAAAAATGAATCTCCCTTTAGGAAGCTATATCAGTCAATGAAGAAAGAGCTGGGTATAAAATCACAAAAAGAAAATGTGCCACAGTATTGTAGAAAATCGGGATTACAAACTGATTACACAGCAGAAAAAGAAAGTGCTGATGTTTTACAGCAGGAGACACAACTGTTGGTCTCATGTATGTCAAGACCGAAATCTGGTGGAGGCAGCCACGCCATGGCAGAGCCTGCTTCACCTGAGCGAGAGCTTGCCCAGGCCAAGGGCAAGGGAAGAGATGTGGAGTCTGTTCAGACTCCCAGCAAGGTGGTGGGTGCCAGCTTTCCTCTCTATGAGCCGGCTCAAATGAAGACCCCTGAACAATATCCACGGCAACAAAATTCTCCACAAAAACATAAGAACAAAGACCTGTATACTATTGGTAGAAGAGAATCTGTGAATCTGGGTAAAAACAAAGGCTTCAAGGCTGGCGATAAAACTCTTACTCCCAGGAAGCTTTCAGCTAGAAATCGAACACCAGCTAAGGTTGAAGATGCAGCCGACTCTGCCGCTAAACCAGGAAATCTCTCTTCCAAAACCAGAGGAAGTATTCCTATAGATGTGGAAGTTCTGTCTACAGAAGCTGAAATTCAAAATGACCCCCTTTTAACTGTGTGGCTCACTGAAGTTGAAAGAAAAATCCAAAAGGATTCCCTCCATGAGCCTGAGAAAGTGGGTGTCACAACTGGACAGATGTGCCCTGAGTTACCTGGTCTTAGTGCAGTTGATATCAGCAACTTTGGTGATTCCCTTAGTAAGTTTATTTCATTGTAAATTTATTTTTTCTAAAAGATGAACACCTTCTGTTTAGCCATGAATCGGTGAGACCTTGATTCATTCAGTAGTGACTGGCGTTGTGGAAGAGAGTGTAAGCACTTATGGCACAGGGATAGGACAGACATGCGCACTGTTTCCGCTGATGGCTTAGTACCAAAGGCCTAGGTAATTATAACAAGGAATGACAGGAGGCGGAGGTTGTCAGGGAAGCAGGAAGCAGGGGTTATTGAAGGAGGTAGGGTGGCCCCCGAGATATTCCATTCTCCTCCATCTGTCACAAAACAGAAAAGAGAATACTCATAATTGCTTTTCACATGGAGTTGAATTCTGAACTACAATCAACTGTGTCATATGAGTTTGGTCATTTGGAATAAATCACTGGAGATCATTGAATATAGTGGTAGTTCTCAAGTGTTTATACTCTGTTTTCAGAGTGTCCTGCAAACGATTTACTGTAAACACTGGACTCTACCCATGAGTTTATATGCCAGGCAAATTTCTAAATGCTTTGCAGCATCAACACTTGATTCCTGGTGCAGTAGGAGTGCTCATGGCTAGGTTTTCTCTTTAGATCTATGTCACAAATGAGGAGACTGACAATCCAAGACCACCCAGTGAGCGGCAGAGATATGACCTTTATAGCAGGTGTGGTAGCTCCTTGGGAGCTTCCTATACTCCTTGGGATTGGCTTTTAGAAGAAAAGTTGTCCAGGCCATGGATGCAGTATTCATACTATCAGGCTCTGTTTCTGCAGGTGGCCCATAGTGGTGGGGCATGAGGCTATCGATAAAATAAGGCCTGTAACATCAGTCTTAGTGTTCCACCACGCCTCATAAAGGGGAAGCATCGCTTAGACAAGGAATTTATGTTAGCTGCTGGCTCAGGAAGATGTATAATTGAGGCTGGACTCCTGTGAATTGACTCAGAACCACCTGGAGGAGTTTTCACAGCTCGTGTATTCTGGTCACTGGGTGAAGCCCAAGTGCATGTCTTTAGAGAGCTCCCTCCGGCTGTCATCCCCCTAGTCCAGGGTGAAAGCTACTGCTTCATGCTCCTCTTTCATGTGTCCACACATAATGCTTGATCGTTTTAAAGAACGCCTCTGTACTGTCCAGTGGGAACTGCACGTCTTAGTGGCGTCTCCTGCAGTCCTTTAGGAACTCTTAGTGGCTTCAGCTTCAGCCGGGTCACAAGAATGGAGGTGTGTTGTACGTGCTATGTTTCTGTGACTTTACACTGATTAGTCTTCAGTGCTAATGTGAAATAAATGGCTAGTCTTGGAACGTTTTCTCATTGCTCTTTCCACGTTCGTATTCATTTAGATAAGAGTGAGGGAATACCTTTGAAAAGAAGGCGTGTGTCCTTTGGTGGGCATCTAAGACCTGAATTATTCGATGAAAACTTGCCTCCTAATACGCCTCTCAAAAGGGGAGAAACCCCAATCAAAAGAAAGTCTCTGGTAGTGCACACTCCACCTGTCCTGAAGAAAATCATCAAGGTGAGTTGAACAATTAGCATTCTCATTCACATGCAGTGGCTCACACACTGGGTCCATATTCCTTTCCAAATTCTGACACAAGTAGAATTATGATGAAGACCTTTATTTATTTAGTTTTTTAAGAAACAAATTTTAAACAAGATGAAATAAAAGCTCATTGATGTGGGTGCCAGCAAAGGAGCCCCTGGGTCCCTGACCGTGGTGCTGATGCAACTGAGTAGGGGAGTCCTTGGTGTTGTCCGTGTACTGCAGAAGTTCCCAGACGTCCCTGCTTACAGCACCAGGTAGTCACCTGCAGGCACTGTCAGGACAGCCAGTTACAAAAATTCTGCATGCATTACCACATTGAGCCATAAGGATGGTTTTATTTTCTTTCAGAGTTACAAGTCTATAGTTAAGGCATTTACCTGGGAAATCATCAATGGCACGTCAGCATCTTACACCCTCAGCTTTTTAGAATGCCTGGGCAGTCTTTCTTTTCTTCTCTTCCCAGCAGGAGCAGAAAGTGATGCCTGGCTTCATTTACATTTTACACTGGTCCCAGGGGCAAGCAGCCTTTTTCCATGTGGACTGCCGGGGGCTGTGTGCCCATGGCTGGTATTTACCGGGGCTGAGATCAGACCCTACCTGTCTTTTAACTGATCAGGACGTTTCTTCCATCTTTATACCTGAAATGACCTCAGTTCAGACTTGGCTTGTTTCTAGTTCCTTTTTCTTCCTTAAATGACTGGGACGGTGTCACTTCTGCCATAGTCTTGAAAGACAGTGGCTTAAGCATTTGATGCTTCAAGATTTAAAAAGCTGAAATTCTTAACAGGATAGGTTTTTATCAGTCATTCCAGTGATGTTACACCTTGTTAAGCTTCCTGTGAACCATTTTGTCTTATCAGGGACAGCCTCGACCGTCAGGAGAACAGCAGTCAACTTCAGAAATGCATTTGGAAGTGATGGCACAGAGCTTGGTTACAAGCCCTCCAGCCCCTAGTCCTAGGAAAACTCCAGTTGCCAATGATCGTAGGTCCTGCCAAGCAGCCCCTGCTTCCAGCAGCAAATCTCAGACAGAGGTTTCTAAGAGAGGAGGGAGAAAGAGTGGCAACCTGCCTTCAAAGAGAGTGTCTCTCAGGCGCAGCCAACATGGTATTTTACAGATGATCTGTTCCAAAAGAAGAAGCGGTGCTTCTGAAGCCAATCTCATTGGTTAGTCTTGCATTAGAACATATACGTTAAGGTGAATTTTTTTTATGAATGCTGGTTTTTGAAAAGTTTCATCTTCTTTTCCCTTTGACAGTTGCAAAATCGTGGGCAGATGTAGTAAAACTTGGTGCAAAACAAACACAGACTAAAGTCGTAAAACATGGCCCTCAAAGGCCAGTGATCAAAAGACAAAGAAGACCTGCTACTCCAAAGGTAGGGGCCTCACCGGGAGTGGCTGCTTTACGATACCGGTGCCACCGACGCTTGCATTCAGTGTGGATTTATACTCTAATGTCTTGTTCACCTCTTTCCTGTTCTCTACAGAAGCCTGCGGGTGATGCTCACAGTCAGTTTAGTACAGGCCATGCAAACTCTCCTTGTACCATAATCATAGGGAAAGCTTACACTGAAAAGGTACATGGGCCTGCTCAACCCTACAGAATGCTCAACAACTTCATTTCCAATCAAAAAAGGGACTTCAAGGAAGATCTTTCAGGTAAAAACACGGCCTTAGATCCTATACATCTTTTGACCCCACTGTTTTTTTATTTTGTTAATGTTCGGGTTGCTATCTTTGTTTATCTGCTGTGAAAGGGATTATAAAATAAATGACGGAGTCAACTTTCTGGGGTCATAGCATTCAGGGAAGATAAAGCTGGTTTGGCTTGTAAGGATGAGTCTCTAATAATTTTGGGGATCACATGTCCTGCGTGAAATAGGTGTGGAAATGTCAAATGCATATCTTTACCCTGGAGAGCAGCATATACATAGAAAGCGGGAAGGTGCTTTACAGGGAAGAGACATAACTTGTTACCTGCAGCTGTACTAACAGTTTATCCCAGGTGTAGACAAGTTGTTTATGAGCAACATTTTGCTTCTTCAGGATTTACTTTTTAGGCAGCCTAACTTTCTTGAAAGAAAGCCCTACGAGAAGATTCCCGTAAACAATGGATTGTTCAAGAAATGTTTGCACTCAATTCCCATTCTCAGTAAAGTGTGGCCTGACTAAAGTGGGGATGGTGCAACAGATAGGGCTGGTGGCAGGAGAGTGGCCGTAGGTTTTGTGTTGTATAATTTGCCCAGTAGTTTCTACTGTGTACGATTTGGAAGGGTGGTGGGAGTTGAATTGAACAGGGGAAACTGTGTTTTTGTTTTCTGGCATATTGAGTTGTAAGAGTTGTACTCCTCTGTAATGGATGCAAGGTACCGTCTGATGAGTCATATTTACCGACTGATGAGTCATATTTGGATCAGTTCATTTATCTTTTTTTAAAAACCAAGAAGACAAAAATGCAAAACCAAAACAAAAATATAGATATGTATCTAGGAGTAGGTTTATAAATTACGGACATATTTGAAAGCTCTAATATGTATGTTACAAAAAGTTAAAAACAAACCCTCAAAATACTTTTAAAAAAATGTTAAGTATTCAGTGTGTGGGACAGTGGATAGTCCCCAGCATTCTTTCTTTTAAGGTGGTTTCCTAGAGTCAGGCAGTTCTCACCTGTTGGTATGAGTACATCTCATTGCAAAACATTAGCATCTGCTGAAGACTAAACTCTAGGCTTTAAGTAGAAGGGGAGATTTTTGTGAATGGACCGGTTTGGAAGGGAGGCTTCAGTACAGGCTTCCCCCCGAACGTTTTTTGTATGACTGTGAGGCTGAAATAGCACTTGCATCCAGTGTGGCCAGAATGACACAAGTAAGGAGAACGTGGGATGAGAAGAGTTTTGCAGAAAGTTGCAACTTCTATATAAACTGCTTTGTTACTAGTTTTTTTTTTCCTGAGATTATGTCAGTACTGCTTTTTGGTGTTAAAATGGAATGATAATGCTAATTAGATTTTTAAGATATATATGTATTTTTAAGTGACAGTACTAAAAATGGGCAGCCCTTTGTCATTTTCTAAAATGTGGGCACACGTTATTTGTACTTAAAACCTAGAACTGAGCACCCAAGACTCTGAGAAACACGAAGGCATTTGGCTTCTAGATCCCGGCCGGGAGGCCTGTAGGTCCCAGGAGCCCGGCACCAGCTTCCATATTCTAGAGCTCATGTGTGAGGACTAGTTAGGAAGACCACAAAGGTCAACTAACTTCATTTGTTTCCTTCCCAAGAAAAGCAAAGCAAAAAACATAACATATCCTCTCTTTGCTCTCTTTTTTTACACAATAAGTACATTATTAATAGAATCACCCTCTTTATGAGCCCTATGTACCAGGAATTCTAGGGAGGAATCTACTGCTATTTCACATGATTTGCATGTTATATGTGAGGACTGGTATGGTTGTTTGAATGTTAGCAATATGTTAATCACTTTTCAAATATTTTCATTTAACAGGAATAGCTGAAATGTTCAAGACCCCAGTGAAGGAGCAACCACAGTTGACAAGCACATGTCACATCACTATTTCAAATTCAGAGAATTTGCTTGGAAAAAAGGTTCAAGTAACTAGTTCAGGAGAAGAACCTTTGCCACCCACCTCAGAGAGTTTTGGTTGGTTTGCTTTTTTCCTGCCACGGTGATGTTTTGGGATAGGAGCATGCAGTATTATCTTTTGAAATCAGTATGATATTACTTCTCTAAAACAAATGTTACTGGCACAAAATACCATTTCCATCTTCTCTGTTCTAATTAAAAGGGAGATTTCAATCAGCAGTTGAGCTGACACTGGCATTCATTGACTTAGAGAATGAAAGACTCTGTTAATATGTGTAGATGACCTGTGTACACTTTTGGCTTCTTTCTTGTTATAAGTAACCAGGAAGACATAGCAAAAAAGTACAATGATATCTCACCATACTTACATATAAATTACTCAAATTCAAAATTACTGCAAATTACAAAACAGAAAGATAACAGTTTATATACTGTGCAATTATTCCTGCTAACCTTTTAGGTGGGAGCAGGCCCGGGTTGAGTGTGAGATGGGAGATGAGAATCTGTCTAATCTCTCATTTGGCACTGGTTACTGTGTTCCTGTCATAGAGAGAACAGCTTGCTACCCTGAAGATGTTTGTGGTAGGTGAATATTTCCTGTGTGATATAGACCCTAACCACACAAGGATAACCCATGTTATTTTACTGGTGATTTAAGGCAAGAAACAGCTGTTTGTTTCTAATGGCTGAAGAAAAAAAATGCCCATATTAACGTCAGTGACACAGGGCATGGCAACTTTTGGAGGATCCTTAAGCAATATTTTTGCCTCCTGTAATCATTGTAGCATCTAACTTTTGTTTAATGATGACCCCACTGTAGCACCAAATAACGTTATTCTTAATTGTGCATGGCTTTTATGTAAGATATTTATAGACATATAAGTAGCCTCATATTGTTAAATAGTTATGAATTTAGTTTTTTACTATATTTTACGAGGCTATAATACTAGATTGTCATAGACACTCATAGAATGTTTTATTATAGATGTTTTTATTTCAGGAGGAAATGCATTCTTCAGTGCACAGAATGCAGCAAAAGAACTGCCCGATCGGTGTTCTGTAAGCCCTACCTTAACACGGCCGAGTATTAGAGAAAATGGAAACACAGCAACAACTCCTAGGAACACCTACAAAATGACTTCTGTGGAGATGAAGACTTCAGATACTCAGGCAGAGCCTTCAAAGACAGTATCCAGTGCAAACAAGTCAAGAAGGTCTACTGAGCTCAGAAATGTACAGAAGCTACCTGCGGAAAGTAAGAGCGAAGAAACAAATACTGGCATTGTCAACTGCGTCATAGGAAGATGTCAGAAGACAACACCACTGCAACGAAAGAGAGGAGGAGAGATGAAGGAAATCGAAAGACCCTTTGAGACGCGTAAGGAAAATATTGAATTAAAAGAAAATGTTGAAAAGATGAAAGCAGTGAAGAGATCAAGAAGAACCTGGGGGCCGAAAGGTGAACCAGTGTCAGACCTAACAGATCTCAAGAGCTTGCCTGATACAGAACGCATGAAAGACCTGGCTCATGGCCAGGAACTCCTCCAAACCCAAGATCATACCAAGGTACCAGAGAGTGAGAAGGACAAAATCACTAAAATGCCCTGCAGGTCATTACAGCGAGAACCAACAGACACCCCAACGTGCATGAAGCAGCAGCCCAAGACATCCCTGGGGAAGGTGGGTGTGAAAGAAGAGCTCCTTGCCGCAGGCAAGCTCACACGGACACCAGCGGAGACCACACACACACACACAGAGCCAGCAGGAGATGGAAAGAGAATCAGAGCATTTAAGGAGTCTCCAAAGCAGATCCTGAACCCAGTAGCCTATGTAACTGGAACAAAGAGGTGGCCAAGAACGCCTAAGGAAGAGGCCCAATCACTGGAAGACCTGGCTGGCTTCAGAGAGCTCTTCCAGACGCCAGGTCACACTGAGGAATCAATGACCAATGAGAAAACTACCAACATACCCAGCAAAACTCTACCACCAGAGTCAGTGGACACCCCAACAAGCACAAAGCAACGGCCTAAGAGAAGTCTCAGGAAAGCAGACATAGAGGAAGAATTCTTAGCACTCAGGAAACTGACACCATCAGCAGGGAAAGCCACGCGCACACCCAAACTGACAGCAAGTGATGAGAAAGACATGAAAGCATTGATGGGAACTCCAGTGCAGAAACTGGACCTGGTAGGAAATTTACCTGGTAGCAAGAGACAGCCACAGACTCCTAAGGAGAAGGCCCAGGCTCTAGAAGACCTGGATGGCTTTAAAGAGCTTTTCCGGACTCCTGGTCACACCAAGGAATCAGTGGCTGCTGGCAAAACCACTAAAATACGCTGCAAATCTCCACAACCAGACCCAGTGGACACCCCAACAAGCACAAAACAACGACCCAAGAGAAGTCTCAGGAAAGCAGACATAGAAGAAGAATTCTTAGCACTCCGGAAACTAACGCCATCAGCAGGAAAAGCCACGCACACACCCAAACTGGCAGTAGGTGAAGAGAAAGACATCAGCACATTTGTGGGAACTCCAATGCAGAAACTAGACCTGCCAGAGAACTTAATCGGGAGCAAGAGACGGCCACAAACTCCTAAGGAAAAGGCCCAGGCTCTAGAAGACCTGGCTGGCTTCAAAGAGCTCTTCCAGACCCCTGGTCACACTGAGGAAGCAGTGGCTGCAGGCAAAACCACTAAGGTGCCCCACAAATCTTCTCCGCCAGAATCAGCAGACACCCCAACAAGCACAAGAAGGCGGCCTAAGACACCTTTGGGAGAAAGAGATGTACAGAAAGAGCTCTTAGCCCTGAAGAGGCTCACACAGATATCAGGGGAAACCACACACACAGCCAAAGCACCAGGAGGTGAGGATACAGGCATCAAAGTGTTTAAGGAAACTGCTAAGCAGAAACTGGACCCAGCAGCAAGTGTAAGTGGCAGCAAGAAGCCACCAAGAACTCCTAAGAGAAAGGCCCAATCCCTAGAAGACCTGACCGGCTCGAAAGAGCTCTTCCAGACACCAGTATGCACTGATAAGCTCACGACTGATGAAAACACTACCAAAATAGTTTGCAAATCTCCACAACCAGACTCAGTGGACACCCCAACAAGCTTCCAGGCACAGCCCAAGAGAAGTCTCAGGAAAGCAGACGTAGAAGAATTCTCAGCCCTCAGGAAACGAACATCATCAGCAGGCAAAGCCATGCGCACACCCAAACCAGCAGTAGATGATGAGAAAAACATCAGTGCAGTTATGAGAACTCCAGTGCAGAAACTGGACCTACCAGAAAACTTAACTGGCAGCAAGAGACGGCCACAGACTCCTAAGGAAAAGGCCCAGGCTCTAGAAGACCTGGCTGGCCTCAAAGAGCTCTTCCAGACCCCTGGTCACACTGAGGTATCAATGACTAATGAAAAAACTGCCAGGATGGCCTGCAGATCTTCACAACCAGACCCAGACAAAACCCCAGCAAGCTCCAAGCAATGGCTCAGGACATCCCTGGGGAAGGTGGGTGAGAAAGAAGAACTCTTAGCAGTCAGCAAGCTCACACAGATGCCAGTGGGGACGACACACACACACGCAGAGCCAACAGGAGATGGCAAGAGCATCAGAGCATTTAAGGAGTCCCCAAAGCAGATCTTAGACCCAGCAGCAAGTCTAACTGGCAGCAAGAGGCAGCCAAAAAATTCTAAGGAAAAGGCTGAAGTCCTTGAAGACCTGGTCGGCTTCAAAGAGCTCTTCCAGACACCAGGTCACACTAAGGAATCAATGACTAATGAAATAAGTACGAAAATACTCTACAGCTCTTCACCACCAGACCCAGTGGACACCCCAACAAGCTGCAAGCCACAGCCCAAGAGAAGTCTCAGGAAAGCAGATGTAGAAGAAGAATTTTTAGCATTTAGGAAACTAACACCATCAGCAGGCAAAGCCATGCACACACCCAAACCAGCAGGAAGTGAAGAGAAAGACATGAAAGCATTGATGAGAACTTTAGTGCAGAAACTGGACCTGCCAGAAAATGTACCTGGCAGCAGGCAATGGCCACAAACTCCTAAGGAAAAGGCCCAGGCTCTAGAAGACCTGGCTGGCTTCAAAGAGCTTTTCCAGACACCATGCACTGATAACCCCACAACTGACAAGAAAACCACCAAAATACCCTGCAAATCTCCACAGACGAATCCAGTGGACACCCCAACAAGCACAAAGCAACGACCAAAGAGAAGTCTCAGGAAAGCAGACATAGAGGAAGAATTTTCAGCACACGGGAAACTAACGCCATCAGCAGGAAAACTCGTGCACACACCTAAACCAGCAGTAGGTGAAGAGAAAGATGGCACATTTGTGGGGACTCCAGTGCAGAAACCGGACCTGCCAGGAAATTTACCTGGTAGCAAGAGACGGCCACAAACTCCTAAGGAGAGGGCCCAGACCCATGCTCTAGAAGAATTGGCTGGCTTCAGAAAGCTCTTCCAGACACCGGATCACACTGAGGAATCAACAGCTACTGACAAAATCACAAAAGTATCCTGCAAATCTCCACAACCAGACCCCGTCAAAACCCCGACAAGCTCCAAGCGACGGCGCAAGACATCCCTCGGGAAAGCAAGCGTGAAAGAAGAGCTCCTAGCTGTCAGCAAACTCACGCAGACGTCAGGGGAGACCACGCACACACACAGAGAGCCAGCATGCGATGGAAAGAGCATCAGAGCATTTAAGGAGTCTGCAAAGCCGATGCTGGACTCAGCAGACTATGTAACTGGAACGAAGAGGTGGCCAAGAACACCTAAGGAAGAGGCCCAATCACTAGAAGATCTGGCCGGCTTCAGAGAGCTCTTCCAGACACCACGTCACACTGAGGAATCAAAGACTGATGACAAAACTACCAACATACCCTGCAAATCTCCACCGCCAGAATCAGTGGACACCCCAACAAGCACAAGAAGGCGTCCCAAGACAGCTTTGGGGAAAAGGAATGTAGTAGAAGAGTTCTCAGCCCTGAAGAGGCTCACACAGACACCAGGGGGAATCACACACACAGACAAAGCACCAGGAGGTGAGGATACAGGCATCAAAGTGTTTAAGGAAACTGCTAAGCAGAAACTGGACCCAGCAGCAAGTGTAAGTGGCAGCAAGAAGCCGCCAAGAACTCCTAAGAGAAAGGCCCAATCCCTAGAAGACCTGACCGGCTTGAAAGAGCTCTTCAAGACACCAGTATGCACTGATAAGCTCACGACTGATGAAAATACTACCAAAATAGTTTGCAAATCTCCACAACCAGACCCAGTGGACACCCCAACAAGCTTCCAGGCACAGTCCAAGAGAAGTCTCAGGAAAGCAGACATAGAGGAAGAATTCTTAACACTCAGGAAAACATCAGCAGGCAAAGCCATGCGCACACCCAAACCAGCAGTAGATGATGAGAAAAACATCAGTGCAGTTATGAGAACTCCAGTGCAGAAACTGGACCTACCAGAAAACTTAACTGGCAGCAAGAGACGGCCACAGACTCCTAAGGAAAAGGCCCAGGCTCTAGAAGACCTGGCTGGCTTCAAAGAGCTCTTCCAGACTCCAGGCATGGACAAGCCCACTACTGATGAGAAAACTACCAAAATACGTTGCAAATCTCCACAACCAGACCCAGTGGACACCCCAACAAGCACAATTCAATGGCCCAAGAGAAGTCTCAGGAAAGCAGAAGTAGAGGAAGAATTTTCAGCACTCAGGAAGCTAACTCCATCAGCAGGCAAAGCCATGCACACACCTAAACCAGCAGTAAGTGATGAGAAAAACATGAACACATTTGTGGAAACTCCAGTGCAGAAACTGGACTCGCCAGGAAATTTACCTGGTAGCAAGAGACAGCCACAAACTCCTAAGGAAAAGGCTGAGGCTCTCGAGGACCTGGCTGGGTTCAAAGAGCTTTTCCAGACACCAGATCACACTGAGGAATCGATGACTAATGACAAGATCACAGGAGTATCATGCAAATCTCCACAGCCAGAGCCATTCAAAACCTCAAGAAGCTCCAGGCAACAGCTCAAGGTATCCCTGGTGAAAGTGGGCATGAAAGAAGAGCTCCTCACAGTCAGCAAGCTCACACGGACATCAGAGAAGACTGCACAAACACACACAGAGCCAACAGGAGGTGGTAAGAGTATCAAAGCCTTTAAGGAGTCTCCAAGGCAGATCGTGGACCCAGCAGCAAATATAACTGGTAGCAAGAGGCAGCTGAGAACTCGTAAGGAAAAGGCCCACATTCTGGAAGACCCAGGTGTCTTCAAAGAGCTCGGCCCAGCACCAAGTCATGCTGAAGAGTCCATGACTACTGACAAAAACACCAAACCTCCCTGCAAATCTCCCCCACCAGAACTAGCAGACACTGCCAAGAACACAAAGAGATGCGCCAGGACACGTCTCAGGAAAGAAGTGAAAGAGGAGCTCTCAGCAGTTCAGAAGCTCACACAAACATCAGGGCAAAGCGCGCACACACACACAGAACCAGCGAGTGATGGTGAAGGCACCAAAGTATTCAGGCAACATGCCAAGAAGACACCGAACCCAGGAGTAGAGGAACCCAGCAGGAGAAGGCCAAGAGCACCTAAGGCAAAGGCCCAACCCCTGGAAGACCTGGCTGGCTTCAAAGAGCTTTCTGAAACACCAGGTCACTCTCAGGAATCACTGACTACTGGCAAAGCCACTAAAATACCCTGCAAATCTCCCCCACTACAACTAGTAGACACCAGAACAAGCACCAAGAGGCATCTCAGGACACATGCGAGGAAGGTGGAAGTGAAAGAAGAGCCGTCAGCAGTCGGTAAGTTCACACAGACATCAGGGGAAGTGGCGGATGCAGACAGAGAATCAGTAGGTAAAGATAAAGGCATCAAAGCATCTAAGGAACCTGCAAAGCAGACACTGGCTCCAGCAGCATGTGTAACTGGCAGCAGGAGACGACCAAGGGCACCCAGGGAAAATGCCCATGCCCTGGAAGACCTGGCTGGCTTCCAAGACCCAGCACCAAGTCACCCTAAAGAATCAATGACTGGTGACAAAGCCACTAAAATAGCCTGCAAATCATTGCCAGAACCAGTAGACACTGCAACAAGCTCAAAGAGACGGCTCAGGACACGTGCCCAGAAAGTAGAAGTGAAGGAAGAGCCCTTAGCAGGCGGCCAGCTCCCACCAGCGTCAGGGGAGACCACGCACACTGACAAAGAACCAGCAGGTGAAGGCAATGGGGTGAAAGCATTTAAGCAACCTTCAAAGCGGAAGCTGGACCCAGAAAATGTCATTGGCAGCAGGAGACGGCCACCAGCACCTAAGGAAAAGGCCCAACCCCCAGAAGATCCGGCCAGCTTTCAAGAGCTCTCTCAAACACCAGGCCACACTGAGGAACCAGCCAATGGTGCTGGCAGCTTTACAGGAACTTCAAAGCAAACACCTGACAGTGGAAAACCTCTAAAAATATCCAGAAGAGTTCTTCGGGCCCCTAAAGTAGAACCTGTGGGAGATGAGGTAGGCACCAGAGACCCTGTAAAATCACAAAGCAAAAGCAACTCTTCCCTGCCCCCACCGCCCTGCAAGAGGGGATGTGGAAGAGATGGAAGCGTCACAGGAATCAAGAGGCTGTGCTTTATGCCTGTGCCAGAGGAAATAGTGCAAGAGCTTCCGGCCAGCAAGAAGCAGAGGGTTCCTCCAAGGCTGAGAGCCAAGTCACCCGAACCCTTGGTCATCATGAAGAGAAGCTTGAGGACTTCTGCAAAAAGAAATGAACCTGCAGAAGAGCCGAACAGCAACAGCATGAACACCAACAAAGAGGAACACGGAGTACAAGACTCGGTCCCTGAAAAGAAGGTGAGAGGGAGTATTACAGCATCACTCACTATCATCTTGGATAGCTGTCAATCTCTGTGTTATAATTTGCATGTAATCTGACTTCATAAGTGGTTATCCTCTCCCCAAACGGTTTCATTCAACACAGTGAATAACTGCAGACCATGGTACAGAATCTTCTTGGGATCTGTAGAGGGAACAGACTAATTAGGGAAAAGAGCTAGTCAGAAATGATTAATGCAAACTTAGAAGTTTCTCAGGAGCCAAATGAGTGATGTTCATCTTCAGATGTTTAAACAATTGATCGGGATGGGTGGGTGGTTCAGTTCTATGTTCTAGATACTATCACCAGTACTGGGTTAAAAGTACTGACCATGTCACTGTTTTAACTATCAGAACAGTATCAACAGGGAGTGTGTATTCTTGAGAAGGACGAAACTGCCTGGACTGTTAGATAGAGAGGTTCCTGCCACATGCAGAGAAGTTTGGAAAAACCCCAGAAATGACACTTTGCTGTTCTGTCTTAGCAGTGATCGTTAAAGGACTAGAAATCCATGTACTCCCTGTAAATGAATGAATAATGGAGCTTCTTTCTCTAGCATAAACTGTAAAGATTAGATTGGACATATATCTCATTAGGCGTCACGACTGCAATTTATCCTGAATTCCTTACTTATAATTTGTCAGCTGAGACAGTCATTTCTCCATAGGAACAAAGGACCAAGGCATTTCCTTAGACGACAGGTCTCTTAGAAAAGTCACCAGTGGGTAATTTTCAAATGATTTCTGCTTTTAGTTTCCTGTTGATTGTTCTCCCTGTTGCATTTTGAAGCTTGTTTTACTAATTATTGGAATTTTGTGGATGTCTTCTCATTTCTTTAGGGAATGTCTCTGCGTGCCAGACGCCAAAATAAGACTGATGCGGAACAGCCTACAACTGAGGTCTTTATATTAGCAGAAAGAATAAAAACAAACAGAAATGCAAAGAAGCCCATGAAGACCCCCCAAGAGATGGACATTCGGAGTCCGGATGATGGAGCCCAGAAACCCGTACGTGGGGGCAAAGCCGGTGAAGACAAAAGGCGCTTGAGGTCTGTTAGACAGAATAGGAGCTCCCAGCCTCAGGTGGCAGAGGAGAGCGAGGGGCAGAAGAGCACGGGGACTCTCCTGCAGAATCAGGAAAGGAAAGGAGAGGCAGGAAATTCAGACTCCATGCATTTGAGATCAAGAAAGACCAAAAGCCAGTCTGCAGCAAGCACTTTGGAGAGTGAATCTGCACAGGGAGTTACGCGGGGTGTCAAGAGGTGTGCAGAGAATCCGAAGAAGGTAAGCCATTTGCCATTTTTGTTTTTTAAAAGAGACAGAATGTTTTGATGTATTTTTGCCCAAGGTTGCAAGGGTAAACCAAAAACATGAACAGCACTCTGCCAGCTCCCAGTTACATTGGTGGAGGGAGTATTAAGCTAAGACATACATTTTGTCATTTTAGTTATATTTTGTTGTGTTTGTTTTGAGAATTCCACTTAAAATAGCAAATTCACATTATGAAGACTTTCTTCAGAAGGACAAGGAATTTGTCTAGTCGCTAATTTCTGACTGCTTATGATGTACCTCATGATATAATTGTAGGTAGGTGTCTTCAGCCTTTCTGTAGTTCAAAAAAACCTATTGAAACAAGTTATTTCAAAATAAAAAAAAAACTATTGAAAGAGAAAGTTTTCCAAGGAATTCTTTGGAAAGGTGGAAGGAACAGAGGTTGAGGTGTCCCTAAGGCACACGCTCATTATGTGAGAGTTCCTGATCAGTGGGAGGTGTCTCTGCCCTCCACCCCTCCTCCAGCCAGAGACTATCTAAGCTAAGGAGCTTTAAACGCTACTGAAATCACATCAAGTTTAGCACTCATAATTACTATCATGTGGACAAATCCATAATGAGGATTAAATTCCATTAGTGTTATTTTGGGAAATACTTGGTTTAGCTAAAATAAAGATAGGTTGAATTGCTACCTTTTTGTGAGTGGTATAAATTTAATTCTTAGCACACACAAAATTCGGGCTTTAAACTACCATATTCTGAGTTCAGCAAGCGAAACTCATGTAGCAATAACCTCTCAGATATAGAATTTTGGCAAGTAAAGCTGTCCCGCGACAGACCCTCTTCAGCACAAAGTAGGACGCTTCAGCTGCCAAGAAGATGAAAGGTTCCCAGGTGTCCCTGGTACCTGCTACATAGCCAGGCAGCCGGTGGAAGGGGGACTTGTGTGTCTGGGTGGTGGACAGGAAGTCCTAGTTGGGAAATGCCTATAGCTGTTCCATAGAGGAACGAGGAGAAGAGGCTCAAGGAGGACACTGATGCCCATGCTGGTGTCCTAAGTCAGAGACTGTACTTCTGGGACAGGCTGGAAGCAGAAGACACCCGATAGTGCCAGACAAGGTCCTAGAGACCACAGGGACACCGGTACACAGCTGATGTGGGTCGGCACATTCACCTGTCCAGTCTTACGTCAAACTCAGGCTCTAAACCCTTGCCAGATTCACAGTCTGGAAGGTGCTGCTTTATCAGAATGAAATCAAAGAAGGGTAAAAGCAAATCTTTTAACTAGGATGATTCCTAAACACAGGGCAACCAGGCCCAAGGCTGAGCCAGGCCTGGTGTGTTCTGCTGGGGGCATTCCAGCGTTTTCTCACACTCAAGCTCCCAGGAGACCTCCAACACGTACTCCTCTATTGCTGTGTTCTTCAGTGGGTGTTGGTAGGCCCGGAAAATGCATATATAAGATAGTTTTCCAGTAAGAGCTTATAGCCACGCTTTTCACCATGGTCCCTCCCGCTTAGCCGAGAGGTGAAAACCACTGCAAGAATGACGGCCAAGGCAGGTCCCCATCCATGTGAGGTGGGGATGGTTCTGTCCACAGGGGTTGCTTGGTTTAGGAGAACCAAAAGACTCGGTACTGGTTGAGCTCACTTTTTCTGAGGGACACTTTTTAGTTTGTGAAAATGTGTGCATTGACGAAGAAATTTTGTTTTATTATTTGTCAGCTTAAAAGTGCATTAGGAACTTTTGCATGAAAAGATCGCAGTATTTAAGCATAAAAAACTGCATAATAAAAGCAGTTTAAGTTCAAAACAACTCTAATGGAATATATTTTAAAACTTATTTCCGACCTCAAAATTAATTTTCTACAACAAAGGACCTGCATAATACCTAGTAGGCCTTTGGGGTTTTGCAGACGAGGGTCGATTATGAAAATGGGTGTTGAAATTACTAAGAGTTCTATGTTTTTCTTCCCACACAGGCTGAGGACGTGGTATGCATCAAGAAAATAAGAACCAGAGGCACCAGGGCAGTGAAGATATTTAACACAAAAATCTAACAGGGAAAAATATAATAAAGTTAGTTTTGTGATAAGTTCTAATACCGTTTTTGTCATAAATTAAAGTGAATTTTGTAGGTAAAGCTGTCAGTCTGCGCAAGGGAAGAAAACTTGGGGTATGCTGGGTCTGAATGGGCTTCCTTGATCTTGAACTCCTGACCTCAAGTGATCCACCCACCTTGGCCTCCCAAAGTGCTGGGATTACAGGCGTGAGCCACCATGCCTGGCCTGAATGGGCTTCCTAAACTTCACTGGGAGCACTGCTGGGCTCCCGGATGAAGAACAGTTGAACATGGGGGGCTTCGGGAAGGAGTTTGAGCTGAGGTTTGCCCTCAGCTTTGCAGAATGAAGTGTTGAGGTCCATCACCACCCACAGCCACCCTACAGCAGCCCTAACTGTGACTCCTGCCACACTGTGTCACTGTTTAAATGTTTGCCTGTGTCCTCCAGAGCACGATGGCAGGAACGTCCATCCTCAGCTGTCCCAGCACCGAGCAGGCACTCGGGAAACACGAATGAATGGATGAGTGCACCGATGAATGGAACTTACAAGATCTGTCTTTCTAATGGCTGCGGGGGCATTTGGTCTCCACACTGAGGCTATTGGACATCTGCACAGGACAGTCCTATTTTTTGTGACCTTTCCTTTCTGGAAATAAAGTGCTTTGGAGGATGACTTGTGAATACATCTCTAGGGACCAAGAGTGACCTTCTTTAAGGAGTGGCTCATGGCTTGCCTTTGTCTCTTGGGAGTGCTTTTGTAAGCAGGGCTGCTCTCACCTGAGACAGCCTCCCCACATGGGATCTCTGTCCCGGCTACAGTGCGTCTCCACTTCAAACCGTGGCTCCTCATCTGCACCTCTCCAGCTTACCTGTTATTGACAGTTCCGGAAGTTTACTGGCTGTGCTCCCGCCTGTTCTCTTTCTGACTACCTGGCAGCCTGATGCCACCCGGTACATGCAGTGGCACCAGTACTCTGAAAAGCATCCTCGTCCTTGGAGGGACTGAGCACTCAGCCCCTTCAGCCACAGTTTCAGGATCACATCCTGGTGAGCTGTTGCCTCCGAAATCTCTTTTGAAGTCCAGACTTCTTTCTCCAGCTCCAGACCCGTAGACATAACTGTTACTCATCTCCGCTTACTTTCTACTTTGTCCCTGTTCTCTCTATGTTCCCCTAATCAGAGAATAGTGCACCACCCCCCAGGTCACCTGTTTGGACTCCCCTATTCACCCACCTTGCCAGATGGAGGTGAGGATGGCACACCTGACAGGGTAGCTGTCCCCCAGCGTGTGCTCTATGCAGGCAGTGCCCCGTCTCCACACTTGTCTCCCCAGTGTCTGGCGGGGAGCCAGGTAACATCATAAATACTTGCTCAATGAATGCAGAAATCAGTGCTATTGGCTTGTGTTATATTGGCTGCCATGATAGTGTTCTGACAGCGTTGTCCGTGATCATAAGGAGAATGACGTTCTGCTGGAGGGAGGGAACAGAAAGGGGTAGGGAGGGGACATCTGAGGGCTCCACAGGCTGCAAAGGGGACAGGGATTGCACCAGAGCAGAGCGGGGGAGGATATTCAAGGAGGAGCAGCTCTTGGTGGAGGCACTTTGGAAGGTGTGAGGCATAAATGCTTCCTTCTAGTTAGCCCAGCTTCAGAACCGTGAGTAGGAATGTTGCTATGATCAAGTTGTTCTAACACTTCAGACTTTCTAGTAGTTATGAACCTCACATTAGAAAAATGTCATGCAGCCATATGCCTATAGAGTGGAATATTCTGTTTAGTAGGAAAATCCTTGGAGTTCAGTTCTAACCAGAAATCTTGCTGAAGTGTGTCAGCACCTTTTCTTACCCTGACCAGACTGACCACTGAGCACTGCTCTCCCTCCCTTCCTCCTCAGCCTCTCCCGATGGTGATGAGCCCCAGGTGCACCCTCTTCCCTGACCAGACTGACCACTGAGCACTCAGTATTTCAAGAACACACTAAGGGTGGTTTTCATCTTACAGGGCTGTTAATGACTGATTAGAAACATTCATTCAAGGGCTACCCCCATGTTTAATAGATGGAGAACACTTCTACACAACATTTTCACTTGGTATTGGTGGGGAGGGGGGATCTGCCAAATACTGCCCATTCCTCTAGGCTGACTATTTGAGAACAAATACCCACCTATTCCCACTATGGCATGGTAACTTCTCTGAGCTTCAGTTTCTAAGCGAATTTCTGTGTGATAGGACATTCCCAATAAATAGAAGCTGTTTTGACTTTTTCACCTCCAACGGCCTGTGTGATATGGCCCCCAAGCCTTTCCTGAGCTTTCTTTTTTTTTCCCCGAGACTGAGTTTCTCTGTGTCGCCAGGCTGGAGTGCAGTGGCACTATCAGCACACTGCAAACCTCTTCCTCCTGGGTTCAAGTGATTCTCCTGCCTAAGCCTCCTGAGTAGATGGGACTACAGGTGCCCACCACCATGACTGGCTAATTTTTGTATTTTTAGTAGAGATGAGGTTTCACCATGTTGGCCAGGATGGTCTTGGTCTCTTGACCTAGTGATCCACACGCCTCGGCCTCCCAAAGTGTTAGGATTACAGGTGTGAGCCACTGCACCCACCATTCCCTGCCTCGATTAGCCAGGCACCCTCAGCCACCACATGCCCCCTCTGTTTCCCCTACCTAGAACTTTCCCTTCTGCCCCACCAACATCATTTCATCCAGTACTGAGCTCAGCTGAAGGGAGCCTTCTTCCCTGTGGGCATCCTCACCCCCACGCCTGTCGTCCAGGCTGGGGCAGGTCCTTCATTTGCCTGGAATTGTTCTGTACCTCTTTGTAGCATGTAGCACTGTGGATGCTAAACCACTGAGTCTCCGGCCCCCTCCTGGAGTGGTAAGTTTTGTTCATTCATGAGGGCTGACTGTGTATTTCCTGGTTACTATATCCCAGTGACCAGCCCCAGGAGATGTCCAACAAAGTGTGTGATGAAATGGTCTTAAAACGCTGGTGTTTTTATTATGGGGAGAGTGGGGAAAGAAACTAAGTGGGGGTGGGGCAGACAGGCCAGTGTAAGAGAGACTGGTTCATGACATTCTGTTTTCCTTTATTCAACAACTTGGCTGGATGATCATTTTCTCTCTTGGCCAGTAAGTCATTGCAGCCGCTTTTAGTCCTGCAGGAACCGTCAACTGTGTTCCAAGAACTACCTGCAACCGAAGCTGTGTCTGCTTTTTTGGAAGAGGTGCTGAGTTGGGGGACAGGGATTTGACCCAGAGCAGCCCCAAGTCAGCAGATGAAAAGTACATTCCCTGACTTTCCTCTGTTGATCCCGATTTGACGTGGATCCTGGGAGTGAATCTGCAGGCAAGTTTCAGGGGCAGGAGCCTGCGGTAGGCCGGTTAGTCCTGAAGAAGAGGCCTTGCTGTTGGAGCAAGAGAAAAGTTAGCAGGTGGGTGCACCTGGGGCTCATCGGGAGAGGCTGAGGAGGAAGGGAGGGAGAGCAGTGCTCAGTGGTCAGTCTGGTCAGGGAAGAGGGTTCAGGCCCCAGCCCACACCCTGGGCTGTCACTGAGAGTCAATACGGCAAATGGTGACCCCATAAAGTAAACTGTAGCTACGTAACTAAAAATGATTTCATGCAGCTGGGATCCTACCGTGCGCTGGGCTTCCTGGAAAAGTCCTCTAGACTAGCTGCAGGAATCACCTGGCACTCTGGTTACAGCTGGAGAAGCTGATTGCCATGAGGGGCAGATGCTCCAGACCCGCAAGGCATCCCCAGGACACAATCACAAAACTATCCTGGTATCCCTGGCATTGAGTGCCATGCAGGCACACAGCACTCCATAATTTGGCAATGTGGATTTCGTTGCCATTGCTCTTCCTGAGAAAACAAGAAGTGCCCATGATGTGTGGCAGGAAACCCCTCCCGCGGTCTGCGCGGGGATTTCAGGAAGGAGATTTGGTTTGTTGTGTCTTGCTCTGCGAGGGCCCCAGTCAGCTTCGTGCTCAACAGCCCGTCTCAGGCAGTCTCGCGTCTGTGACGTCAAGCCCTGAGCCAGGTAATTGGACTTGGATACCTGCTTGACCCATCTCTCCAGTGGGGTTCCTAAGCAGCCTCCACAACCCAAACTCCCAGGGGGAGCTCTTGATGTCACCTGAAGAAAAAACAAACAAAAACTGTATTGACAGCACAGTCCCAGGTCTCAGTGACAGGAAAGCAGGAAAGGCTCTGACACCTGTGTATGTCACTGCAGAAACAGAGCTGGTGCAGGCCTATCTACTTCTCTCACAGGTCGGAGTGTTCTAAAATCCATCCTGGCCCTTGTCTGTCTGCCAGGTGCTCCTTTATCATTTGCAAAATTAACGTGATATCTGGCATGCATTCCACACCCTTGCGCAGTGTAAATTCCTAGAGAGAGTTTAGACTTCGGAGTCAAATGCTTAGGTGTAAATTCTAGCTTGACTAATTTGCTGCTGTGTGAACTTAGTCATTTAACTTTGCTAGATGATTTCCCATTCGTAAATGAGGCTGTTCAGTACCTGAGCACATAGCATCGTTGAGAAGATTAAATGAGACCATATGTGTAAAACACTTAGCATTTCACTCAAAGCTTGGTAAGCATCAGTACATGCTAATTATCATCATGAGAGGATGAACATATTTATTAGATGCCAGAAGCTCCAAGATATTTCCTGTGGCTCATAAATTCTTTCGTTGCTGGGGATTTCTCTATGAGAAGGTGAAGGAAGAATCTGGAACATAATAGCACTGAATAGCGAGGGGCAGTGGCTTACACTGGTAATTCCAGCACATTTGAGGTGAAGGCCGGAGAATCGCTTGAGGCCAGGAGTTCAAGATCAGCATGAGCAACATAGCAAGACCCCATCTCTACAAAAAAAAGAAACAGCTGGGCATGGTGGCACATACCTTAGTCCCAGCTACTTGGGAGGCTGATATGGGAGGATTGCTTGAGCCCAGGAGGTCAAGGCTGCAGTGCGTTATGATTGTATCACTGCAGTCCAGTCACTTAATATGTGACTCACATATTAACCTCCCTAACATCAAGATTATCATGAACTTGGTGGGATCTTACAGGAATAAACAGCCGCATTTTTGCTTTCTCAGCAGAACATAAAGTGATTTTGACAATGGGAGTCCCGGATCTGATGCTATACCAGGAGTTTGACTGTTGGTCATAAAAACAAACAGTGTGTGTTTCTGTAACTATACAGATTTCAATTGCAGAGTGTTGTCTGTTTTGAGATGTACTCCAAAGTTATCCGTGGGTTGAGATGGGGAGGGGAGCTAGGAAAGGGGCTGAATGCATACAGACTCTTGGTGTATTTCTGTTTGGTTTGAACGCTTATAACAAACATGTCTCCCTGTATTGCTGGTATTGTCCCATTCTTCGAGACAAAGGGCAGTTGGTTCTGTTAGACCCTGGACCCAGTAGGAGACCAGCTGTGGGCACTGAGTGTGGAAGTGGCAGTGTGAGCCCCCGCTGGGGCACGGCTGTCCTGGACCCTGAAGTTGCCCTCCCAGCAACTCAGCAGATGGCCTGAGGCCCCCCTGGACTGACTTTGCTCCCCACTGACACACAGCCACCACGCTCAATATGGAAGCATCAGAGGCCAAGCTTGGAAGCTTGGTGACCACAGCAGGTTCCTTGGGTGTTCTGCATCACTGCCCTAGATGCTCCTCTGATTTTGGCTACAGTATGCCCACAAGTGGGGCATGCATATGTCAGGGAGCTGGCAGCCTTGGAACCAACCCTCCACCTGATGGATGAGAGCCATGGGTCAGTGCTCCAGCATCCTGCCCCTTCATGCAGGAGATGTGGGGAGACCCCTTAAGCATCTCGGCAGAGTGGAGTTCCCAGTGTGGTCTCAATAACGCTTCTCTGAGTGGCTTGCTGAGACGCATACCCTAACCGGTGCCTTTGGCTACCTTCCTGTCTCTCCTGAGGTCCCTTAGCACTCAGTGTCCTATCTGTGTGTTTCTGTTGACAGGGCCTGTCTTGGAGGCTGGTCTAGCAGTTGTACTTTTGCAGACCTCAGCTCCTTCTGCAGCGTTGGGCTCAGGCAGGGCTATTTGAGTTCACCGGGTAGATGCCCAGTTGGTGACTTCCTCTATGCCTCCTCCACATCTCCTTTTCCTTGGATCCCTCTGCCCCTCCCCATTGTGTCCAGCTGTGCCTGCACCTTCATGTGCCCAGGTTGCTTACCCCAGGGGAAGAGCCAAGGCCACATTCACAGCAGAGTGGATGCTGCCTTTCTAGGATGGGACACTGGGACCCACAGACCCATAGGGAGAAACCAGTAACAAAAGGGTCCACAACAGCAAACACCATCTCATAGCAGGTGATTTCCACCCCCTATAGGAATGAAATGAAGAGATCTGAAGAAAAAGACGCAGGCTGGTAGTCAAAGTAAAGGTTTATCCTTGCGTCAGAATGGTTTAAACCTTGCAATTTGCATATACAAAGAATTCAGCAACATTCACTGGCATTATAATCAGAGCAAGATCAAATGATAAATGTAATCGAAGAAAATATGACAGTTGAAACTGTAATAACATACATATATTATAAAGATGGCACATAAATTAAACACAACTTAGTTGAACAAACAAAAAATATCAGTAATCATACACTTAAAAGAATAACATGGGTATGTCTCCAAATGCTGAAACACAGGTGTCAGGCTCATTTTAAAAAGTGTTTAAAAACACATAAAAATACCTTTTAAAACACTGCTATGCATTCTTCATTCATAGAGCACATGGAGAGAAACCGTAAAGGCAGTCACACGGTGACCAGTATCACACAGATCAGAATGGTCAGCTTCTAATCACTATTTGGCATCTGAACGCAACTAACTGCATGCAACAGAGGAAAAGGTGAAAGGAACACCGGTGTCAGCACTGGGCTGTTCGGGGCTGTTCTGTTACGTACAGTGGACTTTCTTTGACTGAAGGAAAGAAGAGATTACCTTTCCAGGTTGCACGGAGATGGTATGGAGTCCCCCAGGGATTGATTCCTCGCAGCATGAGTTGCTCTAAGGCCCAGGAGATGGTGTGACCAGGGGCCTCGGTAGAGGCCACGAGGCTGTAATGACCGGCCCCTCTAAAAGGCAAATGCTGCCCCGGGCGGCAACAGGGAGAGTCCTGCAACCTGGGGAAGTGGCTTCTGCTTTGTTTCTGGAATGGAAACGGTTTGGGAATAGGCAGAACCCCTGCAGCAGACACCTGGGGTTGGTCTAAAGGGACAGGAAAAACCACGAGCAGGGCTCTTTCCTGAGGGCGCCCTGAAAAGGTCTACCTTAAAGGTACTTCTTGATACAAGAGATGCCAGTTAGACCATTAAAGGGTTCCAGGTTCTGACGAGGGCTCCTAGACATGAACCAAAGCCTGTGCCCCTTGACTTTGACTCTGAACTCTCACATGAATTACCAGAGTACCACCACCCTCATCGTAGCAAGCTGGCTCTGTTTCTAGGGTTCAGGTGCTGAATGGAAGCTTATTTCCCTCTCTTCTCCTTCAGTCGATAAAAGGCATTGGGTTTGGAATTTTAATGATGAAAACGAAAGAGACCTGGCAAGCCTCAAAAAGCTCCCTTTTCCTCTTCCACCGAGATGCCGAATCATTGTACAGAGAATGAGAGAGGAGCACATTCAGCAGTGCAGCCTAGACATGCAGCTGGTGAGGATGGCAGTCACAAAGTGTGCTTGCATCCTTCCAGCTGGGCACCAAGTCTTGCCCTTGGATGGGGCCCGGAGCCGTGGAGTGGGCAAGAAGCTTGATTCCCTGTGAGCCTATGACAACAATGTGTCCTGGGGTTGCATTTGCACACACCATCACGAATAGGGGATGAGCACTGCAACACGAGGGTGTGACTGTTTATCAGGGAAGATGTCAAAGAAGGCCTTTAATAGCTTTTAAAAAAAAAAGATGTGCCAAAAATTGCACGTGTTAAATGCTTTTAGTAGTAAGGTAGGCCAGATAACTTCCTGTTTATATTGTGCTCGTCTGCTGGGTACCTAGCAGCCATAGAAAGGTAACTGCTGTGAAACTCCATGTTGAGACATTCACATCCTATCCTTTCTCCCCCATCGGCCAGTCCTATCTGGCAATGGGATCATTATTATTGTCCAGTGTCAATGGTCTCAGTAGTATTTCCATTCAAAAATAATTTAGCTTTTAGATTAAGGATTTCTTTTTTCTTTTATTAAACACTGAAAGGTGGGACTTTAAAAAATGGTATAAATCTAGATTTTAAGGATTCCTTTCTTACAAACAATCTTAGCTTTTTACAAGAAATGTTTAAATACCAAAATGCTGCTCAGAAAATGTAAAGTTTAGTGGCCTGTGGTTATTCTACTGTTTCGATCCCAGTGTGTGCTCCTCTGTACTGCGTACGTAAGATGCTCTGTTCATCTGATCCTTTGGATGGGAGGTGGCTTCGTGTTGAGCCTCCAGGTGTAGCTCTGGACCAGCACAGGCCACTGTGGCAGAATGGGAGGGAAGAGTGGGAGAGGCAGCTGGTTTGATTCTCTGAGGGTTGTCTGGGCCAAACAGACAGGCAGCTGGACAGCAGGTGGTGCTTCAGAGTGCAGCTCCGGCTGACTTTGTTGTACTCAAGACCATGGTCAACGGGACGACCCAGCACTGACATCTCTTCTCATCCAGCCAAGACGGTGTAGACACAATCTTGAGTAAATGCATTTTTAAATATTACTGTAAAGTCGTCAGCGACTCTAGTGTGTTTGAGACCTGGATTCAGGTGGTAAAGACTTCTTTGATCTTTAAAATGTAAAGATAAACCGCATGGGCTGAGACTGAGAACTTTACAAAAGTCCTCATTTACATCGTATCGTCACGACAATTTGCCTTCCAAAAATGCTGTTGCTCAGGGTTGCGAAATGAGTGTTGGGAAAGCGCATTTTCAGCTGACTTCTGAGTCCTCAACTGTTTCCTTAATGTGAGCTTTGTGGTTAGTATCTCGCAGAGGCACACTTTGCATATTATGATGACAACATTTAGAGGCGTTGAATGTGAGAAAGTAAATGATATGAATCTAATGAAAAATTAAGATATTTACTAATATTAGCGGAAATATATATTTTATGGGATATTATTTGACCTTAATACATTACTCCAATTTTAAAAAAGCATATTTATGATTTAACAACTTTATAGCAGGTGGTTTTTAAGGCATAACAGAATATGTACAAAGAAATTAGGGAAGATATTGATGTCAACTATGAAATAAATTAACATGATTTTTACAAAATATACTGACCATTAAATTAAAAAATATTTTAAGGCAGGAATCTTCATTTGAAATTAGCATAATCAGAAAATATATCAATAAAATCTTGTACCACTTTGTAGCAGAATTCATACTGTTCCTGAAAAGACAAATAAGGACATATTAAAATGATATTCCCCAAAATATATTTGATTAATTTAATCAGGAGAAATGCTCAAAATCAAGACATAACTAAGTCTATTCATTAAAATAGGGTACATATACCTTTATGCACATTATGATTTAATTTTAGGCACATGCGGAATTCCAAATAAGGCTGTTTTCCTACATAAAACGTGTCAGTGTATCAATGTTTCAAGTTACTGTATTTAATGGGCTGAGTAAAACGTCTGGAGCTTTCACACTGAAACTGGAAAACAACTATTTTTGAATTGGAAAAAAAAAAGAAGCAGGCAGGGTGCAATGGCTCAATGTCAGTAACCCCAGCCCTTTGGGAGGCTGAGGCAGGAGGATCACTTGAGCCCAGGAGTTCCAGACCAGCCTGGGCAACATGATAAAACCCCATTTCTATCAAAAAAGATCCAAAAATTAGCTGGGAGCAGTGGTGCACACCTGTATTCCCAGATACTAGGGAGGCTGCGGTGGGAAAATTGCTTGAGCCCAGAAGGCAGACTGCAGTGAGCTAAGATTGCGCCACTGCCCTCCAGCCTAGGTGACAGAGTGAGATGCTGTCTCAGAGAAAAAAAAGAGAGAAGAAAAGAAAAAAGAAAAACAGAGTACTAACATTGCCAAAGAAATTTATAACACAAGAAAGCAATCTATAAAAGTCAAATAAAATGCACATCTACATTATTTTAAAGCCTAAATTTGCTATACAAAAGGGACACTGTTTTATATATGGGCCGATATTCCCAGGCTCCTGGGTGGGATACATGAGCTTGGGAAGCCTGAAAGGCCAAGAGCTGTCCTCAGCACCCTGCCTGCTTCTTTCCGACACATCGGCCTTGGGCTTCTCTCAGTACATGGTAAGCAAATATCTACAGGCCTTTGGGTGGAAAGATGCCAGACAGCTGGCTTAGCCCTTTCTCCATCCCGCCCTGGCCAGGATGGGAAGGACCTGGGTTTTCCAGAAGAAAGAAAAAGTGGGCCTGAAACTTTGCTCCTGGATTCTCATGAAGTTGTTGGAAGGGCCAAGACCAGATTGTAGGGTCCTCACTTCAGGCTACTAAGACACGTAGCTGATCACCCAGCCTTCAGAAAGAAAGGGAATTAAATTCCTAGAAGGAATTCTTAATAAATATACAGGCTCTCTTCAAAGAAGCAAACATTTTCATGACATGCATGAAGTGTTATATGTGCAAATTGGTTTTTGACTTTTCCAACTGAAAGCAACATCAACTGAACATCAGAGCTGGCTCGGTCTGGGATGGAAATGGAGACGATCACTAATCTCTGTTTTCACAGCAAACACAGCAGCTGACTGCTGACCACCCCATGTCGTCTTCAGTAAAAGCCACTGGGGCCAGTGATGGATGAAGTGTATTTTGACAGTGTGCTGGGATGACACAAGCCACACCTCAGGTCACAGATAGACATTTCTGGTCAAGCCACAAGGCTCCAGGAAAACAGACGTACTTGTGGCTATTGGGATGTCAGTTCCAACCAAAGCGTACCTAGGAAGCTGGAAGCAAGGCTTCCCTGAGTGCTCAGCAATGGGAAACTGGCTTGTGAGCCGCTGTGCTCACTGCAGGGCTAACTCAACCCGCATGCCAGCGATCATCTCTTTACTCAATGTTTTTTTCGGGCCTGTGTTTTTTTTTGTTTGTTTTTTTGGTTTTTTTTTTTTTTTTTTTTTGCCAAAATTTTCCTGCCAAACGTTAGGTTTGGTAGCACAGAGTATTAGAGAAGCCCTTCACTTCTGGAGTCTGAAAGAGTTTGAATCTCATTCTGACCCTTAGTACCTGAAGATCTTGGGCAGGCCTCTCAACGCTCCTAACTGGAGGTGCCTGCAGAACACTCCTTGTGAACAGAATCAGGCCCAAGAGCAAGTGGCCTATGAGGATGAAGTGAGAACGATGTGTGTAAGGCTGCGTAGCGCCCGACACCTGACAGTGACTACTTAGCGACTCACTTCTCCCTCATTCGCTTGCTGATTCATCACCTGCTCTGGAGCACACATCATGGCGTGGGCAGTGGACTAGACTCTGACTCTAAAATCAGGTTACAGAGTGCTCTGTCAAGCTGTTACCAGGCAACAGAGAACAGATGACAGCCACAATCTGAGGGCAGCTTCCCAGTAAGGGAGCATGGAGCGGGAAGCCGGGGTCAGGAAGAGGAGAGCTGAGACAGGAGGACACCCGAAGGCTAGATACTCTCGAAAATAGAATCCATTGGCCAGACCAGGCAGATTAATGAGAGCGGTGAGTCCCTAAAAGGACTAAGGAAGCGCTGTTTGCTGCTGCTTAGACAGATGGTCTTGGCCACAGGTCGTTGGACAAATCCCAGAGGCCAGGCCCTTGCAGAGCCCCTGACATACTTAAAGCAAAATTTGCGCAGTGATTCTAAGGGAAGCACCATCATCCCTATTTTCAACAGAAAGGAGCTGAAGCCCAGAAAGTGGAAGGAGCTTGTCCAAGTTCACAGAGCCCCGAGGGAGTCCAGCTGTGAAGCTAGGATGACAGCAAAAGCTGAAGCTTTGTGGGGACAGGCAGTGTCTCTTTCATACTGAGGTTGCTGGGCAGACGGGACGAAGGCCATTTGCACCGCCTGGAAAGCCTGTGGCAAATAAAAAACGGAGGAAACCAGAGTCTGGCTCGTAGTTTAAAAACTGGATTTCTTTTTAAGGGGTTCCTGTTAAGAATTTTTTTTTTTTTTTTGAGATGGAATCTCAACCTGTCATCCGGGCTGGAGTACGGTGGCACGATCTTGGCTCACTGCAACCTCTGCCTCCCTGGCTCAAGCAATTCTCCTGCCTCAGCCTCCCAAGTAGCTGGAGTCATAGGCATGTGCCACCACGCCCGGCTAATTTTTGTATTTTTAGTAGAGACAGGGTTTCACCATGTTGCCCAGGCTGGCCTTGAACTCCTGAGATCAAGTGATCTGCCCTCCTTGGCCTCCCAAAGTGATGGGATTACAGGGGACTCCTGTTAAGTTTTTATTAATTACTATTGTTATTTTGATTTAAAACCTCTCTTGGGCATGGTCTGCCACTTTTTCCACACCCAAAGCTGTTGCAGTTTGTGTATTCCTGCAGCGTGGACTATCAGAGGCAGGCACGACCTCCAGGAGGCATGAATCCGCCTCCAGCCTTTTCTCAGAGCCCTCAAGGCCTGAAAGTGTTGGGGTCAGGGCTCTGGGGCCAGCAGGAAAGTGCTAGATGCCTTTTCCCCCATGGATTTTAGCTATCCAGGTTTCCATCCTGGCACAGCCAGCAGAGACTTAGAAGTGAGAGGAAACCAGGAGGTACTCAGCTTTCTAGTCCATTGGCTTTCAAACCTGCATTCACCTTGAAACCACGTTGTGTGGGTGGGTCTCATGGACAGCCAGGGTGGAGAATCGTGAGCTCCAGCCCAACCTGGGTGTGGATGGGCAGGCCTGCCCTCAGCTCACGTGCTCTCGTTCCTGCTGTGCTCTGCTGTGAGGGGCGTGTGGAAGGGCCTCCTTCTCGCCTCTCTATGCACGGGGGGCCGCGTGAGCCAGGACTGTTAGCAAGTGAGCACGCAGGGGAGACCGGTCCTAAGTGGGAAGCTTTGAGAAAAGGGCTGGGTTTTAACAGCCTTTAAAATTGTACTTTCTGGGTTAGCACCATGAGCCATAGTCGTATTTGGTGAGGAGGAATCACTGAAACCCAGGAAGCAGGAGTCCTCATAATGAAAGAGAATGTCCAGGGAAACATATTAACACATTAGAGGGATTCCTCCAGTCCTCGGACAGTCTCTTGAGGTTGAGTGAGACCCAGCAAGGAAAAACAAGCCATATGGGAGAGTGTAACACTGAAATGATGAGTGCCAGGATTTTACATTTCAGTGCTGCTTTTGAACTTGTTAAGAGTAATTTTTCTATGGCTCACACCTGTAATCCCAGCACTTTGAGAGGCTGAGGCCAGGAAATCGAGACCATCCTGGCCAACACGGTGAGATCCTGTCTCTACTAAAAATACAAAAATTAGCTGGCTGTGGTGGTAGGTGCCTGTAATCTCAGCTACTTGGGAGGCTGAAGCTGGAGAATCTCTTGAGCCAGGGAGGTGAAGTTTGCAGTGAGCTGAGATGGCACCATTGCACCCCAGCCTGATGACAGAGAGAGACTCTCAAAAAAAAAAAACCAAAACAAAACAAAAAAACAACCAAACAACCAAACAAAAAAAACAACAAACTATCCTCAGTATGTCTCTCTAAGTGGTCTCAGGCATTGAAACTGGTGGACAGGACCCTCCTTCCAAGTCTTGCCCAGAGGAAATCCAACTCAGAGACCCAAGGAAGGAGGGCTCCGCGGAGGTTCACTGTGAAAACTGGGGGGCTCCGCGGGGGTTCACTGTGAAAACTGGGGGGCTCCGCGGGGGTTCACTGTGAAAACTGGGGGGCTCCGCGGGTGTTCACTGTGAAAACTGGGGGGCTCCGCGGGGGTTCACTGTGAAAACTGGGGGACTCCGCGGGGGTTCACTGTGAAAACTGGGGGACTCCGCGGGGGTTCACTGTGAAAACTGGGGGGCTCCGCGGAGGTTTACTGTGAAAACTGGGGGACTCCGCGGGGGTTCACTGTGAAAACTGGGGGGGCTCCGCGGAGGTTTACTGTGAAAACTGCAGCTGGCTCTTTTCCTTGGGAATTTTACCTTCCCACCTCCCCCATGTACTTAAGGTCCTTTAATGAAACATACATCAAATACAACATGAAATAATTCTCCACTCTTCTGGCAACATCCTTATTCAGATTCTTACCAGGGTTTGCACCATATGTGGTCTCTGAAGTCGTAAACTCTTCACAGCTTGAAATACATCTAAAAGTCCCTCGGCTTTTACTCTCTCCAAAATGTTGCTGAGCGCTATGAATGTACCTGTCCGCCCAGCTCCGGCACTGCAGAGAGAAAATGCTTAATGCAGATCATCGGACCTGCACTTGGGGATAAGAAACGAAGAGGGCCCCAGTGAACTGGCCTGGAGGAGGTGGGGCCCTGCACAGCAGCAGTGAAGCAAAGGTCGCTGAAAATGATCTGAGTTTGACTGGATTTTTATGATCATTTGTCTGTAGCTCAGCTTCTGAGCGAGATTTAGCAAATGTAAAATTCCTAAAACACCTCCCTAATTACAGCAGACAGATATTTTATCAAATGAGTCGGGACCAGCGATAAGTTTTTAAGCGAGTGTCACCGTTTCCCTTCTTCTTTGCGTGGGGCGATGGTTCTCAAAGTGTGGTCCCTGGACCAGCAGCACGGGTGGCACCTGGGAACTTTTCAGAAATGCAAACCCTCCCAGTTCAAGTCTAGGGAGGAGGTAATCCTGGCATACCCGATCCTTACTGTGCCAGGTGCTGTCTTCTGAAACGGGTGATGCTGAAAGGGAGGGGTGATTTAAGGGTATCCACAGACAGGAACAGTCAACTGACACTTCCCAGCAAGGCAGATTTGAGTCACCTCCATTTAGCATGATCATTTGCTGACAAACCCACCAGAGCAGAGCCCAGGTGCTTGTAGGAGGGCCCCAGTGAACTGGCCTGGAGGAGGTGGGGTGGGCCGGCCTCTTCCAGCAGGTCCTCTGGAGATGCCTGGCTGCCGTAATCTCACGTGTGGTCTTATTCCAAGGCTCCTGTCCTGCCGTAATGCTCTGCCCTGCATCTGCCTCCCCACAGGTGGGATCTGTTCGCCTCTGCATCTCCACTGCCCGATGGAACTCATTCAAGTTTATGCTAAATGACTTCCAGGAAGGCACCAGGAAAACTGAAAACTGAGCTGTGTGCTCCACCTACTGGCCAGGCCAGGAGTGCACCCTGGAGGGGTCCAGCAGGGAGAGAACTCTGCCAGCTACAAGGGGTGTGACAGTGGGTGGGGGTGAAAGGCAGTCACAAAGAGTGGGTGCCACTGGTGTGATACAAGAAACGGAATTGTCGTTTTAGGAGCATATTAGCACCATCTAAGGATAGAAACACACCAAGCTCCCACTTGGAAGAAACTTGCCAGGTGTCGAGGTCCCTGCCAGCAGAAGTGTCTGCCAGGATCAGAATGACAGAGGCACAAAAGGCACACCAGTGGGTGGCCAGTGAGCTTGGCCAGATTCATATGTCAGCCCCAGGGCATACTGGGTTTCATGCCTTTGTCTGTGGACCCAGCGGTCTCCTATGTGCCCTGGGGTCTCTCTGCCTTTGGGCCTGACTTGGGAGCCAGGCTGAGGCTGCAGGACAGGTGTGGCTACAATCCCAGCTGGGACTCCTCATATGGCCGTGAATCCCAGTCCAGGGAGAGGGTGGGTGTACACGCAGCAGCCCAGCCAGGCAGTCTCTCAAAGCCAACCCGGGAACTTGAAGTCCAGGCGTGTGTTCCTCTGAGCTCTGCCGGGCAGTTTTTGATGACTTCAGAAACACATGGAAGTGTGTGTTTGAGTGGTTTCCCAGCTGCTCCCTCTGAAATGCATTCTGCATGTTTGTTAAGATGACATGAACTGGGTGTAGTGGCTCATGCCTGTAATCCCAGCGCTTTGGGAGGCTGAGCAGTGCTGATCACTTGAGGTCAGGAGTTCAAAACCAGCCTGGCCAACATGGTGAAACCCCGTCTCTACTAAAAATACAAAAATTAGCTGGGCACAGTGGTGGGCACCCGTAATCCCAGCTACTTGGGAGGCTGAGCAGGAGAATCTCTTGAACCCAGGAGGTGGAGGTTGTGGTGGGCTGAGATTACACCATTGCACTCCACCCTGAGCAACATAGTAAGACTCTGTCTCAAAGAAACAAACAAACAAAAATGACATGTATGCATCTTATGTATGATATAATGACATGTGTGCACATAAGTGAAATTGGCATGCATGTGGGTAAGGGGAGGTAGAGAGGAGACTCTAGGGAATACCAGGGCCAGGGGCCACCACCAGGCTCTGCTGCCCACAGCTGCGGGTACTGAGGGCGTGCAGCCTGTGTCCATCCCACCTGGCAGGCTCCAGGCCGGGGCTCACCTGCAGTGCACGGTGATGGGGTGGTTGCCCGTCTGCTGCTGCTGCTTCTGTACGGCTGCAATGAGGTCAATCATACCTTTGCCCTCAGCGGGGATCCCGATCTCAGGCCAGCCGTGGAAGTGGAACTGACGTACTACTCGGACCTGCTCCTCCTGGCGGGCCTGGGGCTGCAGGAAGGAGAGGGAGTCACAGTGCCACCTGCCTTTGGGGAACGGACCCCAGACCCACCTGCCCTCTCAGGGATTGGCCAAGGCTGGGAGCCCTCCCTGAGCCTTCTGTGCTGCCAGCATCCCCACAGAGGCAGCCTGAAGGAGAAGGCTGAAACCTGCTTGCCCTAAAGAAGGCAGGTGGCTGGCTGTGCTTGCTTCTGCAAGGGGGAATGAGCTGTCCAGAGGACATCCCCTGGAGCCCTGCGAGGTTCACCCAACCTCTGTGGGATCCCTGGCAGGTCTGCTGGAGAGAAGGGAATCACTTTCTCAAGAAGTCAGGGCCCCGAGTTTCCCTTCAGAGCTCAAATGAGAGGCATCTGCGTCCGGTGGCTGGGGTGGCTCTGTGTGGCTGGCATGGAGGAAACAGTGGCAGGTGCATTTCATGGTACTGACTATCTGGAGCTCAGCATCAAGTCCTGTGCACAAGTGAGTCTCCCTGCCCATGGCTGACCCTCAGTTCTCATTCTTTTCCAAAAAGAGAGACCGAACAGAACCAAGGACCCAGTGGAAACAGGGACAATTGGGGGGCTCTGAGAAGGCACCTGGAGGAGGGCCCCAGAGGGGCCTCTGTGGCTTCACTACTCCCCTTTGTTCCTTCTCCCCCAGCTAATGGTTAATATAATTCTCCTGAGAAAGGAATGGGAGGCAGGTGGACAGGGAGGTGGAAATTGTACAGGAGACCTGCCATGGTCTCCCAAACCCACTGGCCATTCATAGCTGCCTGGGACTAAGTGAAGGAGAAGGACAAGTATAGGGGCACATTCTGAATCAACGACAAGCAGAACCTGGAGGGAGGGCATGGTTCCGTAAGTCCACAAGAGTTTACAAAGCTAGTTCAACAATACCTGATTGAAAGTGACCAGGAAGTCTCGTATACTGATGGCTTCAGAAAGGGTGTCACTCTTTATCTCAACAGTCATCTCTCCATGAGTAACTGAACCCTCCGTCGGCCAGTACTGGTAGCACTTATCCTTAGGGGGTAAAATAAAAAAATAACATATGAATATGAATATAAATGCCTATTAATGCTTGTTGACCCAGGGAACAGAACAGAGTCTGAAACCTTAGTATGTGTCAGCAAGCAGAGATTCTTCAATACATATGAAACCTTAGTATGTGTCAGCAAGGAGAGATTCTTCAGTACATATGAAACCTTAGTATGTGTCAGCAAGGAGAGAGTCTTCAACACATATGAAACCTTAGTATGTGTCAGCAAAAAGAGATTCTTCAATACATATGAAACCTTAGTATGTGTCAGCCAGGAGAGAGTCTTCAACACATATGAAACCTTAGTATGTGTCAGCAAAAAGAGATTCTTCAATACATATGAAACCTTAGTATGTGTCAGCAAGGAGAGAGTCTTCAGTACATATGAAACCTTAGTATGTGTCAGAAATGAGAGATTCTTCAATACATATGAAACCTTAGTATGTGTCAGAAATGAGAGATTCTTCAATACATATGAAACCTTAGTATGTGTCAGAAATGAGAGATTCTTCAATACATATGAAACCTTAGTATGTGTCAGAAAGGAGAGATTCTTCAATACATATGAAACCTTAGTATGTGTCAGCAAGGAGAGAGTCTTCAGTACATATGAAACCTTAGTATGTGTCAGCAAGAGAGAGTCTTCAGTACATATGAAACCTTAGTATGTGTCAGCAAGGAGAGAGTCTTCAGTACATATGAAACCTTAGTATGTGTCAGCAAGGAGAGAGTCTTCAACACATATGAAACCTTAGTATGTGTCAGAAATGAGAGATTCTTCAATACATATGAAACCTTAGTATGTGTCAGCAAGGAGAGAGTCTTCAGTACATATGAAACCTTAGTATGTGTCAGCAAGGAGAGAGTCTTCAGTACATATGAAACCTTAGTATGTGTCAGCAAGGAGAGAGTCTTCAGTACATATGAAACCTTAGTATGTGTCAGCAAGGAGAGAGTCTTCAACACATATGAAACCTTAGTATGTGTCAGCAAGGAGAGAGTCTTCAATACATATGAAACCTTAGTATGTGTCAGAAATGAGAGATTCTTCAGTACATATGAAACCTTAGTATGTGTCAGAAAGGAGAGATTCTTCAATACATATGAAACCTTAGTATGTGTCAGAAATGAGAGATTCTTCAATACATATGAAACCTTAATATGTGTCAGAAATGAGAGATTCTTCAATACATATGAAACCTTAGTATGTGTCAGAAATGAGAGATTCTTCAATACATATGAAACCTTAGTATGTGTCAGAAATGAGAGATTCTTCAATACATATGAAACCTTAGTATGTGTCAGCAAGGAGAGAGTCTTCAGTACATATGAAACCTTAGTATGTGTCAGAAATGAGAGATTCTTCAGTACATATGAAACCTTAGTATGTGTCAACAAGGAGTCTTCAGTACATATGAAACCTTAGTATGTGTCAGAAATGAGAGATTCTTCAGTACATATGAAACCTTAGTATGTGTCAACAAGGAGTCTTCAGTACATATGAAACCTTAGTATGTGTCAGAAATGAGAGATTCTTCAGTACATATGAAACCTTAGTATGTGTCAACAAGGAGTCTTCAGTACATATGAAACCTTAGTATGTGTCAGCAAGAGAGAGTCTTCAGTACATATGAAACCTTAGTATGTGTCAGAAAGGAGAGAGTCTTCAGTACATATGAAACCTTAGTATGTGTCAGCAAGGAGAGAGTCTTCAGTACATATGAAACCTTAGTATGTGTCAGCAAGGAGAGAGTCTTCAGTACATATGAAACCTTAGTATGTGTCAGCAAGGAGAGAGTCTTCAGTACATATGAAACCTTAGTATGTGTCAGCAAGGAGAGAGTCTTCAGTACATATGAAACCTTAGTATGTGTCAGCAAGGAGAGAGTCTTCAGTACATATGAAACCTTAGTATGTGTCAGAAAGGAGAGAGTCTTCAGTACATATGAAACCTTAGTATGTGTCAGAAAGGAGAGAGTCTTCAGTACATATGAAACCTTAGTATGTGTCAGCAAGGAGAGAGTCTTCAATACATATGAAACCTTAGTATGTGTCAGCAAGGAGAGAGTCTTCAATACATATGAAACCTTAGTATGTGTCAGCAAGGAGAGATTCTTCAATACATATGAAACCTTAGTATGTGTCAGAAAGGAGAGAGTCTTCAGTACATATGAAACCTTAGTATGTGTCAGCAAGGAGAGAGTCTTCAATACATATGAAACCTTAATATGTGTCAGAAATGAGAGATGCTTCAATACATATGAAACCTTAGTATGTGTCAGCAAGGAGAGAGTCTTCAGTACATATGAAACCTTAGTATGTGTCAACAAGGAGTCTTCAGTACATATGAAACCTTAGTATGTGTCAGAAATGAGAGATTCTTCAGTACATATGAAACCTTAGTATGTGTCAACAAGGAGTCTTCAGTACATATGAAACCTTAGTATGTGTCAGCAAGAGAGAGTCTTCAACACATATGAAACCTTAGTATGTGTCAGAAAGGAGAGATTCTTCAATACATATGAAACCTTAGTATGTGTCAGCAAGGAGAGAGTCTTCAGTACATATGAAACCTTAGTATGTGTCAGCAAGAGAGAGTCTTCAACACATATGAAACCTTAGTATGTGTCAGAAAGGAGAGAGTCTTCAGTACATATGAAACCTTAGTATGTGTCAGCAAGGAGAGAGTCTTCAGTACATATGAAACCTTAGTATGTGTCAACAAGGAGTCTTCAGTACATATGAAACCTTAGTATGTGTCAGCAAGAGAGAGTCTTCAACACATATGAAACCTTAGTATGTGTCAGAAAGGAGAGAGTCTTCAGTACATATGAAACCTTAGTATGTGTCAGCAAGGAGAGAGTCTTCAGTACATATGAAACCTTAGTATGTGTCAGAAAGGAGAGATTCTTCAATACATATGAAACCTTAGTATGTGTCAGCAAGGAGAGAGTCTTCAGTACATATGAAACCTTAGTATGTGTCAACAAGGAGTCTTCAGTACATATGAAACCTTAGTATGTGTCAGCAAGAGAGAGTCTTCAACACATATGAAACCTTAGTATGTGTCAGCAAGGAGAGAGTCTTCAGTACATATGAAACCTTAGTATGTGTCAACAAGGAGTCTTCAGTACATATGAAACCTTAGTATGTGTCAGCAAGGAGAGAGTCTTCAGTACATATGAAACCTTAGTATGTGTCAACAAGGAGTCTTCAGTACATATGAAACCTTAGTATGTGTCAGCAAGAGAGAGTCTTCAACACATATGAAACCTTAGTATGTGTCAGAAAGGAGAGAGTCTTCAGTACATATGAAACCTTAGTATGTGTCAGCAAGGAGAGAGTCTTCAATACATATGAAACCTTAGTATGTGTCAACAAGGAGTCTTCAGTACATATGAAACCTTAGTATGTGTCAACAAGGAGTCTTCAGTACATATGAAACCTTAGTATGTGTCAGCAAGGAGAGAGTCTTCAGTACATATGAAACCTTAGTATGTGTCAGCAAGGAGAGAGTCTTCAGTACATATGAAACCTTAGTATGTGTCAGCAAGAGAGAGTCTTCAACACATATGAAACCTTAGTATGTGTCAGAAAGGAGAGAGTCTTCAGTACATATGAAACCTTAGTATGTGTCAACAAGGAGTCTTCAGTACATATGAAACCTTAGTATGTGTCAGCAAGAGAGAGTCTTCAACACATATGAAACCTTAGTATGTGTCAGAAAGGAGAGAGTCTTCAGTACATATGAAACCTTAGTATGTGTCAGCAAGGAGAGAGTCTTCAATACATATGAAACCTTAGTATGTGTCAGCAAGGAGAGAGTCTTCAGTACATATGAAACCTTAGTATGTGTCAGCAAGGAGAGAGTCTTCAGTACATATGAAACCTTAGTATGTGTCAGCAAGGAGAGAGTCTTCAATACATATGAAACCTTAGTATGTGTCAGAAATGAGTGAGTCTTCAGTACATATGAAACCTTAGTATGTGTCAGCAAGAGAGAGTCTTCAACACATATGAAACCTTAGTATGTGTCAGAAAGGAGAGAGTCTTCAGTACATATGAAACCTTAGTATGTGTCAGCAAGGAGAGAGTCTTCAATACATATGAAACCTTAGTATGTGTCAGCAAGGAGAGAGTCTTCAGTACATATGAAACCTTAGTATGTGTCAGCAAGGAGAGAGTCTTCAGTACATATGAAACCTTAGTATGTGTCAGCAAGGAGAGAGTCTTCAATACATATGAAACCTTAGTATGTGTCAGAAATGAGAGAGTCTTCAGTACATATGAAACCTTAGTATGTGTCAGCAAGGAGAGATTCTTCAATACATATGAAACCTTAGTATGTGTCAGAAATGAGAGATTCTTCAATACATATGAAACCTTAGTATGTGTCAGAAAGGAGAGATTCTTCAATACATATGAAACCTTAGTATGTGTCAGAAAGGAGAGATTCTTCAACACATATGAAACCTTAGTATGTGTCAGAAAGGAGAGAGTCTTCAGTACATATGAAACCTTAGTATGTGTCAGAAAGGAGAGATTCTTCAATCAATGGGGCTGGAAAATGGTTTTCCACCTGGGAAAACGAAATTGGATCCCTGACCCACACCCTAGCAGGGTTGATGTGAGTGCCCCAGCTCTTCCTAGAACTGGGCAGGGCACACCCTGCGCCTCCATGTGTAGTACCCTGTAACCTTAATAAAAATAAACTTGGATGGATTAAGATTTAAGGTAGAAAACAAAACTCTTGGAAGAAGAAATATCTTTTCACTTTGAGGTACACAAGGATTACTAGACAGGAGCCCGGACAGCTAAGCAGTCATGAGGCCACAACTGGAAAGTTGGATTACAATAAGATTGACTTCTCCTCATCAACACACATCGTGAAAAGAGTGAAAAGTCAGGCCACAGATCACAATAAGATGTTTGCAACACATACAACCAGTAAAGGCTTAGTATCAAGGTTGTACAGAAAGCTCCTATACAGCAATAAGAAAGGACAAACAACCCCACAGAAAAATCAGTGAAAGCCAGGAACAGGCATTTGGCACAGGAGGAAACATGCCATGGCAAATGCATGAAGTGATGCTTGACCTTGTAGGAATTAGAGATGCTAATCAGAGCCACAGAAAGATCGTATTTGCACAATAACTACACAACCAACGACATGTTAATTTTCAATTAGCAATAATTAGGACACCTTGAGAATACTATACTCGAGAATACCATGGCATGCAGATGAATGATATATCTTACACATTGCTGATGTCCACTTTTGAAAGCAATTAGGAATTTTCTTGCAAATTCAAACTTTCACATACTCTTCAACATAGCATTTAGACTCTGATACATCTCAGCCCTAGTGCAGCATAAGACATGCACAGGAATGTACAGGTAGGGAGAACACATGGACACAGGGAGGGGAGCAACACATACTGGGGCCAGTTGAGGGTGGAGAGTGAGGGGAGGGCAAGCATTAGGACAAATAGCTAATACATGCAGGGCTTAAAACCTAGATGACGGGTTGCCAGGTGCAGCAGACCACCATGCACACGTATACCTATGGAACAAAACTACGCAGTCTGCACTGGCATCCAAGAACTTAAAGTTTTTTTAAAAAAGAATGCACAATAGCACTGTTTGTAAAACAATAAAATGAAATCAACTCAAGTGCCCGTGACAGGAGAAGGAATGAATACACGAGCTAATGCACGACACAGTTTGTGTGGTGGAATCTGAGGAAACAACAGTGACGAACGAACTGCAGCGTAAGCATCAACATAGAAAATCATCAGAAGCACAGTTCTGAGTGCAAGAAGCAACTCTCAGACGGCAACATGCTGTAGTGATACTCTTTACACAAAATGCAAACACAAGCAAGACTGAACAACAGTCTCTGTGGTCATAAACGGATACATTTTAAAAGATGTTTTTAAAAAGCAAAGAGCGTCTCCAGTAGGATGGCCTTCATCCAAAAGGCAATGACAGTGTTACTGAGGATGTGGAGAAATGAGAACCCTTATATATTGCTGGTGGGAATAAAATGGGGCAGCCTGTGGAAAACAGTCTGGCAGGTCCTCAAAAATGTTAAACAATACGTTTATAACATAGAGTAATGACATGACCTAGCAATTCCACTCCTAGGTATAAAATGAAAAAGCCTGTCCATACAAAACTACTACCTGAATGTTCAAGCAGCAGTTTTGTTTTTTTTTTTTTAGATGGAGTCTCACTCTGTCACCCAGGCTGGAGGGCTGTAGCACAGGGGCACAATCTCGGCTCACCGCAGCCTCTGCCTCCCAGGTTCAAGCGATTCTCCCTGTCTCAGCCTCCGGAGTAGTTGGGATTACAGGTGCCCACCAACACACCCAGCTAATTTTTGTATTTTTAGTAGAGACAGGGTTTCGCCATCTTGGCCAGGCTGGTCTCGAACTCCTGACCTCAGGTGATCGGCTCACTTCGGACTCCCAAAGGGGTGGGATAACAGATGTGAGCTGCCATGCTTGGCCAAGCAGAGTTATTTATAATAGCTCCAAAGTGGAAACAACCTAAATTTCCACCAGCTGATGAATGGATACGTAGAATGTAGTATATCCACATAAAAGAATACTATTTGTCAATAAAAAAGAATGATTTACTGATTCATGCTACAATATGGATGAACCTTGAAAACATGATGCTAAGTGAAAGAACCCAATCACAAAAGACCACATACTGTGTGACTCCATTTACATTAGTGTCCAGAACAGGCAAACGCACAGTCAGGAAGAGGATTAGTGGTTGCCAGGGGCTAGGGGAAGGAAGGAATGGGGAGTGACTATTAATGGCACAAGGTTTGTTTTTGGGTTGATGAAAATGATCTCAAATTAGATAGTGGCGATGGCTGCACAGCTTTGTGAATATACTACAATCCACTGAATAGTACCCTTTAAAAAGATGAATTGCATGAATTATAGGTGAAGGATGTCACAATAAAGCTGTTCTTCTGCTCACAAGAGAGCAGAGAATCAAAACACAGATTCACAGCAGCAGTTATGTCTTGGGGGGCACCCAGATAGATGTACACTGTTGGTAAAAGCTTGGCTTTACTGTTGGGTGGTGAATTCACCAGTGTTTGTTGTGTTATTAAATAAATACAAGGAGGCCATGGGTGGATCTCTGCAAAAGGAAGAGTTACCTCATGCAGTTTTCTAGGACAATATCCATTAGGCACACGTATCTATGTCTTCGCGTCTTGAAAAAAGTCAACACATGTCTTTTTCTTCAACAGGTTATGCTCTTGGCCAATACAAAATGGCAGAATTTCGGGGCAGGTTAAATAACATGTAGACTAAGAATAAAGGCCAGTGGGTAGTTACTGTTAAACCTCATTCCCAAAAAAGGAATGGGTGAGGTGAAACCTTTTTCACTTCCAAGCTCTCTCCCCCCCGGTAGTCCTGGCTTGGTCTCACTCGTGCATTTGCCCTGGTGCAGGCCGGACATTTGGAATGAACGGTAAAAGCCCCTCACGTGCACAGGCCGCCCGCGGGCCCGGGCTGGGTGGCACCCTCACCTGCTCTCTCTCCTGTACCTCTGTCAGCATCACAATAGTGTGGGACTTCCACTCCCAGATCATCCTCCAGAAGTCCTCCACCGTGTGTGCCAGTGGCCCCTGGGTGGCGATGAAATAGTCCTTCTGTCGGTAGCCCTGCACGTGGAGACGCAGAGGTTAGAGTCTGACCTCCTTCCATCCTGGCTCTGTTATGCACTCCCCGTGTTTAGGACACCCCGAGGTCTGATGATGGAAACTCTCCCGTCTCTCATGGTCTGCACCAGACCCCAGCTGGCATGAGCACTCAGGCACACACCTGACAAGCAGGTCAACAGGCTCGCTTATCTGAAACGATAACCACCACTGTCAGCCCCTCAGGTCATCAACAAGTGGGTATTATGAACTGGCAGTCGCTTGCGGCCACCTGAACGGCACTGGTGGCTTAGATTCTAACTTGTTTCTCTGTGTGTTTCAGCTGGATCAGCAACACGCTGGTGCAAAGGGCCCTGTGTATGGAGGTGAAAGAAGGGGATTCTAATCCCAGTTTCACCACTAGGACCCCACTGAATTCTGGTACAATTTTCTCATCTGAAAATGGCAATATGGACACACACTCAGCTGCAATGCCCCTTTTTGCCCTTCTCCTGCTAACTCCACTGTGCATGAAGCCAGTCTCTGTCTGTGTGCCCTTAACACATGATTGTGTTATCCACACGAGTACATGTCGCAGAAATCACACGAAAGAGAGAGCACAGAAGCACTGGGTATATAACTGGTGTGTAACAGATATGTAAAAGAAAAATAACTGTATATTAAAAGCAGAATGTAAAAAAGATCCAATTTCTTAGCAGCGAGTTTCTATTTCCAAAGTCCACTTTCTTTTTTTTGAGAAGGCGTCTCGCTCTGTCGCACAGGCTGGAGTACAGTGGCGTGATCTAGGCTCACTGCAACTTCTGCCTTCTGAATTCAAGTGAGTCTCCTGCCTCAGCCCTCTGAGTAGGTGAGATTACAGGTACCTGCTACCATGCCCAGCTAATTTTTATATTTTTAGTAGAGACGGAGTTTCACCATGTTGGCCAGGCTGGATTCAAACTCCCGACCTTAAGTGATTCACCCACCTCAGCCTCCCAAAGTGTTGGGATTACAGGCTTGCGCCATTGTGCCTGGCCTACTTTTTATTTTTATTTTTGAAAGCAAGTAATTCTGCTAACAAAAATGGTTGAGTTTCTGGAGACATGTCAATTATTTCTCATTGTGAAAACAAGCTAATCAAGTCTGTGTGGTCACATGTGAAGAAATCCCACCTGCATAACCACAACTCAGGCCAGCGTACGTACGTCTATGAAGGACGCGTTGATGTAGTCTGTGTATTCTTGACCCCTTTTCATGGAGAGGATCACTCGATTGAAGTCATCTGCAAAGCAGTTTCTTCCTTTAGTTATTATAAAAAGGGTCCCACCTTGACAAATTAGCCCGTTGCTACAAGCTTCCAAAATATAGAGCCTATTAATAAAATCACTAAGTAAAGCCAACTCTTGGGAAAGTTTACATTATGAAAAAGCCCTTAGCTTGGGGCCAGAGGACACCCTGCTCTTGACCCTGGTGCACAGGGGCAGCGGTCAATGGGTTCTCTGGGATGAAAGCCTCTGGCCCCAGCCCCGCCCAGCCACACCGCGGGTGCCTTACACGGGATGATCTGGATGACCCTGGCCTTCTTCATGTTTGCCGGCAAGTTGCCAGTCCTCATGTTCTCCTTCATGATCCGGACATTTGTCAATTTCTGCAGCCGAGAAGGACATAGTGAGGCAGTTAAACCTCTGACATCCCTGAGCACGATGCTCACCTGAGGACTAGTACTGCAGGCAAGGGCACCTGCTCAGAGGAAACGCCTCCATCCCAGAAGTCTCCTGAGCATTGGGAAACAGAAATGTGTGCCCGGCAGGGCTGCTGTGAGGCTCTGAAAGCCACCTGATCCTTCTTCCCTTGTAAATCACAGCTCTGACATCGCCCCTGCTTTTTCTGAGGTCAGTTAAGAGGGCAAGTGATTGAAAGAGGTTTCCTTTAAATGGTCACCTGTTTTCCCCATGTCCTTGGCTGCCTAGCCCAGGATGGAGAGGAGGCTCAGCTGTACTCACCCTGAACTCCTCCTCCAGCCCAATCTTGTCAAAGTGGGTGCTGGTGCCGGGCAGGGTCTGCAGGTGCTTCTCCAGGGAGGACACATCCAGCTCTGTGTCCCCGTAGAGGTAGTACTCGAGTAAGGCTTGGTAGATGAATGTGTACTGCATCTGCGGGGAGGCCAGGGGCACCCACACCCTCGACTCTGCCCTGCATCCTCAGCCCGTGTGCAGCTTGGCAGCCCAAAGGGGCAGCTCTCTTCTCTTTCCCTTTTTGCCAGCACAAGGTGTAGGGCAAGAGTCAGAGTACCGGCCATGGATAATGACGATTTATATCCTTGAGTAAGGAGAACGTCAGTGGCAGAGCCTCACCTTGGTGAGCATGCCAGGCGCTGTGTATGGGCGCTGTTTGGGGGAGCAGGATTGCCCCATCTCATGTGAGCATAGAAGGGAAAGATGAGGGCGAGGGAGTCCCTGAGGTCCCACACATGGGCAGGGAGGGTCATGGGGAGGGAAGCCAGCCAGGGCCCCGCACGCCTGTGTGGCCAAGATATCTGGGTTTGCTTTGGGAAGCTGGACCAGGGCAAGAGGACGGCAGGACTCACATCTGTTTGAACCATCTGAGGGCGCTGATTACGGATTCGAGACACAAATTCAAACACATCCACCTTCTGCTCTGCGTGCATCATGGCCATCATGGCGTCGATCACAATGAAGGTGCCTGTCCGGCCCACACCCGCGCTTTGGGGAGAAAGATGCTGTGTCATGAGTCACACACCTTCCCTAAGTAAATGACAGGCCTGGAAGATGCCTGCACACCTGGAGGGAAGGGCAGGTCCAGCCCCAGGTCACTTGATCCAACTTTTTTTTTTTTTTGGTAGATTAGGAGCAAAGCCTTATTGAGACCACCAGAGGGAGCTGCAGTCTCAGTAAAGTGATCTCAGGCCGGTCCTCTGATCGCCACTGACACTCTAAGAGGCACATTAGCAGCTGGTGCAGCAAGCCTTGGATTAGGCTGTGCGGATAATATTCCTCATTTGCCAAACAGCGTCTTCTTCTGTGACAAGCATGATCTGCCCCTTTGGGAGCAGAGGGACCTCAGATCAACTACACAGCAGCTCCGGGAACCAGCCTCCTGCTCTGTCAAACTGGGCAAAGTCACCTGACTCGGGGCATTAAGTGAGGTGGCATCTGTGAGATTACTGTTATGTGACCCTGCACATTCCTCCCGGCATGGGCTGCGCTGGAGAGTGGGTGGGGTGGGGCCAGCCTCTGCTTAGCCCCAGCGAGGGCGGGTTGCTCAGACTTGGGGAAAGCTAGTTCTGCCAGAGCTTCCCGATGGCTTCTCCTGAACACCTGCACGACAGGTGTAGAGCATCTGCACGACAGGTGTAGAGCACCTGCACGACAGGTGTAGAGCACCTGCACGACAGGTGTAGAGCACCTGCACGACAGGTGTAGAGCATCTGCACGACAGGTGTAGAGCACCTGCATCACCGCGTGCAGGTGGCTTTTGTCCCTGGAAGTGCTGTGATACTCAGAATGAACTCTTTGGTAACCACTGGAAACTTAGTATCTAATCAAAGTGATGCCCTGGTGAGGCCAATCCCAGACAGGAACAAGGGGCGCTCTCTGTGGACCAGAAGGGAGTATGGAGAGGAGGCTGTGGAGGTGGCCTTGGCTTACATGTGAGTGGTTTTAGTGTTGTGCAAAGCCCACCCAGATGCAAGTCACAGGCTCCCCTGAGGCTATCCTAATCACAGGTGAGGAAACCAAGGCTGATGTGGCAGCTGGCAAGGGGCAGCCTGGTCCCGGACCCTGGTCTCCAGGACAGCCTGCTCTGGAGGACTCTGCTGTGGGTCCTCTGAACTATGGTGTGCTCTTCCATAAGGACTAGTGTGTTTTGGGGGCGGGGGTGGCTACCTGCAGAAGCCTGGCTTCCCTGGTTTCTATCTTGGTTCCCAAAGGTGACTTGGGATTCCCAGGGGAAGGCGAGAGTGACCAAGCAGACCTGCCCAGAGCTCCATTCCCACCACCGACTGGAGCCTCTTGGCTTTGGTGGGTTTTATTGATTGGGGTGAAGAGGAGCTTTCTGAGCTTTCTCCTGTAGGGTTCTTGGGGCCTGGCTCAGTCACTGACATTTGTATTCATGTCAGCCCCGCCTGTACCTCTGCCCACCTGATATTGGTCCCCTGGTCATTGCCCATGAGGGTGAGTCCCCTCACTGTGGCCTGCCCTCGAGGGTCCACCCCGAGGCTCCCAACGTACCTACAGTGGACCACGATGGGCCCAGCATGAATGGGGTTGAGCGTCTTCACTTTTTTGAGGAACTTCAGCATTCCAATGGGGGTAAAAGGCACTCCGAAGTCAGGCCAGCTGGTGAAGTGCAGCTGCGAGACCAGCCTGGGGGCTTTGCAGCCTTCAGGAAGCTGCTGCAGGGGACATGGAGAGACCAGAGTGGGTGCAACAATCCTCCCCCTGCCCCCGCCCCCCGACCCCAGCATCTCATTCTGAGCACGCTGTGGGTTCCCCTGTACTGGGGATGCATGGGGGAGGGGACCATCCAGAGGGAGCCCGCCCGAGCGAAAGAGCTTAGCTCTTGCCCCTGCTGACTCTGAACATATGCTGCTTTTGGGGCACAGAGCAGGGCCTGCAGCACCCAGCCATGCCCAGGCCAGGCAGAGCCCAAGCAGCCAGACACATCCCCTAAGCTGGTCTGCGAGCTCACAGCCCCCGTGCAAGGGGGGCGGCCATGGCCCATTTCATCTGGACAGTCCCATCCCATGCCTGTGGTCCAACAGCACATCCTTCCTTGTGCAAAGCTGTCTTAAATTTGGGAGCACAGATGATGCAGTTGGCCTGCTGTTTGGCGATGCCCAGACTTGCCCTCAGAGCCTGTCTCAGCTGTCTGACCCAAAGCCCATGAGTTTAATTCCCTTGCCAGATCATGGAAGGTGATACAAAGTGTATTTGGAAGTATATATGTGTGCAGGTATGTGTGTGTGCACACGTGTGTGAATGTGTGGGGGTGTATATATGTGTGTGCAATGTGTGTGCATATGTGCATCTGTGTGCCTGTGTGGGTGTATGTGTGTGGACGTGTGTGGGTGTATGTGTGTGAATGTGCGTGTATGGCTGTGCACATGTGTGCATGTGTGAATGTGTGTGGGTGTGTCCACATATGTGAATGTGTGTGCCTGTGTACATGTGTGCACATGTGTACATGGTGAATGTGCTTGGGTGTATGTGTGTGCATGCATGTGTGTGCCTGTGTGCACCTGTGTGAATGCATGTGTGTGCATGTGCATGCATGTATGCAGAGTGTGTATGTGGATGCACATATGTGTATGCGGATGCACATGTGTGTATGCATGGCGCGCATGTGTGGATGTGTGTGCACATGTATGTGTATGGATGTATGTGTGTAAATGTGCATGCCTATGTATGTATGTGTGTGCATGTGTGAATGTGCATGCCTGTGTGTGGGTGTATGTGTGCATGTGTGTGAACACCTGCGTGCTCCTGTGTACACATTTCTGGGAGAGATGCCAGCAGTGGATAGAATAAAAATGATCAGCTCATCTTTTTCCTTTTGGGCTGTGGCTTTTGGGAACCTCAGACACTTATTTTGTGACCTAATTAAGCCAATCACTCTATCTTTAAACCCTGATGAAATGGCCTTCCGTTTTCTTTTTCTATGGTTTTAAACTTTCTTCTATTTTTTTCATCTGCTTTGTATATAGATATTTGTACTCTCATCTCTCTTAAACCCTTTGGGTGGTGGAACAGGACCCAAGTGTGGAAAATAATGAGGAGATTTCTGACATAATTTGGAGTGTGCTAGAAAAAAACTGCCCTCCTAGTTCCAGTGTGTGAAATGCCATTGTGATATCGAGGGGGGAATCCCATCCCCAGGCCCCTCCTCTGACTGGTCTTCCTGGAGAGGCCCAGAGGAGTCTCTGGGAATTAGGAGGAGCCCCCCGCATTGCCTGCAGACCCTTGTGCACCAGCCTCTGGTGTCTCGGCCCACTTTCCCATCTGCCCATCACAGCCTGGTCACTGTACCCTCTCAGCCAGAGCTGCGGCAGTGCTGGGGTGGCAGCAAAGCGCTTCATAACTGCAGAAGGGTGTTAACTCTGGGCATCGTGCTCTCTGGGAGTGATCTTTCTGGAAGGTTAGCCACTAGAGATGCTTACTGGCTGTATGCAGAACTTCCGGATGGTGTAGTCGACCAAAACCACGCAGTCCTCCACGCACACCCGGATGTTTCCATAGGTCCAACAGCCTTGGTCGGGCCAGTACTGATGGCATTTTTCCTGCATGGAACAATTTCATAGAAGCAAATAAATCTGTGGGTGCCCTGCAACATGACATCCCCACCATCCACAGAAGGCCTCACACACACCAGCTGGAGTCACACAGTTCCCAGAGCTGAGAAACAGCGAGTGCACCTGTGTCGCCCTCAGGAGTAGGGAAACTGAGGCTGCATAACGGGTGGAAGGCAGCCTTGAGACTATGACGAGGGCCCCCCCAGGTTTCTGATTTAGACACCAACAGTGTCTCACTTCTTCATTCATTCACGATTCCCATACATTTTATTAACTGACCATCAGCCAGTCATGTTGAGCCTTCAGAGCTGGGCACCTGACCCCAAATGACCCTCAGGCCGGGGGGCAAGGACAGTGCTTCCCCCAAACATTTACCATTGGATTCAGCAATTTGTATTTTTCTTGCTCAGTTCACTAAGGACAAAGGTAATTTGCCCCACTGCCAGTCTGCCGTTCAAGACTAATGAACCTATGATTGGCCTGATGATCTTTATTTTTCTCTAGCGGGGACAACGCTGCTGTGGCGTCTGCAGAAGGGGATGCGTTGCTACATACAGGCCCATTTCTTTACCCTCCCAACCTCTGAAGCAATAATGGCCCAAAATACATGTTCTGGGAGCCCTTTCATTCTGCAGCACTGCTTGAAGCACCTGCCCGGTGCTGAGCCCTCCATCATGGCAGACTTCATGAGTGAATGAGGACCCACCTCGAGGGGAAAAAGACCCACTTCATGTGCCAGAGAAACATCTCTGGAATGGAACAAGCCTGCCGATCATTGGAGAGTTTATCCTGGGAATGGCCCCTGAGCGACACAGCTCATGGTTAAGTCTCCCGGATTAATAGTCTTATGAAACAAACAGCCTCTGGTATTTAGCAGAGCAGCACCCTTGTGTTATGACTGCTATGGACAACTTCCTCCTCCCTGCTCCTGGCTCTGGGCGGGGCTGCTGGTCACAGGGTATTTCCGACGTAGCCCAGAGGAACTGCAAATGCCTACAGGTCTCGGTTTGGGTGAGTCTTGGCCCTATTAGGAGTCCTGGGGACCCTCCTGAGCCTCTCACCTTGAAAGGTTCTCCAGTAGGAACTGTGAAATCATTTCAGCCTCTCAAGGGCTCAGTGTTGGTGGCTGCTTTTATGCCCCCTCCCTCTGGCTCCCTCCCACCCGATCATGAGATGCCAGGGCAGCTGCCTTTTGCAATGCAGAGCCCAGGATGTGGAAGCCAAGGAAACCACAACAGAAGTGTGAGCAATTAAGAAAAAGGGAACTCTACTGAGAAATGATTTCATCTGAATTGGTGAGAATCAGGACATGGCAGCCGCCCAGCACTGAGTCACAGGAGTGGAAAAATCCAGTAGGAGGCGATGGAAGAAGACGGAGAGAAAATGCCAGTGACATTTTCAGCAGAGTGACTGAAAGGGGGAAGCGGGGGCGTCCTTCAGTCCCCGGGCTTCTGTGTTGGTCTCATGCTTGGAGCACCAGCCCCAGGAAGACTGGTCCCTATGATTGCGGGTCACAGGGGACCCTGAGATGCCTCCTTTTCCCTAGTGTGGGTGTCTTCCTCCATGGCCACTCCAGCACAGGCAGGGTGAAGAGTCCTGCTCTGGGAATCCCCTCTGTCACTCTTCCCCATGACAAAGGATGACAGGGATGAGATTCGTAAGGTCTCCCCAGGTGGCCCTCCCCAGCCCTGTTTCAAGCTCCCCCAAGAGCAGAACAAGAGCCCCCATCCTATCCCTGACTAGAAACGTGGCTGGAGGCTGCTTCCTGTGTTTTTGGTGGCACTTAGTAAGCCGGAACTGTGGGGACCAGAGCACCTCCCAGCCTGCCTGTCCCTCGGGCTCCTGCCACCCATCTTCTGCCCCAGCTGAGCTCCCCAAGGCCTGGCACTCCCATTAAAAATGGTAGCCCTTCCCCACAGTCCTTGCCTGGGTGCTGCTGGGGTCAGGCCAGTGGATGACTGAGGAGCTCAGGACAGAGTAGGGCCTGAGCAAGGCCGGGCAGGACACGAAGTTCCTGCTGAGCTGGGCCTTCATGCCACAACACGCCAGAAGCACAGCCTCCTGACTATTGCCCCACCTGCGGCAAGTCTCCCTCCAGCTCCCAATTTTTCTTTCATTCTGGAGAGCGAGCTCACTGCCTATGGCATGGCTCCCTGCCTGTCACTCAACACCTCTCCCCGGGCTCCCAATGGCCCCCACTTCTCCGCCCTCAATGAGAGCCCCCATTCCTTGCACCTGGGACAGAGCTGGCCCAGCACAGCAGATGCTAATGAGTACTTGTTCCATTAGGAAACAAATCAGTTCAACTTTTCCTCTTTGTCGATGATTCAAATTCTTACAATGTACATGCATCCTTTTTTGAATTAGAAACAGCTAATTAAATATATTTGGATGGCAAATCAACATTTCTTCAATGTACCGTGTTTTCAAATGCATTTCTCTAGTCTGGATAATAAGCCTGAAATCACGTTCATTTCTAGTCTGGGGTCTGCCGCATGACATGCTGGACATCCTAAAACTCGGCTTCTGAGATTCAGGCCTCCCATCACGCAGCCAGAGCCACGGGGCGGGCCGGGGACCACTCTCCCTTGGGACAAAAGGGGAACCCTTGTGTCACTGTTTTATCACAGATAGATAACAGTGAGATGCTGGGGGCGCAGGGGATTTGTTTCCTGATGAAAACGCTGTACGCCACTGCCCATGTTTGGGGTTTTCTGCAGTGATAGGGAGAGGAAGGGAGGGAAATAGGAAAAGGAATTGGTAAGAACGTCCCGCCCCGCTGCGGCAGCTGACAGGAAGTGACACCGGAGTCAGATGCCAGGAGCTCACCTCTTTCCTTTCTTTCAAGTTCGTTAACATGACGATGGTCGCAGACTTTTGCTCCCAGATCATTCTCCAGAAGTCATTAACAGTTTCCTGTTTGGGGCCTGTGTGTAGAGGACAATTCCGAAGTCAAAAAGCATGAAGGGAAGTCGCTCTGGGGTCCCAGCCCTGGCACCCTGGACGCTGGCCCCTTCTTGGCCTTGTTGGGGCACACACTTCATTCCCTGAAGTATTCCAGAAATGGTGGGGGCTGCCTGTCCTACCACTCACCCCACTCCAGCCAGGAACCCCTCCGAGGGCGAGGTCATTAGGCCCACGTGGAGTTCCTTACATTTGCAGGTAAGAAGCAAAGTTTAGATGAGGGCTGGCTCTCCAGCCAAGTGTCTGGAGCTGGCGACAGCCTTGAGAGAGGCAGAGACTGCCCGGCCTCACCCTGCATTCCCAATCTCCTGTTCTTTGTCAAAATCTTACTCTCAGCATGATGCTGTCCAGTAAGAGATGAGCTAAGGTCCCTGGAGAGGGGCATCCGAACAAAAGACAAAATGTCGCTAGGAGAAAGTCCTCTGCACCTGTGCACTTCCTGTCTGAGCCGCAGCCATTCTGTAGCCCTGAGCTAAGCACTGCCTTGTGAGGGGGACGGGCCAGGAGGGGAGGAAGGCCCTGCCCTGCTGCTGTCCTGCCCTGGGCTGCCTCCCTGTGGGTGTCTGCTTGCAAGAGAGAAACCCTTGCTTTGATCAGCTTCTGCCAGGATTGTCAGGTTTCCCGAGGTCTCCAGCTGGGCACATTCCTGATGTCCTGTGTGTGTGCACGTGTGTTCTTTTTTCTTAGAGATCCTGCATTTGTAACAACTTCCCAGATGATTTTGAGGTATGCTGAAATTCAGAGCTCACTGCTCTAAAGACTCCTGGCCTAAGTCTGAGGAATCTAGTTTCGGCTCCGGTGATACCTACCTGCACACCTTCCGGGTCCTGCAGGTGGCAACCCCTGGGGGAATGATGCTGGGTTCAGTACTCAGTAGACAAGGGAGAACTCTGTGCGAGCTGAAGGGCACGTTTTCATGGCTGAAGCACCTTTCAAGTTATGGCCTTGATCTGAAAAGCTAGTCACCCCACCACCCTCCAAAATTGGGGGCCACGTAGTGCTCAGCCCGCTGAGAGAAATTTGAGGTTATCTGATGCAAGTATTAACATGCCAAGTGGCAGCTGGGGCCACCCCATGGCCTGTGTTCATACCCTATAGGTGTGGGGATAACTGAGTGTGTGTTTCTCTGACTGTCTGCACACATCCATTGTGTGAATGGATGTCTAACAGGTCTGTGAGGTCTAAACACAAATACAGAAATCCAGTGTCCATCCTTGGTCTTGTTGGCATACAGGTAAGGAAAGAAGAGCCACTCACATCATTTTACCAAAAATACATTCAGAAATTAATAAAAAGCTTACCTTGAGCTGCTATGAATTTATTCTTCTCTTTGTAACCCTAGAAAAAACAAAATCGGATTTACATTTTTTTTTTCAGAATTATCTTTGCTGGAAGGATTCATCGTTGTTGCTGTTAGGAAGGCAATACATATTCACCACGGAGAATTTGCAAAACACAGGAAAAGGTTAAGAACAAAGAAAACTCACCAGCAATTCCAGAAATAACAAGTCCTATTTCATAGTCTCCTCTCTAGTCTGTTTCTCTGCAAAACCTTTCCCAGACTCACACACAAGCAGACATTTCTATGCTCTAATTGGGTGAACATGTACAATTTGATTTATGTTGTGTTTTTGATGAGAATTTTGTCATTCCTATTAAGTAATCCTTTAAAGATCAACACAAATGGAGTTCTAATAATCCACTGCACATGGTTTTGCCACCATTCGTTTAACTGTCCGTTCTCCCTGTTCTATTTGGTCAGGAATAGAAACAATGCTGAAATGAACATCCTCTGTGCTTGTCTCTGTCCCTTGAAATCAAATTCCCAGATGCTGATGTTAGCTTGTAAAGCACAGGCAGTTCCATGCCCTTCGTGCTTGGGGCCAAACTGCCCAGAAAGGCTGTGACAGTTTGCACACCTGGCACCAGACAAGTGCTCACTGGTCATGCCTCACCCTCAGCTGGGCCACGGGAACCGGAAGCCTCTGCCCACTTACATCTATGTAGGAAGCATTGATGTAGTCTGAACAGGGAATTCCATCCACTTGGCTCAGAATCACCCTCGAATGATCATCTGGAAAAAACCCAAACAAAGCCAAGATGTCAGGGCCAGGAATGACAGTGCCGTCTCTTCATCTGCAGTGTCAGCTGCTAGGAAGGGCAAGAGCAGCTTCACAGCGGCACCGGGGGTGGCAGAGATGTTCTTCTTCAGTGTTCCCATGGAGGCCACCAGTGTCCTGTGAGAGAATGCACCTGCTTTGGTGGACACTGCCTGTCTCAGCTGTGGGACGATGACAAGGGTAGGATTTCAGCGTCCAGAATGGGGGCTGCTGGATCATTACATAGACAAGAACAGTGGATCATAGATGAGAACAGCAGAAGCTGCCAGGCCCCTGGCAGTGCAAGGGCTGTGTTTTATGAACCTCACACTGGGCCCCAGTACTGACAAGTGTGGGTCCACTTAGAAAAGCCCCAGAACAGAATGAGTGAGTCCACTCCCAGGCTTCCCAGGGAAAGGAGTACCAGCCCCATGAGGACAAGTGGATATGGGAGTCTAGGACTGGGGACTCTGACCCTCAGTCCCACCACCCGAGTCTGCCCCAGGACTGGAAGGTGAGCATAGTGAGGGCCACCCGGTAGAGCCAGCCTGCTGCAAAGCATGTTCCCAGTGTGGAAGGCTGACCATGGAGTGTACTGTGTGTGGGGTGTGTGACTGCATCTGGATGTTTGTAGTATGACTGGTGTGCTGTGTGAGCCTGATGTCTGTGGTGTGTATATTGGTGCAAGCATGTTGTGTCTGTGGTATCTGCGAGTATGTAAGCGTGGTATGTGCTGTGTGTATTTTTGTGGTGTGAGTGGTGTAGTGTATGATGTGTGTGTGGTGTGTACTTTGGTATGAGTGTGTCATGTGTGTGTGCATGTGTGTAATGTATATGTGGTGTGTGGTGTATGTGTCACGTGTGTGTAGTGTATGTGTGTAGTGTGTGTGCTGTGTGAATGTGTGCATGTGGGTTTGGTGTGCATGTATAATGTGTTTGTATGTGTGTTGTGTATGTGTGTGCGTGGTGTGTGTATGTGTGTAGTATGTGTGGTGTGTATGTGTGTGTGGTGTGTGTATGTGTTTAGTGTGTATGGTGTGTGTATTGTATGTGTGGTGTGTATGTGTGTGGTGCGTGTATGTGTGTAGTGTGTGTGGTGTGTGTATTGTGTGGTGTGTGGGTATGTGTGTAATGCATGTGTGGTGTGTGGTGTGTATCTGTGTATATGGTGTGTAGTGTGTGTGGTATATGTGTGTAGTGTATATGTGTAGTGTGTGTGCTGTGTTAATGTGTGCATGTGGGTTTGGTGTGTATGTGCAGTGTGGCGTGTATGTGTGTAGTGTGTGTATTGTGTGTTGTGTACGTGTGTGTAAGTGTGTAATGTATGTGTGGTGTGTATGTGTGTAATGTGTGCTGTGTGTGGTATGTGTATATGTATGTTATGTATGCATGTGTGTGGTGTGTATGTGTGTATATGTTATGTGTGTATGTGTATATGCAGTGGGTATGTAGTGTGTGTGATCTGTATGCATGGTTTATATGTGTGTGGTGCATATGTGTGTGTGTAGTGTATGTCTGTATAGTGTGTGTGTGCTGTGTGCTGTGTATGTGTGGCAATGTGTGCAGTGCATTTGTGTGGAGTGTGTCTGGTGTATGTGTGGAGTGTGTATGTGTCTGTACTATGTGTGTAGCATGTGTGGTGTGTTTGTATGTGGTTTGTCTGGTGTGTGTGGAGCATGTGTGATGTATACGTGTGGTGTGTGTGTGTGTGTGTGTATGTGTGGTGTATGTGTGTGTGTGTACGCGCCCGTCAGGGCTCCATCATGACTTCTGTGGGCCGAAGTCACTTCTGCCTCCCCAGCTTCCTCCATACAACTATGAAGAAGGTTATCTTAGGACTGACTCTGTTGCTGGTGAAAACACGCATTCCAGGATGGGTTTTGCACATTTGGTTTGTGACGTGAAAAGCGAAGCCGTTTTCATGAGCCTGTAGAAGTGCTGTGGGCCTGGCGCTGCTCCTCCTGCGCACGGTAGAGAAGCCCCGACCTTTCCCAGGAATGTCTGGCTCAGCCAGGTTGGGACGAGGCTGGTTCTGAAATGTTGGTGCTGCACTGGGCAGAGTCTGGCACACGTGGCAGTAGGAGCTTAGGGGCTCGTTCCTGACTCATTATTTAGTGAATCTAGGTCCCCTCCCTGCTTCTCCTCTTAGTCCGTGATCAGAGCGGATTGTGTTTGCGGCATTTGTGATGCGGGGCCGGGCAGCACCCCAGGTCATTCATGCCTTGTCTGTCTCACCTTCACCTGGAAGGCTGTCATGTGGGCCACGGGTTGGTGGCCTGAGACCCCCGATGGCTGAGCCAGCTCTGTCTGGCTGCCAGCAGAGAAGGGGCAGGTACAGGTCTCAGAGAGCCACAGCCCAAGCAGGGTGGCCAGGGAGTTGGACCCCAAACTTACATCCTGCAGACCTCACCGTCAGACACTCCTGCTCGGTGACGGGCAATGCCCAGGCAGATAAAGCTCTGCTGAACATGTATAACACTAGTTGAAAATAATCTGGAATGGTTTATGCTTTGAGGACAGCTATAGAAAAGCACAGGGTAAAATATAGCCTTCTGCTTAGATTTAGAATCTTGCAGTTTCTAAGAGCTTCCTGTCTTTTTATTCTAAAAAGTCACACTTCACATTCAAAACATTATTTCCTAAAATTATCAGCTGTTGGCACTTTTCCAGAAAAGAGGCCTTGCTTGCCATCTGCCACAGAGCCTTTCTATAGGCAAAAGTCAAGCCTGCCTGACAGGCAGAGCACCTTAACCTCTAACCCCACAGCTCCCAAGGCCACATGCCTGCCCGGAGCCACGGGCCATCTTGTGACTCTGGTGAGAGATTGGGAAAGGCAGGGAAGGCGCCAGTGGCTGTGGCAGTTGGGTCCCTTCTCCCTTCTCCCCAAGGTGACCCTCAGCCCCATCCTAAATGATACGAGGAGCTGTCACCCTGGGGGTGGGTGGAGCAGATCTGAGAGCTCCCTGCCTGATGTCCCATGATCCAGCTCACCTATCCTGGTCCCAGCAGGGACCCCCGAGGTCATTCTGACCAACTGCTTGGTGTAATCAGACAAACCTCTCCTCAGCCTTTAGTCTTCCTGATGCCTGATGCCAGATTCCCCCCACATTAATCCTTGCCAGGCCACACCATCTCCCTGCCACTGTTCTTTAAACTCATCTTTCCAGCAGTGAGAAACATGCCACATCCTGGCAGTCCTCAGGCCCCGGACGGCTGCCTGTGCTGTAGGGTTACCGTGGCATTGCTGCTCCTGCCAGGAGCAGGAAAAAGATCTTACAGGGGAGGCTAGAAAAGCCTGTTCTGAACCTGACTACGCTTTCAGGCTTGGAGGAAAGGCCAAGTGACCCCTGTAGCACGGTCTAGAGAACGCGGCTCAGAGGAGACCTACAGGAGATAGGCCTGGCCTCTTCCTCCAGGTGGGGGCTTCAGAGGGGAGGCTGCTCTGCTCTGGGCCATCACACCTTGAGGAGGGGACTGGGTATAAGTAACGCCCACACTTGGCCATGATTCTGCTTCCACAGAGGTCCCAGCTAAATAGTCTTTTTTTTTCTTGAGATGGAGTTTTGCTCTTGTTACCCAGGCTGGAGTGCAATGGTGCGATCGCGGCTCACTGCAACCTCCGCCTCCTGGGTTCAGGCAGTTCTCCTGCCTCAGCCTCCTGAGTAGCTGGGACTACAGGCGTGCACCACCATGCCCAGCTATTTTTTTGTATTTTTAGTAGAGACAGGGTTTCACCATGTTGACCAGGATGGTCTCCATCTCTTGACCTTGTGATCTACCCCCCTTGGCCTCCCAAAGTGCTGGGATTACAGGCGTGAGCCACTGCGCCCAGCCAATAGTCTTAATTAACAATGTGATGTTACCTTTAAGGGATGAGGGTTTAGTGGTTGAGAGAGAAATGAGGAATTCAGAAAAGGGCTTAGCACTGAGGAGTTTCTTTACAAGCATGGTTAGCAGATCAAGGCATAACTTTCAACTACTCAATAAAGGTAATAAATTGACCATTGATACTAATTTCTAAATATCCCAAACTCAACACAAATTATTCTAAAGATCTCAGACCTCCTCCTGCCATGGTCTTCCTTTCCTTTGATCTGCTCAGCCATGTAAATTCCCTCCCCTGTCTCTGTGACATCTTCTACCTGTTGGTGACAAACCCTCCCCAAAGCATGCAGAATCTAGCCATGGTCCAAGCCACCCTCAAGGCTCAGCTGTGTGGCCACCACATGGCCTCCTGACACATCTTCCAGGTGTTCCCTTGGCCACCCCTACAAATATGTGTTGAATGAAAGACTATTTGACAAATTTCTCCAGTTTTCATTGGCTCATGGGCTCACAGTGGGTTTCTGTAAAAACCACACACCAATCCTATGCATGTCAAATGGGAAAGAATTGTTTCTAAAAAGTGCGCAGTTTGGACAGACCAAAGATCAGACAGACCATAGCCGCTCTGACATACGGAGCAGATGAACTCAATTCTAGTCCGAAAAATGCAGCAAGAGGCAGCATGCCAGAGCCCACATGGGCTGCCTTCCTCCACCCCCCCGAGGCCCAGGCCAGGAGGGGTGGACCTGTGGAGGCCACAGGTTCAGGATTCAAACCTGAACTTAGTGGAGTCCTTTGAGGCTGCCCTTCTGTTAGCCTTATGGGCAAAGCAGATAATGGAAGGGGCCAGGTAGCTGAAAGATCCCAAAACCACTCTGATGCCCAGCCAGCTCCTTTTTTTTGAGAAAAAGTTTCACTGCTGTTGCCTGGGTTAGAGTACAATGGCATGATCTTGGCTCACTGCAACCTCTGCCTCCCGAGTTCAAGAGATTCTCCTGTCTCAGCCTCCCGTGTAGCTGGAATTATAGGCATCCACCATCATGCTCAGCTAATTTTTTGTATTTTTCGTAGAGACAGGGTTTCACCATGTCGGTCAGGCTGGTCCAGAACTCCTGACCTCAGGTGATCCACCCGCCTCAGCCTCCCAGGGTGCTGGGATTACAGGCATGAGCCACTGCGCCCAGCCAGAGCCAGCTCTTACAAAGGCGGCTCAGAACCTATGGGGCTTGTCTTGGCACCGAGATAGGCTGTGAAAGCTGCTCCAGGTCATGGCACACCCGGCTGGAGCGGCTCACTGAGATGCCCTCCGCACACATCCGTCTGCTCCCTGGCCCTGCCACCCCCTGGCACCCATGCTCCCCGGCCATGACCACTTGTACTGTTGTGGTTAGATCAGGTCGATTAGGAGCCTTTCTACAAAGCTGCTGCCCACCTGCAAGTTTTGTTTTCTGTCATTTTTGTCTTTGGTTTTGGACCCCAGACAGCTCTAGGGATTTGCAGCTTGTAGCCATAAGCACTGAGTCTGAGGGAGGGGAGCTGCCCAGGGCCACTGGCAGGCCTAGAGTTCCATAGGAGGGACCCTGCCAGCTGGTGCCCCTGGCCACGAAGCAGCACCCTTTCCTGCTGGGACCCAGGCAGCCCAGGCCTCGACAGTAAGCACAGGCTTGGCAGCCAGACCCACGAGCAACCAAGGTGCCCAGGGCCTGTGCAGGGAGACGGGCACCCAGAGAGGAACATTCTGGAGTCCTAGGTGCACACGCTGAGCAGTTAGAGTGATTTGGGGCCCCAGTCTCTGGCCTCTGAGCACTGGGAACGCCCTGTGGTCATGGGGAGCTGCAAGGCAAAGCCGAGTTTAGTGCAAACACCATCGATCATGCAACAGATAAAATGAAATCTTACTGGGAAGGATGTTGGGGTATCTGTTTTTGTCTCTGTTTTCTTCTTTATTTGCCAGTTCAAAAGTTCCTTGTATGTGTCCAGAAGGTAATGACTGGAAGAGAACGCAGCATTAGTGTGAACGTGATGGATTCCAGCAGCATGCCCATGTCAGTCTCCCTACTGAGCACAGGAATTACGAAAACACTTGGAGCGAACCACCTGCCAGCCATAGTTCATCTCTGCCTCCGACCTTGTGCCAGGCGCAGGGCAGGGGATGAAGGAGACATAGATCCTGGCTTTCCCCAGGGTGCTCTTTCTTGTGGGGCAAACAGTGGTATGGTAAAAGTGACAGTCTCATCAGCCAGGCCGGACACTGCATGAAGGCAGAGGCTTGCCTGCTCATTTCTCTGGCATCTCAGGGCCCACAGGTCCTGGCTCACAGCAGGCACCTATGACTTGGTAAGAACTGACCACAACAGAGCTGTGAGTTGGGAGAGAGGAGAGCGAGGACAGGCATATGGAGGGTTTATAACAGGGTGCTGTGACTTCGGGGCTGAAGGATGAGTGGAGTGGTCCTGGGAGGGAAGGAGCAGGAAACAGCCTTAGATATAGTCCTGACCTTGCTCAAGACTCCACTCGTGCTCTGTGGACCAGTGACATGGGCACACCTGGCAGGGTGCTGGTTAAAAATGCAGACTGCCCGGCCACACCCCAGACCCACAGAATCGGCATGTATATTACCAAGATCCCCGGGGCTTCAGTGCACACATCTTTGGGAAGCACCATCCTAAGCAACCCCTTTGTCCCAGTCAGGGAAGTCAGATGTGAAAGGAATGCCGCGGGGCCCCTATCCCCTATGAGCAGCATAGCTGAGTGTGAACTCTGGTGGCCTGAATTCTAGTTCTTTCTGCCGCCTGGAGCCGCCGCCTCTGATTCCAGGTCACCTCTAGCTGTCCTGTGTCTGCTCGCTGCCCAGGTGACCTCCCCACAGTGCGCAGTGTGAAGAGCCTCTTGAAGCCCCGAGTCTTGTCCTTCAACATTACACCTGGCCAGTTGCTGGACCCAGGGCCACTGGGATTCCAGTAACATGTGTCAGTATGCAGTGAGTGCTTCAGTGTGCCAGGCACGCTGCTCCAGCCTTCCCAATTCACCTATTATTAGGTGACACCAGGATGGTCCCTGTTTTATGAGTGAGGAAACTGAAAGCCAAAGCAAGTGTTGTAGATTCGTCCTGGGTCACCGAGCGAGCAGGGGCGGGAGGCTGGAGCAGCACCCAGATGGCCAGGAGGATGCCCACTCCTTCAGATGTGGGAGAATGCGAGGGGTCCCTCTGCAAGTACTCAGGGGAGCAGAGCAGACCTCACTGTGTAGATTTGGATCCAAGCCATGCAGCCCTGGGCTTGCTCACCATGCAGAGAAGGGGCCTGACCTGCCGCCCACAGGTGTCCCAAGCTTTCCTCTCCTGAGGGCAGGAAGCTCATCTGACCAGTCAGTGCTCATGGGAGGGACACCATAGGCCACGCTGTTTCCTCTGCTTTGGGGCAACCAAACCTCGTGGCCACAGCATGAGGCCCTTCCAGGCCATGGGGCTTGTGGGTCCCAAAGCAGAGGCAAGAGGGTGGCCTGTGTGGAGGGACCTGCCTGGTGGTACCACAGCAAGGCTGATGGGTGGCTCTCGGCCTCATCCCCAGCCACCAGCACCTACACCGCCTGCAGTTCCCGATTCTTCATTAGAGCTGTCTTAATACTGACCTTCTTCACCTAATCTAAGCCTGACATTTGTGGTAACATTCTAGAGCCTTCTCTTTTCCCACCCTCAAAAGCTATTTTTGGCCCTAGTACTGAAAATACACAGGAGGCATGATACCGGATGGCGGGTACTGTGCATTTGTCAAAACCCACAGAACACACAGCACACACCCGCAAGTGTGGACTTCTGTGAGGAACAGCAGAGCAGTGTTGGTCCATCAACTGCAGCAGCTGAAGCACACGAATGCAGGAAGTTAATAATGGAGAAGCTGCTCACGGGGAGGAAGGGGGTATATGGCAACTCTGTACTTTCTGTGCAGCTTTTCTGTATACCTAAAACTGCTCTAAAATAAAGTCTATTAAAAGATAAGTTAGGCCGGGCATGGTGGCTCATGCCTGTAATCCCAACACTTTGGGAGGCCGAGGCGGGTGGATGACCTGAGATCAGGAGTTCAGGACCAGCCTGGCCAACATGGTAAAATCCTATCCCTACTAAAAATACAAAAATTAGCTAGACGTGGTGGTGGGCACTTGTAATCACAGCTACTTGGGAGGCTGAGGCAGGAGAATCACCTGAACCCGGCAGACGGAGGTTGCAATGAGCCAAAGGTGCACCACTGCACTCCAGTGTGGGCGACAGAGTGACACTGTCTCAAAAAAAAGAAAGAAAAAAAAGGAATGGAGAAGTCTCCCTGGAGGGATTGCATGGCGAGGATGGACCAAGCTCTGACATCCCCCAGCTGTGTGGTCCTGGCAGCTGCAGAGATCCAGACCACAAAGATGGGGAATAGCCACCCAGCTGCACAGAGGGTCAAGGTCAAAGTGTGAGGGAGGCATCGTACCCTGCGCATCGCACATGTACGTATCCTGGATCCAAGCGCACAGAATAAACAGCCGCACAGACTCTGCAACCCTTTCTCTGACTGTCAGTCTACCTGGGATCTGAAATCTCTGAGCTGCTCAGGTGGCCCAGGGAAAGGGGAGCGCACCTGGAGGGGTCTGCGCACTGGGAGGAGCCCTGCAGTGCCCGGCTTGGGGCTTGCCCACAGTAACTGGCCAATAAATACCTTGTGATTGCTGTCCCATTATGTAAATTGTCCAAAGAGGGTTTGTGGTTTGTCTGTTGGAGGTGAGATTTCATTTCTTTTATCTTTATTTTTGAGACAGGGTCTCACTCTGTCACCCAGGCTGGAGTGCTGTGGCATGATCTGGTCTGACTGCAACCTCCGCCTCTCGGGTTCAAGTGATTCTTCCACCTCAGCCTCTGAGTAGCTGAGACTACAGGTGTGGGCCAACCCCACCCAGCTAATTCTTGTATATTTTTTGTTAGAGACGGTGTTTCACCATGTTACCCAGGCTGGTCTGGAATTCCTGCCGCTCGAGCAATCTGACTGCCTCGGCCTCTCAAAGTGCTGAGATTACAGGTGTGAGCCACCGCACCCGGCCTAGAGATTACATTTCAATGAACTCATGAGCCACGTTCCTTTCCCTCTCCTCTCAGTAGTGTTGGGCAGGCAGCGGGAGAGAGTACAGGAAGCCATGTGGGCAGCTCTGCGAGAGGCCCCAGCTGCTCCATCGAGCTCCAGGCAATGGTTCTGGTTTGTGGATTGTGCTGGAAGCTTTGCAGTTGACACCTCCCTCTGCATTTTTGTAGCACTTATCAGTGTATGAGTCCTAGGCACTCAGCTTGACATAACTTGCTAGGATAGAGGCAGGAAAAGCCTGTCTGCAGAGGGGCATTTTACTTAGCCCAATGGCACTTGCTTTCCAGGACTTACTCTGGGGCCTGGGAAGAGACTTTCCTAAGATGGCATTCCACCAGTGCAGGGTGGAGGCTGCAGAGTGAATTCTTGTAAGGACTCAGATGTATGTCCAGGTTATCCAAAGTCATATCCATGTTATCACAATCCTATGGGAGCTGGGAGTATCCTCATCACACAGAAAAGGAAACAGGCAGAGGCTAATTGGCCAAGCCCTTCGAGCTGGGACAAACACTCAGGCCTATGCCAGGATTCACCTCACTGAACCTACCCCAATACCAAACCCGTTTCATCCTCACCAAGTTCGCCTGCACTTTGAATTGGCACTGCACACATGTCAAAACTCAACCAGATCCACCATTTTGAGACTCCTGTCTCCCTTTCATGACTTTGGGGAGAGGAGCTCAGATCACAGGGCAAGAGAAAAGCAAGATGGGGTTGGGAGTATGTCCCTCTAAGGACCCAAGAGACAGCTGGCCATGGCAGGCTCCAGCACTCTTAGAGGACGGGTGCTGCGTGAATATGGCCTCAGGACATGACTAGCCCTTCACTGGACAGAAGAGCAAAAAAAAAAAAAAGCACAGCCTGGGCAACACAACGAGACCCCATGTCTACAAAAAAGTAAAAAGCCAGTGGACATGGTGGCACATGCCTGTAGTCCCAGCTACTTGGGAGGCTGAGGTGGGAGGATCGCTTGAGCTGGGAGGTCGAGGCTGCAGTGAGCTGTGATCAGGCCCCTGCACTCCAGCCTGGAAGACAGAGTGAGACCCTATCTCAATCAAACAAACAAACAAACAAACAAACAAACAAACAAACAAACCGAAACACAACAGCAGCTCCCCCAGGGTTCCCCGGACACAGGATCAGCACCGTGATCCTGACTTTGAGTCCAGGGCTCTTCCCCTCCACCGTGTCTCTACCCTGCCTGTCACTGAGCAGAGGGACTCTGATGTTTAGCTGAGGGCCACCCAGTGGCAGAAGAGCATGAGGATCTTCCTCTGGGTGCAAAATTTAACAGGGTGCCCCCAAAATTCAGAAATAAGAGAAATAATATTTGAATGCAATATTTTTTAGAAGTCCAAATCAAGGCCCAAAATCTATGATGACCAAAATACGAAACTTTTAACTAATGGCAGGGTCAGTAACTGTGTGTGACAAGCCATACATATAGGGGCCCAGAGCAACAGGGAACACAGTCAGCCCAAGCCTGTCTTCCTTTACGGTCATGCTATTTTGTTCACCAGGGACTGTCTACATTCATTTTGATATTTTATTTTTTACCTTTCCTGTGGTGTTGACAAGGTTGATGTTTGAAGTGCTGTGTTAAAATGTAATTTATCCCACCACCGAGCTTTTGGTGTTGCCTTAAATTTTGTGCCTGGGGTGAGTGCCTCTCCTGCCCCACCCTATTCCTGGACTCCCTCCCGGGAAGTGGCCCACACTTTTGAGCTGGTTCTGACTCAGACACCCCTGTCAGCAAGCCCAGCCCCTGAAAGAAAAGCGCAAGGGGAAACGGGATGAGAAGGGCTGGGGAGGGGCTCTGCTAGCTGAAAGCCTGGATAGTTATTTTGAAAATAAGAATTAAGGTCTGTTTTCAGGCTGAGAGATTGTGACACAACAGTGCTTGAAGGTGTCTTTCAATATGACCTAATTTCTCCAAAAAAGGGGACACATTTGGAAACAGTAAAAAGGAAGCGAGATGAAGCAGAGGAGGCTTGTTGCTAATAAACAAGCACTGCACGGTTGAAATGTGCCACCCCCATCCCATGCCTTCACACACTGCTTCTGGGCCAAGTATCGTGTCTACAGCAGAGTTCATGCCATCTTCAGATGTAACAATTGCACAACACTGTTGTTTATAGAGTCTGTTGTCTGAGCCTCCCATTCCAACCCCAAGGTAATGAAGAAACAGGCCCATCTCCATTGCCCCTCCTAGGTGGTGGAAGATAGCTTCAAGGAGATTAACTAATGTGCCAGGGCCAGTGTGCAACAGGCATAGCCAGGACCAGTCAGCAATCCTGCTGAAAACCTATCCTCTTTAAGATCAGCATTCAGCACAGCTACATGCAAGATGGCGAAGATGCATAAAATTCAAAACATGACCAAGGATAAATACTGAATAGCAAAATCCAACACTTCCTCATATCTGTTTGTCTGCCTCTATATGTGCCTATCCATCCTTCCATCCACCCACCCATCCATCCACCCACCCATCCATCCATCCTCCCATCCATCCATCCATCTATCCATCCATTCATCCATTCATCTACCCATCCATTCATCTATCTCCCATCCTTCCATCCAACCACCCATCCATCCATCCATCTATCCATCCATTCATCCATTCATCTACCCATCCATCCATCTATCCTCCCATCCATCCATCCACCCATCCATCCATCTATCCTCCCATCCATCCATCCATCCATCCTCCCATCCATCCATCCATTCATCCATCCATCTATCTATCCTCATCTATTCATCTACCCTCCTACTCATCCATCCATCCACCCATCCATCCATCTATCCTCCCATCCATCCATCCATCCACCCATCCATCCATCCACCCATCCTCCCATCCATCCATTCATCTATCCATCTATCCATTCATCCATCCATCCATCTATCCATCTATTCATCCATTCATCTATCCATCCATCCACCCTTCTACTCATCCATCCATTCATCCATCCATCCACCCATCCATCCATCTATCCTCCCATCCATCCATCCACCCATCCATCCATCTATCCTCCCATCCTTCCATCCACCCATCCATCCATCTATCCACCCATTCATCCATCTATCCTCCCATCCATCCATCCACTCATCCATCCATCTATCCACCCATCCATCCATCTATCCTCCCACCCATCCATCCATCCTCCCATCCATCCATCCATTCATCCATCCATCCATCTATCCATCCATCCATTCATCCATTCATCTATCCATCCACCCACCCTCCTACTCATCCATCCAACCTCTCATTCATCCTCTGCCTTCCCACTCATCCATCCATCCATCCACCCGCCCACCCACCTTCCTATCCATTCATCCTTCACTCATGTCAATACACAAGCAGATACAGCTAGTGTTCCCTCCAGGCAGCTCACAGCTGCCTCATTAATGCTTAGATGGTGGTTCAGAAGAGGAGCATCGCCTACTCTGAATAGATGCTCCAGCTCTCAGAAGCTATGAAAGGATGGTTCAGGGCTCCGTTGCTTTCACCATGATATTGTCATACTGTGCTGTGCTCAGGCCCTAGTTTTCTACATTATCGAGATAACAGTGTTTCTGTCACGACTGATTTTAGGACTTGATACTCAGAGTGTGGGAGGTAGAAGGAGCCTTCACGAACCTCTAACTCAACTTCTTATAAATGTCTCTTCTTATAAATGAGGGAATAAGCATTAGTGAAGGGCATTGCACCACAAACCAGGTTTCCTCCCACATCCCATCATGGGACAGTGTCATAACTGATGCAAGGGTTCTGAGTCTTTGGGATAAATCTTGAATCTAACACTGGATTTCACAGGTCTCTACCACAGGGTGCCCAGCAGCGGGCCGCTCCCCACACTCACGTTGAACTCCTCCCGAAACTGCTTGCAGTCGTCGGCGGATCTGATGCGGATCTCCTCCTCCAGGTGCTCCACAGGGATGGGAAAGTACTTCTTGGGCCCCGAGGGTGACCTGCTGAGTAGCATCACCCTTTGCTGCTCTGTGGGATCAAAAGAAACATGGGGGCCATTTAGCCACATTCCTGGACAGGTGACTGAGTAACCGAGCTGACCGACGACATTCCTGAAGAAACGACCAGGCCGGAGCAGGGACAGTTCTCTCAAATCACACAGCCCGGCTAAGCCGGGTCCTGAGCCGCTGAATCCAAACACCCGCCTCCTGGGAGGCATCCACATCGTCTATAAGTGACGGGTGCCCCTCTGTCTAGTGTCACCTGCTCTCCCCCATCAGAGGCATCCTGTCCCCCTCCCCAGACCACTCATCCACCCATCCTTCCATCCCTCCTTCCCTCCAGCCCCTGCTCCTTCCAAAAAGGATTCAAGACAGCTTCACTCTCCAGCTCAGGTTTCCAGGTTTGGAAATAAGGAAGAGTAATTACGGCTTCTGGGAGCAAACTCAGAATGGTCTCTCTCAGCCTTTTCCTTTTCATAACAAAGATTCCTGGTTCCTCAAACCCCATAAGCTCGAAGGGAAATAAGAGAAGCCACCCTTGTTTGGGGAGGGTGACAAGGGGCATTGAGAAGGAGAAGTATGCATTCTAAGGGAGTCCTTGGACACATTCCTTCTGTAAGTTCAGAGTGAGAGGCAAGAAATGTCATGGGTATGTTTCTCTTTCTGGGGAACGAGCTGATATTGACGAGGTCAACATAACTCGGCTGTCACACTTGCAAAAAGGGCCTGTCCCCACCTGCAGAGCCATTCTGAAGCCCAGCCAAAAACTTCACCCAAGGATCACTCCTCTGAGTGACAGACAGGATCAGAATGAGCGCCGCTGGGCGTCCCTGCTGCTCACCGGCCGCACCCTCTTCCCTCCAGCTCCTACTGTGGAAATGTGCAGGGCAGGGAGCAGGGGCCAGAACAAGGGCAGGAAGACAGCACCTGGGGCCACCAGATCATCTAACCAGGATCTCGGGTCCCCCAAGCACTGAGAGGGTACATTTCAGCTGGATCCTTGTTGGTGATATTCTTTTAATGATCTAAGGGTCTGTTTTAAGAGTCTATTTTAGTCTGACAGCACAGCACATGTGTTCCCCCAAACCATGGAACAGTTAGGTAGGAAGGTGACCACAGGAAGCTGTAGCCACTGGTGTGTGAAGCAATATTTTTGTGGCCTCTGCCTTACACACGTTTCTTGGTCATCTCATCTCTACATACAGAGAGAAAAGCAATGTTCCTTTGTAAGTAGTGACAACAAGTTAGAAACTGTACTTGGGACTGAAGAGTTGGAAGTGCCCCCAGCTGACTCTGATCCTCTGTAAACATGAAACACGTTAACAGAGCAAGGCCCTTTTTTCAGCTTGATTGGCAAGCAGTACAAATCCAGCTGAATAGCTTATGAGCCAGTCTTATCTTAGAACGATTGTAAGGCCTCACTGAAAAGTGTTACATGTCAACACCCTGTGAAAACGACAGGATATGAACGGTTTCTCTAACACAAGCCACAAACAAAAATGTCTCAAATGTCTGTGTCACACCAGAGAGAAAAACGACCCCTAAAGTTTTGAAATGGTGAAATTCTAAATGAAAGCATCATATCAGGTAAAGTGAGGCAAAAATGGCAGAGCTGAGCCGCCTCCAAATTTACTCTGAATGTAAAAGAGACAAAGCATCCCACCCACTGTCTGTTAAAGAACACGTTTTCCCTGAGCCCCAGCCAGAGAGGTGCCCCCATACCTTGTTCCTCCAAGATTCCGTTGGGCATCTTCTTGTCGCTGGCGCTGACCACAGCTTTCCTCTGCTTCCTGAACCTTAGAGACACAGGACTCATTAGGTTTCCACACTTCTAGGTTCCCTAAGAGCCAACAGCCCTCAGCACAGCGATACCCACCAGGTGAGTCTGGAAAAGCTACTCCTGGTGCTCATGGCTGAGCCGAGCTAAGGCCTGGCCTCCGTGTCTCCCAGGCCCAGCCACCCGGCCTCCCAGCTGTTCTCTGCAGCACAGCCCACGCCCGCAGCATCAGAAGGCTCATTTCCTCCTCTGAGCTGGTTGGGGCAAGTCGGCGACCCGGGACACTCCTACCTGAAGAAGTAGGCGGCGAGAAGGAGGATGAGGAGGAGGAGCAGCAGAGGCAGGAGGAGCCAGGCCAGCAGCGGCTGGGAGCCACCTGGGTCCGGAGGGCCTGCAGGGGAAGTGCAAAGACCCTAACCCCTGACCTCACTTCACACTTTGCAAAAGCGTCCCCCTCCATGAGCCTTTCCTCCTGGACACCAGAACCCCAGGCTACAGTTTGCAATGTGGATTCACCATCCTGAAAAGGCCCCACGAGGTAACAGAGGAGCGGCTTTGGTTGTTGCTGTTGACTCAGAGAAAGAATCCGGGACTGGGGCTTGGGTACAATGACTTGTCTGAGACCCTGGGCAGGCATGATGGGGGTGAGCTCCCCAGACCTCCACACGGCCTGGCTGCCTGGCTCTCCTGCTAAGAAGCTGGGGGAAGAGTGGACGCCCCTCCCTAGTGTCCACTGTGGGCCCTGGATGGTGCAGGAGCCTGACTCGGCACAGCTCAGCAGCTCCCAGGGCCCCCTGGGCTTGGGCATGAGCTCAGGCACAGGAAGGCAGCCTGGCCTTGGGGCTGGGCAGAGGCCTGTGGCCCTGGCGCATGGTGGCCCCACCTTGCAGAGCCTCCTGGTCCTGATTCCGCCTGTCAGAGGCCGAGTGCCCAGCCACCATCCCCCCTGTTCCTCTGTCCTTTCTACCTGACAGGCTGACCTTCCTCACCTGGAAAGAGACCCACAGCCAGGCCCAGCTTTGCTGCAGCTTAGGACCTGCCAGGCCCAGCAGTGGCTCTGCTGCGGCTCAGGACTTGCCCCTGGCTCGTAGCCCAAATCCCAAGGGGCTCTGGTGGCCTGGCTGCCATCTTTGGACCCCACCCTCTCAATGTCGGACTTTGTCCCCGCTTCTCCCCAGCCATCCACACAGCCCCCTCCTCACCAAAATGAGGACAATATTCCCCACTCACTGAGGACAATCTCAAAGGCCCCACCTCCAGAAAGCCCACTGGACTCCTATCTTGTAGACCCAGAGGGGCCCTGGATGCCTCAAAGCACAAACCACACCCTGCTGTGAGTGAACAGGCCCTTAGCACGACTGCTTTGCTTTCCATGTTTCTGTGGAAACCTCTCGAAGGCAACGATTGGGCTTCCAACTCTAGTTCCCAGAAGCACCAAGCACTGGCCCTGAGCCCAGTGCAGGCTCCATGCACTTCCTCCTGAGGGCTGGCACAGGAGGGCACTCCCAGCACCAGGAGGGCTCCACAGCCCCAGAGGCTCCACTCACCTCACACCCCTCATCTGGGTCCAAAAGAGACCCTCATGCCTTCTGCCTTGCACCCTGGGTTATAAACTCCCCAGGGCAGGGGCTGGATTGTCCTCCCTCATCCTCTAAACTCCCAGGCCTGGCACTGACTCTGGCACCCTGTGAGTGGTCCATGCAGTAATTTCTAAGAAATGAAAAAGTTTTAGGGACTTGAGTGACCATTAGATGTTGACGTTCACAGAGGACACAGCTGGCCTGTCATGAGGAGGTGGTCCCAGCCAGGAGAGACGGCACTGTTCACTGGCCCCCCCACTAAGTGCCCACCTTCCAGGTGGCATCTGTGCCTCCCTCATCTGTCTGGCAGTGTCAGTAGCCTAGCAGCCTGGCTGTCCTCGATAGCGCCCACACTCAGGTATCTGTGGCCCTGGCCCAGAGGAGCCGGTTCTGGCCCCACACGAGGCTGGGTTGGTGCCAGGCTGAGTGGCTGGGTGTGGCTGCCACAGTTCCCCGCCTTTGGCTTCCAACCTGCCCACAGCAGAGCTTCCCTGGGGAAGTGAGGTGGCCTGAGGTTTCCATACTTGCAACTCCAGACAGCACCCCCCTCCACTCTGCCAAGGCCTTGGAGCAACTCCAGCACAGACTGCGGGGGAACCTCTGACATGGAGAGAGGAACAGCATGGAGCCCAGCGCCCGGGAGGGCCTGGCTGCTGCTCGCTCTTGAGACTCAGCTGGAAAGCTTGGGCATCGGTCCCCCTCCTCCCTCCCAAATGTAGCCAAGTACATCTGCCCTCATCTCCTGGGGCCCCACACAATGAAACTTCCCACTTCCGCCTCACACAGAGGTCAGGCTCTGGGCTCAGCTTCGGCATACATGGTCACTAAGTGCAGTCCAAGCCAGCTCATGGGGTCCGCTCATCAGAGACACGAGGAGGTACCTGGGCCCCGCCAGCCCTCCCTGGGTCCAGCTTCCACGTTCCTGCCTGAGGCAAAGGCTGCAGTCACAGACATGGGTGCTTCCACAGAGGACGGGGCTGAAGCAGCCATACCCGCAAAGGGGGCGTGCACATGGGCAGGGCTGGTGGTCCCCCAGCTCTGGCTCTGGAGTTTCTCATTAGCTGCCTCTGTTCAGGAGGCCAGAGATGAGGATCAGAAACCCCACGACCTTCTAGGGGCAGGCGAGAACACCCTAGTGGTTCAGGTACACCAGATGGGGGCAGGAAAGGAGACTCCACATCCTGTCTGCAGGAATGGCTGCTTCTGAGCTCCAGCATACTAGGCCCAAGCGCAAAGGGGGCCCACAGTGCCCAACTCTTCCCACCTTCCTAAAGAAGAAATTCATATTTTTATGGAAACATTTTTTGATTTTTAAATATTGGTAAGAAATTCGATTTAAATGTAATTTTTAAAAATGGTGTGGGCCAGGAAGAAAACAAAAATATGTCCTGTGGGCACCAGTGTGGTCCATGCAGGAGTCAGGGAGCCATCTGAGAAGAAATGCCAGTCACAGTCTATTTTCATTTCCTGTTGTTATGGCTCCGACGTGGTGGGGCAGAAGGTCAGGGTGGCCAGTCCCCAGAGTGGTCATCCCGAAGCAGCCTTCTTCCTGAATGACAGTCTAGCTGATGCCCAAAGCCAACTGTGTGTGTATGTTGACATATGTACATTTGCAGCTTGTGTGTGTGTGTGTACATGTTTGCTTATGCAGAATCTGATCCTGAAAATTGAGAAGCTTAGGCTTGAATGTGACTTTGGAGCAGACAAAGAGAATGGGAATCTTGGCTGGAATGTGACCACCCGACACCATCTGCTCAGGAAGCTGGTCCTGAGCTCCCGCCAAGAGCTGGGGTCTTCTAGGGACCACCTCAGTTCTGTCCCAGGGCTCAGCTGCTCTCACTGTGTCCCCTGTCTTAGCTCCATCCCCTTTCCCCTCTCCCACCTTCATGCCAAGCTCTCCCTCCCGAAGGGACCCTAAAGGCGGAGCAAGTCCATACTGAAAAGACGTGGCTCACTCAAAGACAGGTGTGCAGACAGAGGCTTCAGGTCCCAGCTCACTGCAACCTAAGATTCCCAGTGCTCAGGAATGCATTCTGTTTGCCACAGTTAAGCATAATTAAGATTTTGAAGTGTATATCTTTCCTGACATGTTCTTCTATAAATTTCTGTTCATAAATATGCTGGTTTGGGAAATAGACTACACTACTCCTCTCATTTCAGCTAAAGCTTCACGATTGTAAAAAGTATCATTATTTTAAGAACCACTAAGAAAGAAAAAAAATGATACTGATTATAATTGTGAAGTGCTACCAATTTTAAGACACATCCCCATATAGCCACATTAAATATGAAAGAAACAGATGAAGCGCGCCTGGGGGCAGCCTCCAGCTTGCCTTTCTGGTACGGCTGTCTGTCTTGGAGAGTTTCCATGGCAGCCCAGATAAGCTTCCCCATTCTGTGTAATAGCTGCTTGGATTCCACTTTTTGGATAGACCAAAATAGGATGGACATTTAAGTTGTTTCCAACTTTTCTGCTATTACCTACAATTCTGCAACATATATATATATATCTTTGTGTCTGGCAAGTGTTTCTGTGGGATAGCTTCTGTGTTAGCCTGTATGCCTGCTACATTTTAACACGATTGTCAAGTTGGCAGCCTGAAGTTTCTAACTTCTGCACTCATCCATAGCGGGGGTCCCTGCCAACTGCCTCAGGACACAGGCAGGTATCAGTCTGTGGCCTGTTAGTAACTGGGCCGCACAGGAGGAGGTGAGCGGCATGTGAGCGAGCATGACCACCTGAGGTCCACCCCCCTTCAGATCAGCGGTGGCATTAGATCCTCACAGGAGCTCGAGCCCTATTGTGAACTGCACATGCAAGGGATTCTTATGAGAATCTGATGATCTGTCACCATCTCTCTCATCACCCCCAGAGGGGCCATCTAGTTGCAGGAACACAAGCTCAGGGGTCCCACTGATTCTACATTATGGTGAGTTGTACAATTATTTCATTATATGTTACAATGTGACAATAATAGAAATAAAGTGCATGATAAATGCAATGCGCTTGAATCATCCCCAAACCACCTCCACCCCAATTCCATGTGAAAACTGCCTTCCATGAAGCTGACCCCGGTGCCACAAAGGTTGCAGAGTGCTGCCCGGAGGGTGTAACAGAGCCAGTTTCTCTCCTCTGGGGTGTGGTCAAGCCTTTTGATTTCGGTCCATCTGACAGATAGAATGATTTTAATTTGCATTTCTCTAATTTCTAGAGAGTTGAGCATCTTTTCATTATTAGTGAGACACAATTAACTGGATATTTGTATTCTGCCTGGTCATATTCTCTATTCGTCTCCCTACTTTTACTTATTATTTTTTATAGACAAAATTGTATTATATAATTTGTAACCATTTACCTTCAAATCCTTCTGTAAAAGAATGTCTGGATGATACTGAATACACTTTGTTCAAGAAGCAAATGAAACAACTTCCTGTTAATCTGGCACACTATGGCACAGTGTTACCATCTGAAACGGCCCTTCATACTTCTTCCAGGGATCAGATGAAGATTTTTTTTTGATGGGGGCTCACTGTGTCACCCATCTGGAGTACTGTGGCACAATCTCGGCTCACTGCAACCTCTGCCTCCTGGGTTCAAGTGATTCTCCCGTCTCAGCCTCCGGAGTAGCTGGGATTACAAGCACACACCACCATGCCTGGCTAATTTTTTTCTATTTTTAATAGAGATGAGGTTTCACCATATTGGCCAGGCTGGTCTTGAACTCCTGACCACAGGTGATCAGCAGGCATCTCTAAAGCAAAGACTCTTCTTTTTAACAATAAAGCTAATCACGATGCCAGTATCTGACCTAAAGCATTAAGAATCATGCTTTAGTTAATATCACTAACTGTCACATCGCCTCGTCCGTGTGTGTTCATGGTTGGTTTTCTGCACAATGGGATTTGGGGGGATTTTTAACCCTTTGCTCTCCTGCCTCCAGCCAAGGCTGACCCCGACTCTCAGCAGGGGTTATAGATGGGTCACCTCCAGAACTCTAAGCTTTGCTGAACCACCAGATGCTAAACTAACTTATCTAGCCTGCCTGTTTTAGAGGCACAAAATATTAAAAGCACGCTGAGAAATTCAGCCACACCACTCTTCTCTTACCCTAAGCCCCTTTATCACCCTCAGAATGGTCCCAGAAGCTTAGGAGGAGGCAGAGGGGGACACAACAGGGAAAGGGAGAGGGGGATGGGTCCTTACCTGAGGTCGTGGTGGTCTCGTTGCTGTCAGCAGCGGTCTCGTTGCCCCGGAGAGCCCTGGTGAGCGGCAAGCTAAAACCCGCCAGCAGGAGTGGACACAGGGGCTCCATGGTGGACCTGCAGAGAGGCAGGGACAGGCTCAGAGGTCACCCAGCAGCAGCAGTGGGACCCTCCAGTGCCAGGCAGTGATGATTAGGATAAGAGCTAACTTCATTTCAGGGCTTCCTCTGAGCAAAGAACTTTGCCTGTCACTTTCACCGACCATCTCACTGAGCCTTCCCAACCGGGGATACCATCACTGGCTACGGACATTCACTCAAAGGAGGGAACCAGGACTCAGACGACCTGCTTGGCTGATGGTTAATGGGGTGTATTGGGAACTGGAACCCAGGGTGATCTCATCCCAGACCCCTGCACTCCCCGGAACCACAGCAGAAATCACATTTGGGTGACTTAGCCTGGTGTCCTGGAGCCTCTGCCATCCACCCTCCACTCCCCCTGCTAATTCTACCTCCCTTTCAAGCCCTGTTCTCTGGCCATGCTGTTCTCTTCACACCTAGCAAGACCCTGCTTTTCAATGTTTCTTTGTCCCCCCTCACTCTGCCTGGGAAACCTCGATCCCTTCAGAGCCGAGTTCAGGCAGCGTCATTGCCCAACTGCGCCCAAGTTCTCTGTTCCCTGCTGCTCCAGCACACTCAGTCTGATGCCAGCACACTGAGTCTAGCTCCTGCATGCTTGGTCTGGCTCCAGAACACGGTCTGGCTATAGCTTGACCCTTGCATCTGACCGTAGCCATGTCTAAACTCTCAGGTGAAGCTGCCTCTGTGAGGATGGGGCCACGGTCTGCTCACCTTGACAGAGCGAATTGGGCAACCTGGGATGCAGGTGGGTATTTATTGGGGGTGGCAGGTGGGTATGCTCAGGGGCAGACCCAGATTGTAAAGCGGCTCGGACCAGAAAAAGACTCTTTCCTGCTGAGGACCCGTGGGCAATCACATCTTCAGCTGGAACTCCATTTTGCCAAACATTAGAGCGTTGCGAAATGTGACAGTGACTGCTTGGCGGTGTGGAAACCCCTCCCTAGAGGCTCATTGGCAGGTGCAGGTGGGCAGTGGCACCCACTGAATGGGATTTGCTGAGGACAATGCAGAGTGTGGTGGAGGTGTGGCCCCCCGCCCCCTGGACCCTGTCCAAGGCCATGCCCACCAGCAGCCCTCTCCTGCCTGAGGTCTCCCTCAGGGATGCAAATGGACCCCATTTCAGAACGGAGGCCAAGAAACATCCATTCCCTGGCTGCTCACATGTTAAACACTAATGCTTGTAATTAGAGAAGACATCTGAATGAGCATGAAAAATCCTAATTGTGTTTCTGTAATCACACCATTAAGATGAAACCATTATGAGGACATTATAACAATTAGCCCAGAACAACTATGATGGTGGCAATCAGCACTTTTACTTCTTTTCACTTTTTTTTATTTCCAGAATACACATTTCAGATTTATAAAATGAGCCATATGCACAAACAATTTCCTGGGCGCCTACTATGTGCTGGGTACTTGATATTGGAATTATTTGCACCATAACCTCACAGGGCTGAGAAACAGAGGTTCCCGAAGGATAAAGAACTGGCCCAAAGTCAGGCTGGAGGAAGAGGAGGAACCGGGGCTTGAACCCAGGAGCCCTGCAGACAAACGTCCTCAGCCCCACTGCGCACTGCCCTGGCCCTTCCGTGACAGGCAGTCCTCCCACATCAACACACACTGTTTTTAAAAAGTCTCTTATTGCACACAGCCACAGTACTTTTAATTTACTTGAGAAAATTAGGGAGTAATTGATCGGGAAGTATGAATTGGTTTAACACAACTCCAGAGATGCAGAACTCCTAGTTGAAACATTTTTCTTATGCATTATTAATTCGATAACCCTCCTCTCCAAATGCTCAGTGATCTAAGAGGAGGCCTACGCCCTTGAGAAAGACAAAGATCATTTTGTTCATCATTAGGCACTGAGGTCCAGAAGTGCTGGGGGAGCCGCAGGTCATTGTGCTGACATGACAAGCAGTGGGTGACAACCTGCAGAATTCAAGGCCTGTCCACCTGCTGGAGGCTGGGTCTGTCCCCCTTATATTTTAGGGCCAATGACAACTTGCCAGTCCCCCACCATTTGCTTTCAATGGGCTTTCACAAGTGACCTTGTAAGCACAGACACGAAGTGGTTCAAAAATGGTGCTTGAAACAGGGATTAAAACCATGCAGCATTTTAAGGATTTGTATTTCATCAGTTTCTGCTGTGAGTCTACCAAATATTGAGTATGTAGAGCACAAATTGCATGTGAATTCCAGAACAGAGATGAGGAAAGGAGTTCATTTATGATACAGCAGGTTGTGTGTTTACTCCCCACAAGAGTCAGCCAGCTATCAAAGTCATTATAAATCTGTCTTTTTATTCCATCTGATGTCTTTTTAGTATTCTTGCCTGGGCAAGTCCTTAGGTCAGGCAGCCTGGTAGGCCCTGGAGATGCAGAGAATGTAGTCTTGTTTCAGCCCCAAAGCTGCTTATTGAGGAGGAAGGACAGGCAGAAGGACAGCCACCCCAATACCCCCTCCCAAGCTCTCAAGATGAGGCCACAGTGCCAAGGAGCAAAGGGGAGGGAGCAATGATTCCTATAGGCAGTCGATGAAACTTCCCCAGAAATGCAGTGCAGAGTGAGCCATCCAGGATGGAAGACAGGGAGATGCAGGTCAGGGGACAGAGGAGTGACGGGAGCCAGATGGCACCCACTGTCCAGGCAGTTCACGGTTCTCTGGCACACGACAGAAGCCAAGATGAGTGAGGAGGAAAAGTCTGAAAAGCAGTTGGGTAGGCCCTCAATGCCGTGCTGGAGTTTGGCTTGGCCCTAAGGGTTCATTTTCCATTAACAATCTATATTATTAGAGTCTCCTGGGAGCATTAAGGAAAGATGCTCCTTCCTGTGCCCAACTCCAGATGGAAGAGATCCCAGTATTTGAGGAATAACGGCTTTATATAGACCGAAGTTCGAAAACCGTGGCTGTGAGCCATGAGCCGCCATGAAAGTTTCGAGAGGGAGCCCTGGAAGCCACGCGTCAGCTCCTGACACAGGGTAGCCTTTGTGGCCAGAGAGCAGTCCAGGAGCCGGAGCATCACCTGGGAGCGTGTTAGGAATGCAGAGTCTCAGGCCCAGCCCAGACCTCCCACCTTTTATGAAGATTCCTGGGTAGTTCCTCTGCTCATCAACATTTAAGAAGCATTGGTCTAAGCAGTGGATTAAGAAAGACCACACCAGGGTCAACGGAATGGAAAGGAGAGAGGGCGCTGAGGATTTCAAAAGGTAGAGTCCACGGCAGTGGTGGTCAGTGGGATGTGGGTGATAAGTGGGGAGACAAAGGTATTGGGGTTTCCATCTTGTGAGCTAGAGTGGGAGGGGGTATCATTCATTAGTTGAGACAAGGAGAATGGGGCTCCGGGGTGGGGATAAGGATGACTTTCAGCTGGAGACGTAAAGCAATAATATGAGCTCCCAGTCACTGAGCTCCTATGAAGCTCCTATAAGCTGTGCGCGGGTCTGAGATAAATGACCTCATCGGCCCTCACGGAAATCCTATGAGCAATGTCCCGTCGTTACTGGAGATAAAAGGTTGCATGAGAGAGGACAGTGGGACATTCCAGGGGAGACTGCCCAGAGGAGTTGCACTTGAGGTCTAGGGCCTGGTCAGAAGGGGAGGTATGCTGCAAGTGTAGTGTGGGGAAGGCAGTCCTGGGGGACTACTGGGGAGGAAGGCCAGGGTCAAGGCGGCGAGCCGCAGGAGGACACTGTTCTAGGGAAGGGAGCTGGGCAGGAGACCGGGAAATGGTGGCTGGGCTGGGGGGAGGGCAGGAGGCAGGTCAAGGTGCACAACCAAGGCTAGAAAAGGGATTTTCCTGAGCCTGTGCACTTCCCCACATCCCTGCCCCCTCTCTTGGGGTAGTCCCATCTCTCCTCACCCTTTACTCGACCCCACCAGCTTTTGAGGCTGAGCAACCTGAGACGGAGTCTTTCCTGGGATCACGCTGTCTGGCGCTGTGTACGATGATTTGGGTTCTGGACCTCTCAACCAACCCAGGAGACCCCAGAGATCAGGGGCTGTCTCATGTCCCCATTTCCCAGCCCCTCCCTTCCTCCCGGGCCACCTCAATAATTGGGGCTTTCAAGGAATTTGAGGGCAAGGAGCCATCCCTGGGCCAGTGTCTCTCTGGCCCCCTCAAACCCAAATGTGCCCTTTCCAGCTGGCCTAGGGCGTCCAGCAGTGGACAGACCCACACTGCCCCCTGCAGCTCAAAGAGGGTAGTGTTTTTTCTCTGCAGCCCAAACCCATCACCTACAAGGTCAAAACGTGCAGCTGTTTTGCTTTCAACTAAGACACAGATGAGGGTTCTTCACAAGGAAGCAGGAGACAATGGGTTGGGAGCCATACTCAGGTTTCAAAGCCACTGCACTTGAAGGGAGCCCCTGGAATGGGTCCCATCTAATTTCTCATCCAAACCAGGACTTGAGAGCAAAGGAGGGGGCTATAATGATTAAAAATATATGCTTCTCGGCCCGGGCACAGTGGCTCAAGCCTGTAATCCCAGCACTTTGGGAGGCTGAGGCAGGTGGATCACGAGGTCAAGAGATCGAGACCATCCTGGTCAACATGGTGAAACCCCGTCTCTACTAAAAAAAAAAACACAAAAAATTAGCTGGGCACGGTGGTGCATGCCTGTAATCCCAGCTACTCACGAGGCTGAGGAAGGAGAATTGCCTGAACCCAGGAGGTGGAGGTTGCGGTGAGCCGAGATCGTGCCATTGCACTCCAACCTGGGTAACAAGAGTGAAACTCTGTCTCAAAAAAAAAAAAAAAAATATATATATATATATATATGTATTTGTGCTTCTCTAAAACATTTATTGGCCAGTGATTTAATTTAATTAAGTTAGGAGACTATTAAGTAATTCTATTCACAAAATATTTTAAAAAATTAAACAATCTTTCTGAAAACAAAATAACAATGTATTTTGATGTACATAAATATATTATGGTTTTAAGAAAACTTTTTTGGAGGCCCAGGCAGACAGA